TCCTAGCAGAGACCATCATAATTCAGTCTGATGGATTTATAGATTAAAATTGGTTTTATTGCGTCCCGCAGACAGGGCCATCATTTAACAATAATTAATGATAGCGTTGTTCGTAAACGAAAGTGAAAAAAAAAACGTGATAATGATAGATGAAAATGGTCAAATGATTTATCATTAACGGATAGATTAGGTCAGGAAGTCGAGATACCATTAGACGTGTAAAAGCTTTATTTGTATATATAATAGAGATAGATTTTACTACCCCAAATTTAGCTATTCGGATGGATCAAAGAATGTTTATATTAATTTTAATATCTGCGTTTCTTGGCAGATAATCGTTGTTTGAACTGTGTCAAGTGCGGATATCGATTAACTCAGAAACCCAAAATTTGGCAGAGTTTCTGCTGAAAGTCCTTTTAGAGCAGACGACAATACCTTTCGTAGAACAAAACGAAATCATCGATCTCATCTTATCTCTGCATTCCGAATATTTTATATAAACTAATAATTTTCAACTTGTTGTTATTATATTTAAATGATTTAAACATGTTTTGCGTATTTACACAGTCTGATTAGAATTAATTATAAAGACTTTCAATATTTTCATATTTTTATTGTCCTTAATTATTTTTATTATTTGTAATTTCATAATACATAATTTCTCTATTTATAAAATTCCATTCAATATTTCCGTCGAAATGTGTTTTGATCAATAATGTATACATTCTACTTCTCCTATAACGCGATTAGTTGGTACAGCGTGACCGTTTTATGAAAATAAACTCTAATTTATAAAAAATATCATTATTTTATTATAAATATAAATTTTTATAGATAGAAAAGGCTATAAATTAAAAGTTTACATATTTCAAATTATTTTTATTTAATTTAATTCCTCTTCACCTAAACTCACTTCTCAAAGTAGTACTTCTCCATCTTAATGGTTTTGTATCTTCAAATTCTTTGCTGATTAAAGTAATTACTAAACTGTTTACTATTTTCATCATTTAGTAGATCACTTATCTATATATTTGTCTACATCTGAGGTAGATATATCATTTAATACTATCTATTACTCTTCATCAAAATTTCTTCTCGTTGTAGTTCTTCATCATCTTAATGGTTTATTTATTTAAATTTTGCGCTGCTTAAAGTAATTACTAAACTGTTTACTATTTCCACATTTTTTAGTAGATCACTTATCCATATTTTTGTCCTCATTTGAGGTAAATGTATCAATTAATACCATCAATTACTCTTCATAAAAGTTTATTCTCTTAGTAGTTCTTCATCGTTTTGATAGTTTATATCTTCAAATTCTTTACTGCTTAAATTATTTACATAACTTTTATTGACTATTACCAGTTTATTAATCAGATCATTTATCCATATTTTCTTCTATATTTGAGGCAGATGTATCAATTAATCAAAGTTTCTTCTCGTAGTAGTTCTTCATTATCTTGATGGTTTATGTCTTCAAATTCCTTGCTGCTGAAAGTATTTACTAAACTGCTTACTATTTCTACATCATTTAGTTGATCACCTATCCATATATTTGTCTACACCTGAGGTAGATATATCAATTAATACCATCAATTAATCTTCATCAAAATTTCTTCTCGTTGTAGTTCTTCATCATCTTGGTGGTTTATGTATTCAAATTCTGCGCTGCTTAAAGTATATTTTTGTCTACATGTGAGGTATATGTATCAATTAACACCATCAATTACTCTTCATCAAAATTTCTTCTTGTTGTAATTCTTCATCATCTTGATGGTTTATTTCTTCAAATTCTGCGCTGCTTAAATTATTTACTAAACTGTTTACTATTTCTACATCATTTAGCTGATCACTTATCCATATTTTTGTCTTCATCTGAGGCAGATGTATCAATTAATACCATCAATTCCTCTTCATCAAAGTTTATTCTCGTAGTAGTTTTTCATCGTCTTGATAGTTTATATCTTCAAATTCTTTGCTGCTTAAATTATTGACTTAATTTTTATTGACTATTACCAGTTTATTAATTAATCAGATCATTTATCCATATTTTCTTCTATATCTGAGGCAGATGTATCAATTAATCAAAGTTTTTCTCGTAGTAGTTCTTCATTATCTTGATGGTTTATGTCTTCAAATTTCTTGCTGCTTAAAGTATTTACTAAACTGTTTACTATTTCTACATCATTTAGTAGATCACTTATCCATATATTTGTATACATCTGAGGTAGATATATCAATTAATACCATCAATTACTCTTCATCAAAATTTCTTTTTGTTGTAGTTCTTCATCATCTTGATGGTTTATTTCTTCAAATTCTTCGCTGTTTAAATTATTTACTAAACTGTTTACTATTTCTACATCATTTAGCAGAATATGGATTTTTTCTTTATCTTTTACTTGAATTTTAGTAATTATAGCAAATACTATAGGTATTCGAATCAATTTATAAAAAAAAAATATATATGTTGTCCTGAATTACAAGCACAACATCTAATTGCTACAAATTAATATATCCTCGAAAATCATAAACTCTTTCTTGTACGACGATTACAATAATTAAATTTAAAAATAAGCATAAATAAAACATGCAATTTAAATATCATGCAACAGCGTTCTGTATGTGTTACGAATAAATCATACTGCATCATTTCTTGACGCAAATTTTCGAACCTTGAATTTCCACTATTTCTAATAAATACGTTACATTTTTAATAAATATATTAATTATAAATATGCAAATATTAATATAAAAAAAGTAAAAGACTTGTTGATTCTGAACAATTATAGAATTGATAAGATGGTGTAGTAAAGTGTTACTAATGAATGAACGATTAGTAATGGAGCATATAGTAAGTGCGTAAAGCGTTTCTGAAAATGCCGCTGAAAGGAGCACGTAGACAGGGATTTAGGAAAAGCAAACCGCAAATAGGAAATTTTATTAAAGTAGGAAAAAGTGATATTTTAATTTTGTTTGTCAGCACGATAAATAAAATAATTAAAAAAATATATTATTACAGCAAATATGTTATTACCAATTTGTATCCTTGAGCAAAACGCAGTTTTCAATAATAATCGCAATTAATTTGTGTCAGTTCCAAATTAATTAACTTTTGGAGTTTACTCATTGTATTGGAAAATATTGCTCAAATATAAAAAACAAAGTATTTGCAATTCATACAAATCACTGTCTTTTTAATAATATTAAAAAAAATCTGAACAAAATTTATTACATTTTTGCAATTGGAAGATTAATTATAATCAATACATTATATCTAATTTAAATATTGCTGAAAGTTTACAAGATTTACAATTATAGGAAATATACAAATTTGCAAATAAAAATCAAGTCACAATATTGCAGTATTAAGTTCAGATATATTCAAAATGTGCAATAAAAAAAAATTTGGATTGTTTTGAATAATCTAATTTAAAATAGTAAAATTAGACATATTAATCAAATTTGTCTAAATTTTTCATTTAGCTATTAATTAGTGCTGAATTTATTAATTCAAATATATTTTAAAAAGTCAAACTTTTTGAAGAAATTGTAGATGAATTGTTTTGCAAATGATTGTTAATTGTGATTTTAAAGATTTGATTATATTGATTATATTTCACACAAATAAACAGTAACAGATTGCTCAGGTTTTAGCTCTCAATGAAATAAATTGTGAGTATTTTGTATTGATGAAATTGAAGAAGGTTACAATGTTTTACAAAATTATTAAGAAAGAGTAATGCTGTTGTTGTCTTGCGTATAAAGTTCCTGTTGCGACATGGAACGTGACTAAACTTCCTGCTTTCTTACCGCAAACAATGAGAATGAGGTCCGGAAAGAAATACTTTTAGACCAGTTTGACTTGATCTGCGCGACTGAAAGTAATAATAAAAAAAACTAGTTTTTAAAGAGTTGATCGGACTACGTAAAGATGTTATGATTTATTCGATAAAATCTAAAAGAATTATTGAAGAAGTCCAATTTAGACGAAGAGTGTCCGTTGAAGAGAGACCATGGCTAAGTCAAAACTGTGCGAGGAGAGACTAAGGTTTCTGCACGAATTGGTGAGTTATTGATTATCGCGCGCTCTTGGACACCCCATGAAATATTGGAAGCGTTGGCTGTGGTCGTCGAAGAAGTGCAGTTGATTTGTTATGTAAACGGACAATGGGGGACGCCGTCGCCGCCGCTGCCACGCGGGGGGGGAACAGAGGGGACGTGTTTTTGTTTTAATGGAACCCCTATTCGAATGCTCCTAATTTATTCTTCCTGTCCCCCTATGCCCGTGTACGAGCGCAATAAACGAAGCACACCAGCAGATTACCGCAGGCCACGGAATACACGACAATACCCCACACTTTACCAGTGCTTTCGACCGTTGGGCTTTCTTTTTTCCACTTTAATCCTTTGTTTCCCTCCTCGTGGTCCGTTTACGCAATAGAAATTATTTTCAAGTGATGCTATGATGTGATATTGATAATGGATTCGAAACCTAAGGTAGGCTTTTCAAACGTGCGCACAGGTTTTCCTTGATTCGATTGAGAAGCGACAATTAAAACAAAATAATTTGCAATTATAATTATGTACTTATAAATACCGATTCGATGTTTGCGAAAGTGTTCAGTTCAACAGCAATATCGCACAGTGCACCATGTTCTTCGAAAACTCCGAACCCATCATCGAAATGGTATGACGACAAACCAAAGTAAAAACTGTAAATGCGACAATGTTCTTCTCGACCGAAGCACACCTTAGATTAGATAATGTTATTATCGTGTTTGCTTTACTTCCACTTTGTCCTCACCATTTGCTCAACCGGGATACCGGAAAGAATACCTGCTTCGCAGTCTGCGATTGCAGATAGCGGACTTTTAAATTCAAGACTTTCAAGAACATCGTCGTCTTCTACCATCATTCAGATCTTATTCTCCTCCACTCCGAGATACCGCTTCTAAATCCTCGTCATCATATTATTATTTTTTTTATTGTTATTGCAGGAAAATAAAATGATGGCCACGACTACACCACCAATTCGAAGGCCCAGCGACTCGGTGTGTCTTAACGTGGCCGAGCACGATCGAAACAAAGCACCTGAGAACTTGAAGCGAAAGAAGATCCACATACGACCGGCTTATTTCGTTAACGGAATCATCATCATCATCGGTGAGTAACTCCTACCTAGGTCCTATAACCGTAATGAGGAAGCTGCATATGAATTTGGGGGGGAGGAGGTCGAGTCTTTTCAATTGATACGGCCTCCAATCAACAACAATATATTTGTAGGCGCAGAAAATCATCGATTTTCCCCCCTCATAAAGTACACACGTTCGCTAGCTCGCTCACTCAATTTCCATCAAAATCACCTACTAAATATTCCTGGCGTGTCCAGTCCACCCATAACTCATGGCATTACTCGCATATCAAATGCAAATTTTGTACACATAATCATACTAATTTTCTATGGTCTACCCAATTATTTTTAATTGTTTAATTTGGTCGCAATTTGCAGATTCATCCGGGACATCAATTTAAGTTCATTTCGTATTTTATAAATTAATTATATTATATATTTGCCAGTTGATTCTGTTTTTTAAATTCGCTGTGCAAGATTTACTCATTGAAACAATGGTAACAAAAATGTATTCATGTCTTATCAAAATGTGTATAAGAATACACCATAAATTAGTATTTCTTATTAGTATATAATAAGAAAAAAAAATCAAAAAATTACAAATAAAGTTTCAAAGTATTTATTGAAAATCTGAATAAAAAGCATAATGTCTAATATGTATGTAATGCACGTGTCTTTATGGAAACATGAACATAGTGATATATCAAGGAGTAGAGCTTTAACAAATATTGATGGATTATGTATAAACATAAAATAATCATTTCTTTAATAACTTGAACAAATAGGTCAGTTTTCTTAAAGCTTAATGTAAATGCGATAATATATACTTGATTATATACATTACTCTAAGTTAATCTAAAAATATCCATACAAACGTACAATAATATCAGTTGGACTAATCAATGTCCGCACTTTTATTTAACCCTTTGTCGTCTGACGCTACTTATAAGTATCGACACATTTATGTCATTATTTAAATTATAAAGAGACCTGAAACAGACCTAAGAAAAAGTACCACATTTTTTTTCATTGAAAATATTACTGAAATTTAATTTTAATGTATTTTTAAAGAAATCCAAAGATTTTTTTTTATTATTTTAACTATGTTTAGGTAACAAAGCGTTAAAATTATATTGATTGATATTAATTGCATTTTGAAAAAAATAATTTGTCTATCATTTCGATTTATGTCAGAACAAGGAGAGACATGAATAAACTAAAAAAAATAATTAATGAATATATTTAAATAAATTTACCAACTAATAATGGATCATTTGCTTAACATATGTGTAACTGAAGGTTGGAGATATCAGTGGAAAATAAATAACTTACATATAAAGTGGGATGCGGCCAGTATTATTTATACAAAGGTTCCAATCAAAATGCCTAAGAAGTATGCCTAAGTTCGAGCTTCGTGGTTCATCAAGAATAAACAAATACACGAAGATCTTCACATAGATATGGTCGAGGATACAATAGCAACATTTAGTAGTAGATACCAAGTTAGACTGGAGTCACATACTAATGTTCTGGCTATTGGCCTACTCGACAACAGTGAAAGCACAGATAGGCTGAAGCGTTGCAAACCACTAAATTTAGTATATAGATTTAAGTAATAAATAATGTTTAAAATCATCATAATGGTAACTATCCATCGGGAAAGCTTATCCATTGAATATCAATCGCGATCTTATATTTGCAAACTGAACACTAATTGCAAAAATTGAGTATTCTTAACTAATTCATAAATGTTTTAAAATTTAAAACGTGCCAGATCAGTGGCATATAGATAAGTATAACGGTCAATGTATAACAAACAAACAAACAAAAATCCGTGCGGAAATACTGGTCCTTTTGTTGCACGTAACTAACAAACAGAGATAAACGAGCTGCATACGTTCATCCTCAAGTTACTTTCCGCGCGGATCCGTGCAGATAATAGAAAAATATGAATTACGTAACGGCCGGGGCCGTTGCGACAGCCGCAATCGCATCTCGGAGGGCCTCGGAGGCGGCACTGCGGAGTACTTTATCAGAAAATTGAACGATTGGAGGAAATGAAGCGGATTCCTTCGACTGACTGGTTGCACATTTCACCAAGCTCCCTCCGAAAGTAAAAACGTCCGTTAAAAGGACTGAAAACTGAAAGCTGAAAATGGAATTGAAATGGTGAATGACGTGGACACAGAGTCCGAGCACAATTCTCTCACACTGCGCTTTCGATGGAACATGTTTAACAACTCGCATGATTGCGACACTCGAATCATCTTTGTTATAGTTTCATTTCATACCGTACTTTTCAAACGAAGATGAATTGACCTACAAGACGCACTCCAAAATATTTTAAGACAATTTAAAAAATATATAATTACTAAATAAAATATCAAAAGACGTCACGGTGAAACAACAAAATCATTTAACTATTTTATAATTTATAGATATTATAAATGCAATTTTCAATATAATGAAATTTCAATCAAAAAAAAAATTAAATGAAAAAGTTTACACTTGTAATAAATTGAAATTTTCAATTCGCCGAGCGTTAAAAAATAAATATGAATTGCAACGAATACAGTATAATTGTGCGAATACATTATTTGCTTCAGTTGTATGAATTTAATCAATACCCAGTTGCAATTTTACCAAGCGTCGAACATTTATGTGATTTCAATTACGTCGATTTCAGTTTTAAAATTGTTTACAATAAATTGTATAAAATATAGCTACAAAATTATTCAACTTTATATTTTATGATATGATTAAGCAGTGATTATTGTAGAGTCTGTTTATAACTAATATTGTCTTAATTAAATTATATATAATAAAACAGTTGAATAATAGAAATAATTTAATAATTAATATTCCGTTTATGTACATTATACTATACTATATTGAAAAAGAAAAGTGTGTTCATTCTTGTTTTGAGTCTGCTGTGAAAGTAAAACGAAAGTATTACAATCATTATTTCACCATAATAATAACGAGCGTTTAATTACAAATATCAGATGATGTTGTGTTTGTTTATGATAGAGATAAGTTTTTTTTTTTCTGGTTGCGGCGCCTAGCGTTGATAGTGATATCCAGGGTTAATCCGAACTTGGTCGGGAATTTATCAAAGGGAACGGAAACATTGTCTCTGCGGTTTAGAAATGAAGTTGATGGAAGCGTCGGAATGATTTCTGTTATTCTGGTTCACGACTAGCATGAGTCGCGGAAAGTTTAGCTTATTACGTAAGCGACTGTTGCAAAGTGATGTTTGTTAGAGATTCCGTGTTTTCAATCTCTTGTTTTTCTTGTTGTTTTGCAGTGTCTCTGATCGTGGGATTGACGGAGTTCGGTTTCCTACCGCAAACGAAGAGAGGATTTTACTGCAAGGATCCATCGCTGTCGTTCCCATACCAAGGGGACACCATCTCCAACACCCTTCTGTTGTCAGTGAGTTTCGCCGGATCGTGCATTCTTCTCGCCTTGGTGGAATATCTGCGTCTCGGCTCGAAGACCAAGCTGGTGCTGGAGGTGTCCTGGAGATGGTACAGAGACATGCTGGTAGGAATGGTGCTCACGCTGCTCGTGATCGAGGTGTGCAAGGTGATAGCCGGTGAGATGAGACCACACTTCTTGGATACATGCGTTCCGGACGTCGCCGCCTCATGCACACCGGGCACCTTCATCACCGACTACGTCTGCACCAGCACCGTCTACTCGCGCACCCTCATCGTCGACTCCTCGAGATCTTTTCCCTCGGGGCATTCCGCCCTCGGCATGTTCGTCTCAGTCTTCCTGGCGGTGAGTACACTTCGATCCCTTTCGCTCTGATGTATTGCAAACTTCGTCGAAGCATTGTTCCTTTGTCCTCTCATACCCAGCTCGTTGCTCCGTTTCCGCATTACCAGTAATGAAAAAGCTGCACACCGTCCTCCACCCACCTCCTCATCTCCCTCACTCATTATCCTTCTCTCCACCTTCATCCTGTTTCGCCCGCATAATATGCACATGCACATCGCAAGAACAAAAGCAAAAAGAAAACAAACGAACACACACAATCAAATCATCCCCGACGTGCAAACCGCAAAATGTAACATCAAAATGTCACAGATGATATAAAAACAGAAAACATGTAACGCGTAAATCGCGAATACACATCACGAAATAACTACCCCTTATACAAATCATCTAATTTACAACTTACCCAAGTATTTCTAGTAAAATAAAAAACACTACGCGTTAATAAAACTTGATCAATCTGACTATACAAACTCTGGTAGTCATAACGATTTTTTTATTTTTTTTAGCATGCTTTTCCTGTTTTCAAAACAATTGGGTTTTCGATTAAGGACGATTTTGTAAAATAGTGAAAAAATCAATCTTTTCACAACAGAATTATGATAAAACCAATCAAACTAAGAATATCGATTTCATTTTCAGAAGATTCGAATGTTTTAATTGAAGAGAAATTGTGGAACGATGAGTGTTCGTAATTATAATTGAAGGCGTGGTATTTCGGAATCACAAATTGCGTGACTCATCGACGTAACACAGATTATATGTAAATAATTGTTCATAAACATGACAAGAAACTACTTCCTAAAAGAAAGTTGAGCGTGATTTTTTTTGCTTATTTTCATAATTCTTTTTAATTGCAAAAGTATCAGTTTTAAAGTAATTTTGTAAAGTTATGTAAAAAAATGGAGTAAAATATGTATTCAAAATATAAAGAAATATACTAGAGTAACAAGTAAATAATATTCACAAAACTATTAACAATAAAAAAAAGTACATTTATTCCTGCGTTTATTACACCTTCTAATTCTTGTTTATGTTGGAGATAAACAGAGAATTGGAGAAAGTAAATAGCATTGTTATTACTGTCAAGGAAGACGAGGGTGGAGGCTTTTATTTTATACTCTTTTTTTTAGCATGAACTCGTTGATGCAGACGTTTTATGGTAAAATCAATACGTTCGCAAATTATCAAATAGCGAATTTAATTAAACACTAATGAACTTATTTGTCGGTGCGCCCATCGGGCAGGTTCTCGTTTGTAATCCCAGCATTTCAATGGGCGAATCAAATTTATCGCACGTATAATTGCCGCTACCTCCCCAATTAAAATCAATAGCATAAAACGTTTCGTTTCCACTGTAGTGTGCACGATTCAATCGAACAACGCAAATCTATCTCATTTATCTCGTCTGATATTTTTTTAATTAAAACAACTCCAACAATCAAATTTATTATATTTTTTTAAAAGGGTTCTCTTAATATCAAATTTTGTTGTTATGAGCTTAATAATCTGTTTAAGTTTGCCATCAAATGTGATTGTTTTAAATGTCTTATAAGAATATTTTGACTCGTGCTAAATGTAATTATATAATTGTTATGTTATTGAATGTTTGATCATTATGTTTATTAGAATCGTGAATGCATTTAAATTTATTGATAAAAAGCTTTTATTAATAGAAACGTAATTTTCATACCTGATTTAATAATTTTATATTACGAGAAAAACAAATTTCTATATACTTTATAATTATTTTGTGTTTGTCGTTCCATAAGGAAAATGTAAATATTATAGATTATTACTGTTTCTTGTAATGCGAATGCACGTGAAATAATACAATGCTTCCTTTTGGTATGAAATTGTCAAGTGTAATTTGTGTTTTCTCTACCATGCAACAATGTCCTTATTCCCGGTTTTCTTTTGCAGGCGTACATCCAAGTCCGGCTTCCGACCCACACGATCGGATCCTTATCGAAGCCATTCCTTATCGCCGTCGTCTTCATCTGGGGTCCTTTGTGCGCATTGACGAGGATAACGGACCGAAGACATCACTGGTGGGACGTCCTCTTCGGCACGATCTTCGGCGTCGTCGGTGCTTTGTATTCGGTGGTGGTTCTGTGCTCGAGCTTCAAGAATATAGGAAAGACCAACATGAAGTCGACGAGACCGTCGCAGTCGACGACGACGTTGCTCGATATTAAGAACAAAGATGCGACCAGTGTGATAATTTAGTTATTTATTTACTATTTATGGTGTCGATTCTCTTGACACAACCTGTACCATATGTTATTTAATTATTACTATATTAGTCTGTTTGTTTGTTTGTTTTCTCTTTGTACACTGTAAGTATAACACGAACGATGCATTTATTTGTATTTTACTTCTTTTTTTTCATTTCTACTTAATAGTTAGTTAGTGAACGGAACAAAAAAACTATTATTATTATATACTCATAAGGAAGAGAGTGCCTCTCTTAATAAAACAAAACGAATATTTTATAATCCATAGTTTTCTTTCTCAATTTAACCTACCATCCCAAAAAATATTATCTTAAGCGAAATTCAATAAAGTCACGTTTTGGTTCTGAATTAATAGATAAGTTCTTGTATTAAGGTTTCAAATATGCATAGAATAATGATGATGGTGATCTTTAAACTCGGAGCGCCGATCCGTGGATTATTTAATGAATTCCAATTAATTTCGGTTCGCCGAGTCCTGACGAATTATTTATAGTCGCAAGCAAAAGGAAACTCTTATAGCGAATTGAAAACTTTCTTCTAATTAATCTACCCTCTTTACCCTCGATTACCTCGGCTCAAATGAATATACCAGACGATTCAAATATCTTCATTGTAATTTTGGCCTTAATTCAATATCAATCAATTATTTTTAACATCTTGTGTTATTAACAATTTCGACGAATTAATTTATTCTCATTGGATACTTGAAATGATATTTGGAATGGATCTCATAAGATTTTTTTTTCAATTTTGATAAAATTGCTACTTTCAATACTTGCTTTTTTAATAATGAAATAGTACATAGATAAACATTTATGGTTATGAATCTTTTAATTACGGAAATGTTTTTATTTCTCAAATTGTATTTATGTCTGCTTGCAAGATGTAACAATTCCACCGTTTTGTTTATGAAGATGAAGGTTTTGTTTATGGCGAGTCTTTTGATTACTTATCCTTCTTTCTCTGAGCAGTGGATTTGGGTGGTGAGTAAATATTTTGAAATTTGCGGCTGGATAAGGAAGTGTAATATTATGGGATTAATTTTGCGCTGGAAAGTTGTTTGACCTAGATCCTTCTTGGGTCGCAACGACGTTAATCGCGCAAGGAGACGAGGATAGGAGCTCCGCCGTGTAGTCAGAGTTTTTGCCCGTTGCAGTAGTTGTTGTTTTTATCTGGTGGAAAACATGGTGTTCGGGCGTATGGCGAATTGGGAAATTGCAGGGTGTGCTGTAATAATAATCCGGGTGCATAGAGAGATAACAAAAGACGTGACTGGATACAAATTTGATGTTTGAGGGGCAGCGGAGGAGAGGAGTGATGGGGGTTGGTAGGTTTGGTGTTCTGATACGCACAGGCACACAGAACACAATAACGAATTTGTTGGCACGGTCCGGACCGCATTCGAAAGGGGGTGGCGGGAAGAACAAGGATGGGATGGGATGGGTTTGGAACCTGGTCGATACGGGGTTGGTTCTCTGGATGTTGGTGTGTGGATGTAGTGGATGTATGGATGGAGTTTGGGGGGAGCGCGCGCATTTCCCCCAAAAAGCCGTATTCTGCTGTGATGCCGAGGGTCGGCCTCCAGCAGAAGCGGTCCGCAGTGTGGCTCAAAGCACAGAAGACATGGGGTGTCTTCGGGGGGTGTCGTCCGTGCGACATCAGCAGCAGCAGCAGTGGAAGCCGTGACCGCGTCGGAATGCTGTGGACAGAGAAACATGTCACGTGAATTCTATACGCATACAGTGAGTTAACACACATCCATAAAGCACCCTCTCATCAAACCACATCTTATTGTTTTTGATGTTGTTGCTTTGCAGGTGGCAGGACCTGGAGGTCGTCTGATGGTCGCGAAGAGACCAGAATATTTTGGGCAGGTGGTGGCGGCTCTGGCTGTGTCTTTGGGACCGTTCGCAGCAGGATTGGGAAAGGGCTACAGCTCTCCTGCGATAGCCTCCCTTCAGCAACGCGACGCCGAAGCTTTCCCGCTCAATGGACAGCAGGCCTCGTGGTTGGCGAGTCTCTCGCTTCTGGGTGCCCTCTTCGGAGCGCCCATCGGGGGAGCAGCGATGCGCTGGGGACGCCGTCGCACACTCATCTTGGCAGGAATCCCGCTGTCAATTTGCTGGCTTATTACCGTCTTTGCGGCGAACGTAGAGGTGATGTGCTTCTCGGCTTTCATGAGCGGTTTTCTGGTGGCCGTTGTGCAGCTAGCAGCTCAGGTCTACGTAAGCGAAATCGCCGCTCCAAACATCCGTGGTGGATTGAGCGCCCTCACCAAGGTTGCAGGACATGCAGGAGTACTGATAGCATTCGCAGCTGGTGCATTCCTCGATTGGAGACAGTTGGCAGGGCTCATCTCGCTTGCGCCGACGGCGATGTGCGTGGCCATGCTCAAGGTGCCAGAAAGTCCTGGGTGGTTGGTGCTACGAGGTAGAAATGAAGAAGCTGAACAGGCTCTTCGATGGCTTCGTGGAGGAACAGCAGACCTCAGAGTTGAGTTAGGAGCTTTACATGCTCACGTCCTTTCGAGGACGATGCCCGTTAATCCTCGCCTCCTCATTCGCACCCTGCGCGACCCCGCTTTAATAGCATGCGGCCTGATGTTCTTTCAACGATTCTCCGGTGCGAACGCCTTCAACTTCTACGTGGTGAGCGTCTTCAGACAAACGTTCGGAGGTACAAACCCGCACAGCGCGGCTGTGGCCGTCGCTCTAGTACAGTTGCTCTCATCATTGCTATCCGGACTGCTCGTCGATCGTGCAGGAAGACTTCCTCTGCTGGTAGCCTCCAGCGTGCTCATGATTCTGGCCTTAGCTTCTTTCGGTTCTTTCGCCTACTACGAAGATGCTAACCCCAAAGCTCAGCCCCAGCTGGATTGGATTCCGTTGCTGTGTGTGCTAGTATTTACCGTGGCCTTCTCTTTAGGTATAAGCCCCATATCGTGGCTCCTCGTCAGTGAGCTTTTCTCCTTGGAGCATCGAGGTTTCGGCACAGCCCTCGCAACGGCCTTCAGCTACCTCTGCGCTTTCATAGGTGTTAAAACGTTCATCGACTTCCAAGAACTTCTTGGTCTCTACGGCGCTTTCTGGCTGTACGCGGCCATCTCCATCTGTGGCCTCGCATTCGTCATCAGCTGCGTTCCTGAGACCAAGGGCCAGGACCTCCAGGAAATCAAAACCACCAGGTGATCAATTATTATCAGAGCTAACGAATCCAAATGCAAGATGGAAATGATATTTGTACAACGCTTTCATAGATTCCCGTCGAGACGTAAATCCCCTCACGTCTCGCAACCAATTCAGAGAGTTTTATTTCCGCGACTACTCATATTTGAAGCGTCTAATATCGAAATCCCGCAAATCGGTAACAAAAAAACTCTACAAACATCCCACAATATTGAAACTAAAATCAATTTAAAATCAAAATCTCTACTTACCTAAAACCCATTCAATTATATAATATAATTAAAACAAAGAAACGAAATTACATTTTCAGTCACAAACAAGTACATTCTCCTACAATAATAATTTCTGTTATAAATCATTTTTTTATTGAATAGACTAAAACTTCCAGACAAACATTATTATGAAGTATAAGAGGAAAGCATTTTGATGGAAAAAAACAAACATATCGTGAAATTCTTCAATCATATCCAAGACAATTAAGGAACCAGTGAGTTTTTGTTAATAGACGCATCAAATTCATATAACGAAAGCTCTCGAAAAGATGAAACGTTTATCGGTACAAAACTAGTTTAAGGATTTCGAAAGACCACTATTTAAAAAAATAACAAAACAAAAGACAACCATGTGATGAAATGAATGAATCGGTCTTCTCAATGTTTAGCACAATCATATCCTATATATATATACACTCATATATACATAATTATTGAAGAAAACAGAATACTCGTAATTTGTAAAAGATTTTTTGAAATAACTCTAGTTGTTCCTAACGAGAGAAGTACGAAAGCACGTTCAATCAATTAAACGCTATTAAAACTAAATAATAATTGTTGCGAGACAATAAAAAGAAATAATCGAACGACAATAATAACAAACAAAAAAAATAATAATGTTTTTTTTAGAAATATTTTTGGATAGTTTAGTGGTGCGGGTGATGAGCATGTTTTTAGGTGCTATTAAACTTAGAAGCTTTAGTCGAGATAATCAATCTATACACGTATATTAAAAAAAAAGTCAATATTACTATTATTTATTAGCAACTAGTCAAGCCAAGTCCAATTAACTGTAACTTTTTAAACAGACGCTCAAGTGTGAAAATGAAAATTATGAAGAGATGTTAAGAGAACGTATAGTATTTGTAGATTCGAATTGCAACTTTGTCAACGAACATCCAATTTGACCGTACGTTTGCTTTCCAATCTTTCGCGAAATAAAAATCAATTTGTAATTGCTTTTCGAGAAAGTTCACCAACTTTCCACAACTATTTGGGGATGTGTTTTGAAATTTATGCGGGTCCAAAACGACATGTGCGTAAGAGCGCTTACAATTCTATTCAAATGGATGTTCTTTGCAATCTGATGGGTCATCCACCAAACAAAACAAAAAAAAACTTTGATAATTATTATTTGCAAATGTTTACTAATATTAACAAATTTCTACGAATTCTTTTTGTTCCTATTATCAAACGATGTTTGCAAATGTATTGAATTTTTGGTGGATGGCTTTCTAGATATTATGGAAAGTTGCGGGTAATGAAAATACGTTTTATATTTGTAAATGACAATAAAAATCAGAGAGAAACAGAGATAAATAAATATATTATATATTATATTGAAATAAAGTATCTAAAATATGTTTCGACCATAGCATGCCTATGGCAACAATTGTGTGATGTTCAATTCCAAGGAATATATGTATATGTTCGAAGAAGTAGTAGTGCTTTGACAATAATTTATAAAGACAAATCTAACAAAAAAAAAATTATATATAAATGAAATGCTCTTTTTATAATAGATTTACTTTTTACTAGTAAACATTTAATACTACGAAACGTGTTGTTTTATTTTACTTCCTCCCACCATTTTATACTTATTTAAATTGGTAATATTATGAATATAATAAACCCAACATCTTACGAATTCAATAATTCTTATAATTTTCTTTGAATCATGTTTGTTAACAAGAAAATGTTCTACCATAAAATTGAATAATCCACACTACACGAACGTCAACTAAAAAATGTCGTAATCTTAACAGAATAAAAATGGCGACAAAACAAAATGATAACATTTCTTTTATGACAATCTAAAAATTAATTTTCTTCAAAATATAATGATGATTTTATTTATGCAGAAGGAGTATTAAAAAGTAAGTAATTTGCAATATTCTTAATTAATTTTATTTTAAAGTGGAAAAACCTATTATTAGTAAACCTTTTCAACGTTTCTTTTGTATTTGTTTTGGTTATAACGAATGATATTATTATTTCATATATTCCCAACTATTTTTTTTAGCCCATTAGTTACAGAGAATAAGAGTATTAAAAAAAAGTATTTGCATGTATGAATCGAATGATGGCAACATAAAGTTTCCGTTGTACGAAACAGGGAAAATAAAGGAGAAGTCTTTAATAAAAAATCAATAAAGAGTGCTACTACCTACCATGGCTATGGAAACAGCTGTAATCCTATTAGCATGCTTCCTTTCTGTGCGCATATCTAAAATTCTATAAAAGATAATATCTTAGATGTTGAACAACATTTATAATATACATTTAACCCACGATTTGTGTTGTTTACATTTACAATTTAAATCTTATATAATTATTTAGTATATTTCACATTTGTTTATATACACAATATCTATTATAATTATACTTCTTTGTATATAATTATGTCAAAGTTATCAATCTGCTCAAATGAAATGGATTGTTTTTTTATTATTTTTTTATGAGAGTTGAACCCGTCACTTTCACATCGGATCAATTTAATATTGAACTGCATTCTGCATTAACTCATTTCGTATGGGCTGCAGTTGAAGATAATGACGATTGTTACTCGTGTGGAAAATTACCTAATCTGAAATGACCACGTAATATCTGAAATTCGATACATTTTCTTGTACTAATTCGCTGATTAACTTCACAATGTTAAATCAATTGTGACAATTTTTTTGCAATTTCTAGTGTTTGAACATGACTAATTTTGTTTGTAAATGTTTCTTTTCTTAATGCATATTATATTTTTTATTGTTTAATTTCTGTCATAAATGAAGTGTCAGTTTAAAACGATTTAAACGAATTCACTAAATTTTCAAATATCACTCTGCAACATTTACTAATTACTTTGTTTTATTATATTTAACATATAGCAATTATTTAAAGAGTACTATAACAAAGAATGGTTAATATTTTTGACATAAAATAAATGTAGCCATTTTGTTGTAAATGAAGTGTCACCATTTTGTCATTAAAAAAAATGTTATTACTTTTACATATAAGAAAAGCTACTATTTTGTCGTAATTTCGGTTAAAATAAATGTAATTTAGACGAAGAAAAAAACAATTAAGTTATTTCAATAAAAAGTTGTATTTATAAAACATTAATTTTGTATTTTCCACCATGTATAAGACAAAATCTACAGAGAAATTTCAACATTTATACAAATGTATTTGTATGTATTTGTAATTAAAGAAGATGCAAATTTAAATACGAAACAACATTCATCAAAAACATGCATTTAAGATTTTGACTCTTAATTTCAGTTATTTTACGAAGTTATATTCTTATGTTTCTTCCACTATAAATATAGCTCGTTTTGATACTTTGTTTAAATTCAATCTAAATCTTGTTAATTTGTAGGAAGCTTAAATAAATAAGTGAGCCTCTGGTATATTTGAGATTTTTTTCGGCCCTATTTCTACCTCTTTCGGGTTTAACAGCCACCACAAATTTTTGTTGATTTTTCGGAATTGAACCAACGACCTTACGTATCAGATTTTCGTGATACAGGCGATTTTGGATTTTAATATGAATTAAAATTGAAGACTGGTAGAGACATCTGTACTTCAATGGTTGGACTGTTATAGAACTGTCAATCAATGTTGGTAAATAGGCAATTGCATGCGCATCGCATAATAAATATTGTACTTGTTTTTTTCAGCAATTTTAAATTTGTAAAGTCATTTCCTTGGCATTGAAAGGGCGTTTGATAGGAAGCAGTTCATTATTCGGACAGATTGCAAAACAGTCATTGTGGGTCTTGTCGAGGTCGGTCGTCACGTGACAATGACGTTTGCTGTGCGTAATGGTTACGGGGACCAATGGTAGTGGGACAGATATTATTTGTGCGGACGATTGTTGATTGTAAATAATATGAGAGTATTGTCAGAGGCGTAGAGTGTGCGAGGATTTCTGTTGGGTCGATCGAATTTCAAGTGGGACAGAGAGAGAGGAGGACAGGACACGGTAGAAGGATTTGGAGGCGAGCTGAAGCTGCTAGAGAAGATGGAAACGCTGCCGGTAACGTTGATAGTGAAAGCCCCGAATCAGCAAATCGAGGATCAGACTGTTCGCTGTGAACTGTCATGGACTATACAGAAGCTGAAGCAACATTTGTCGGAAGTATATCCCAGCAAACCAGTAAGTGTGGCATTTGTTATAAACAAACGAACGAAACAAAACAACACGAGTAACCTTCGCACGGGCCATCAAACATTCATAGAATCCAACGCTATTGCTGCTGATGTAATGCGCTTTATACTCGATTGCGAGAAAATAAAATGACAAAAACAAACAAAAGTATCATAAGTAGGTTAGACCAATTTATTGAATCAACAATTTTTGTTGTAGCCTTTAGTCTACATTTGATACTTGCAGCCAAAAATACATTTCGATTTTATTATCATCAATAATTCAGATTCTTTGATAAATATTCCCATATCTGACCTCCAATTGTTTCCACTGATTGAGACTAATTTTAGTTTAAAGTTATTATCTGCTCTCATTATCTCTCTCTCTCTTTCACTATTTATATATCTGCAGGAAGTCTGTGTTATTACTATTTGTATTTGTATCAAATTGCCTGAGAAGCAAAAAAACAGATTACATTAACAAAACAAATAATAGTTGATTATTTAACCACAACACTTGCTTAGTAACCAGATCCTAAATTATCAATTAAAATTCTGTAATCCCATTAGAATCCAGACAGTTGTTGTTGCAATTGTTATTTAAATAAATTATAGTTTTGTTAACAACATGTGAATGAATAAACATTATTGCAACTATGTTTATTATCATTGCTCAAACAATATAATCTGTATCATTGTAGTTTAATTTCAAGAATTAGTTCAGGGCAGAAAGACGTAAATATAATTATATTTATTGCTCCTTCTGTGAATCTACTCGATATACAACAGTATTGATATTTTGACTTGATTATAAATTATTTCGAAATTAATGTATTTCATGTTGAAAATTGTTATAAAATCCATAAACTTCACTAGATTAATGAAATTTAAAACAGAATAATGAAATTCACATTACCTGTTATTTTGTTAAAAATATGTAGAAATATTTCAATATCTTATCATTCGTTTCAAGAAATACCAAATATTAAAAAAAAGGAAATAAGGAATGTAAATGTTATAAAATCCATAAACTTCACTTGATTAATGAAATTTAAAACAATAATGAAATTCACATTACCTGTTACTTTGTTAAAAATATGTAGAAATATTTCAATATCTTATCATTCGTTTCAAGAAATACCAAATATAAAAAAAAAGAAAACAAGGAATGTAAATCAGGTCTATATTGAACTGCATTCTGCATTAACTACTTTCGTATGGGCTGCAGTTGAAGATAATGACGATTGTTACTCATGTGGAAAATTATCTAATCTGAAATGACCACGTAATATCTGAAATTCTATACATTTTCTTGTCCCAATTCGATGATTTCACAATGTTAAATCAATTGTGACGATTTTTTTTGTTGCAATTTCTGTTAATATTTCTAGTGTTTGAACATGACTAATTTTGTTTGTAAATGTTTCTTTACTTAATGCATATTATAGTTTTTATTGTTTAAAACATGAAAATAACTCGTCATGTTTTAACATTGATGAAAAACATTTAACGTTTTCTCTATTTCTGTCAACAAATAAAATAATATTTTTTCGCATCCTTGAACCACGTTTTGCACATTGACACGTGTGATGTAATAATTAATATTGCTATGTACACAGTGTTTGCATGCGATTACTAATCTTTGTTTTATATTTGATTTGCAGCCGAGAAATGAACAGAAGTTGATTTATTCTGGAAAATTGCTGAACGATTCAGTCGTGCTGAAGGATATCCTGCGACAATTCGATGGTCAGGACACTCACACCGTCCATCTGGTCTGCACACCAAAATTCACTCCACAGACTGAATCCTCCCCACAGACCACCGCTGCTCCACCAAGAGAACAATCAGCGGCTTCTGCTGCAGCCGTCGATCCACCACCGCCCCATTCCAATGAACCCTTTAACAACCAAAGATTCCCAGACTGGTATAACCATCAGTTCAATATGATGGACGCACAGACTATGCAGTTGGTCATGCAGCAGGCCTACATGCAATATATGAACCATTACATTAGCATGTAAGTATGAAACATCATTGATAATCGGAAAGAAAGAACGAATCGTAAAAAAAACAATTTTAAACAGATAATTTGTAGTAGTTGTTTTTTTTTATATTTCGAGTAGAAATTTCTCCGCCGATGATGAATTTGCATCAGAATAAATCGGCAATAACACTTCTTTCGCGCAAATTGTTTGAGTTTGTAATGAGTGAAAGTGAGAGTTCGAACGGAACGAGTTGCACAACCGCTTCGAGAACAGGAAGGAAGGAAGATATTTACTTTTTAATGTGTACCAAATCAATTGCGTTATGCAGATTTAATTTTTCATTGTGTCCGTTGCTGTATACGAAATATTAGTTTTGATACTTTGTTTCTATTCACATGAAACTACTATCACTTAAGTTTCATCGAAATTTCAACAATTGAAACAATAATTATCAAAAATAAAATAATCAAGATCATAACAACTTAATTGTTGCAGTTGGCAATATTAAATTTGAAAAGTCATTGTTAGTAAAATAATCGGTTTGATACTTTGGATTCATAATTTTCAATCAGTCGAACTTTGAGTTGCGTTTATACTTGTACAAGAAAGTGTTGTTTTTGTCTAGTATGGCATTTTTGCTTAGATAAACCTAATAAAACCAAAGCTAAAGTCTTTTCTAATGTAAAACTGTAGGAACATATTTTATTTCATAACTTATTACTAATTTATTAGTTTTTAAGTGGTAGGGTGAATAAGATTTTTGAATGATGCAGTTCCTTTTTGTTTGGAATTGAGATCACCTTTACTTAGTTGTAAATGTTTTTTGCAGTGCAAATCATATGCAAAATGTGAATTATGGTCAACCGATTGCGGAAACCCTTCAGCAAGCTGCGCAGGCCATCCCCGATATGCAAGATCAACCGCAAGACCCGGCACAGCCTCCCGCGTACCAACCGCAAGCGCAGCAACCGCAGATACCGAACATCCCCGAAGCACATATTGGACGTGATCCGGATCGAGAGGGAAATCGCGATTGGCTGGACGTCTTCTACTTGCTGAGCCGAATGATGGTCTTCATCAGCGTCGTGTATTTCTACTCGAGCCCCGTGCGATTCATATTCGTGGTAGTTTTAGGTTTAGCCCTTTACCTTTATCAGATAGGTTTCTTCAGGAACGTCAACATCAACAACAATAATATAGCGCAAGGCGATGCAGCCGAAATTCAGGCGCCCACACGACTCATGGTACTGTGGACGTTCTTCACCACGTTCTTTGCTTCTCTCATACCGGAAATACCGAATGTCATCTAAGGCAGACGTTTCCGATCTGCTCTGCACTGCGGAAATTTCGATGATCAAAGTAAATAGAGCATACAACATACATATAGTTTCAAATTAGTGAAACACTTGCAACACGATTCTGTAAATAAAATTCTTTATTATTATTTTGTTATTAATATATTAATAGAAAACAAAAGCAAAGAATTATATATATATACGTTATTATTCTACACAAAGAACGCTTAATTTTGAATAATTTACAATGCGCTGGTAATAACATATCACGGTGTCCAAATTAAGTTTTTCGCCCCTCGTTTCGTTGCTTATGAATTAATATCATTTTCAATATCGACGAGACGAAAATATTGCAATAACCGTGTATATTATTATATTAAGCTATGTTTAGTTGGGTACATACATATTTGTGATCGTATGTTATTGATTTTGGAAACTTACATTAATTAGGCTGAGGGGATGAAAACACTGTAAGGATGATAGGAAATGGCATTGACAGGGTATATATAATACAGAATATCCAAGAAAAAGGTCAAATTGAAAACATGTTTTGTTGTAGGAAAATTCAACTTCGTATTTATTGGAATACGACTTAGCTTACATATAATTGTAAATATATATACGATGCTAGGTTTTTAGATAAATATGTGATTTTAATAATAAGATTATACAAAAAAAAAAAATATGAAAAATACAAAAAAAAACTTTTCCTTGAAATATATTAAGTAAACTAAATTAATCACAATCCATTGTATCCGTCTGTTTAATTGTTTGACTTGGTGCAGGTTCTTCATCAGATTTATGCTCCGCCGTCTTACCGTTGTCGGTGTTACTAATTTCAGTTATAAATTGTTTTTGGCTTTCTTGTGGATGGTTTATCTTAGCCTCAGCCATCTCCTCTAATCTCCTTAATCTTTCCTGTCTCAACCTCATGGCTCTCTCCTTATTAATACGGACTGTCTCCAATTGCTCTTCAGTCAGTTGAATAGTATCTGCTGCTGGTTTCTTTGTCTTGTTTACCAACGCATCGAATTGACTTTCCGCTCTGCTTGGCTCCGTCACAGGAACATCCACCTCTCTTTCCTCGCTAATAGGCTTCAACGTTTCCGGCTCTATAAGACCCATCCGAATCTTTTTGATCTGCGTCTGAAGATGAATTAAAGCAATTAGTAAACATACATTGATTACAGTTATGATCAACTTACAATGACTGGTTTCTTGCTCCCTAGTTTCTCTAATTTGGATATGCACTCATCGAATGGATATTTTGGAAATAATCTATGACACCAGTACTCGTAGGTCTTCATCAGTGTTTTCAGGTCCTGCTCTTCATGTCCTTTACCTTTGAACTTTTGTTTATTGAAGAGCTCAGGCATTGCCAGCAATCCTCGAGGTCCTTGCAGTGTTTGTGCATTCAACTTTGGTTGTGGATTCCTTATTGCGCGTCTTGGTTTTATAACTTTCTTGGCTGCAGCATCATCGTCTGCATCTTCGTCAACTCGTTCAACTGTGACAACTTCACCATCCTCCTCCGCCTCCTCTATAACTTCCAGACTATTATCCTCTGGATCAGACTGGTAGGTGTCCATGTTACGCGCGTATTATATTCTAGGTTATGTCTATTGCTTATGTTTATACTTCAAGGAATGTTTTTCGTTTAGCTTTTTTTTCGCTTAAATTATTTTAATCAAAGTTACTATCCTCTTCCTCGCCTGACTTAGAATCGTCTTTCACCGAAGGCTCTGCCGTCTGAACTTGATTGATGCGCTGCAGAAACGAAGTCAACAATTTCTTGTTCAAATGATCCGTCAGGGTGGTTTCCCTCTGCGCCTGAGCTGGTTGATATTCACCAACTTCTTCAGCTTCAACAATTTGTTCCTTGGGCGGCTGTGTTACTGGCATTTTACTTTTGTTTTTCAACGCCCCGAAAGTTGACTCACAATATTTGACAACTGGTTACTTTTTAGGTTAAGAAAAATCAACTGTTCAAATTAAAAAAAAATAAACAAACGAATTTGCTTCATTTTAGTTTCATATTTATATTATATGAATTTATTCCATTAAAGAATTTATTCTAAACATTTTACACATTAGAAAATGAAATTAGAGGGGAAATGTTAGCCCTTATAGATCCTTAAAAGTATATCAAATAAATAACATAATTAAGTTAATTTTTGTATGATGGCGGAATTCAAAATTCCTGCATCGACAATTGTCTGCTTGTCCTGCAGCTCCTTGGGTGGAAAAGAGGTGAGCAGCGCGAACGAACGCATCTCGTATTGGGGCCTTGCTGTCACAATGAACGATCTGATTTGCTCAATGGTGTGCTGATGGTTGAATTGTCCCACCAATCTAGTCCCATCGGCCAAACGAATCTGTAAACTACAAAATCGATTTATTACAAATTGTTTATCTTGTACGTAGTTATCGTTCTTTACTTTGTTGTTGGCTGATTGGAATCCACATGAAGGTTCTCTCTAGCATGAGATTCGTTGACGTTGCGATCCTCGTCCAGAGGAGCTCCAATTGTCGGCGGAGTTGGGCTACCCAAAGTATGTCCCTGTCCTGAGAATGCCTTCCTCGAAAACCTTTCTGATTTCTTCGCAAACGTCTCCATGCGATGATCTTCCATGCTCACGTGCACCTGAATCACAACACATTATTCAGATTGAATTGATGAGTTTGTTTTATACATTACCTCGCTAACATCCCTTCTGAGTTCCGTTGGTATTTCTCCCCTTCTGACGCTAGTCAGAAATTCCTGATTCGCGGGATCAGTGTACATCCTCAATGCACCATCATCAATGCTGAATCCTTCTTTCCATAACTTCAAAGTGACCTGTACAGGCTTTGAAGGAACTGGTGCACCTGGGACTGTTTCTGTGTCATCACTAGTCTGTCCTAATTTGTAACCAGTGCCCCTGAAAGCTGAAGAACCACTTGCTTGGTTATCCAATACTTCAACTCCATGTCTACAAAAGTTAAATATAATGTAATTTAATATAAACAATAGATGAATAAATCAACTTACTCTTTCACAGACTTAAACATGTCAGCCACTATGTCTTTCTTCTTAGGCCCCAGCACCTGCTGCCCACTGTGCTCTGATCCTCCAGCATAGAATGCCTGACCATCCTCCTCCTCATCACTGGAATTATTGAGTGTGTGGATTGTTGCAAATTTCGAGTTTACCTTTTTCTTCTCTGGCTTGGGCTTGGCAAGTGGTGTTGTTGGCTCAGTGTCTGATGGTTGGTCAATAACCTCCACATCTGATTGACTGTCAGCATCTGCATCATAGAAACTTGCTAAAGCCATCTGGAAATCAAAATTTATGATATTACATGCAAATATACAATTGATTTATTTTCATGTTAACCTCCAAAGTCCAGGACGCTGCTTCCAGGTAAAACCTGGCGCGTTCTTCATTTACACCAGTGATTGATCGAAAATGCTCGATTTTCTCATCATTACCCGACATTATTATGAACTGTTACACAAGATTTTCAACAAACCGGTAACAAAAACAAATTTTGACTAGTCAGTTTTTTACAGAAACGTCAATTTCAAGTACACACTAATGGCCTGTTAGTTCCACTAGTTTCCTATTAGAACTACCGTCAACTACTTATATACTGTTTTCCAAGTACAACATGAGTCATTTAATTATTTCCTCATGTTACCAAATTACCTTTTGCTAATAATAATTGAATCATATATCATATTAACACGCGTGCTAAAGAATAAATAAAAAATAATTTATTAGTAGTTCAAATAATATAAACAAAATGCATATTTATTATTAGATATTATTAAATATTAGAATTAACAGTATGAATGAAAAATGATAATTACAAATCAACAAGTTATATTAATATTTATACCAAAAGTAAATTTTAATATTTTAGAATGTCGGTATTAACACAATGATCTACATAACCTACATTATTTTGTAACCTCTAATTAATAGAATTTAAGTAACAATTATTGTTATTTAACATTGAGAATTATGGCCTTTTATCGTGTATGTTATCATACACCAAAGATAATTTCGAATTGCATAAAGTTGTCCTCCTGTTTGAATCACAGGTAAGATTTTCAAAATTTAATTTGTGAAAATTGAATTGAATTAATAAATTGTTTTAGTAACAATAGGACAAAATGCATTTCAACAATTTATGGAAAATCACAGTACCATACAAGTCAAACATTTTGGAAAAGGAGGAAAACTGTGGAAGAAAGGGTAAATTTATTGCAATTTGTTTAATTTTCGTTTTTCATTGAGATATTTAGAAATCTTCCAGGATAATAGAATACACTCCCAAAGCTAAAGCAAAGGTGATTGATGTATGGAGGAATATAACAGTGGCAGAATTGGCACAAGTCCTTGATCGTGATGTAAAATATGTGTGTGATTTATTTCTTAATCAAGTGTCAGGTGGAAGGACAGTAATTAGTGACCAAGCACTGCTGCATGAAGCAGTGAAGAGGAGTGGTCACAGGATGAGAGTGGTTGCCAATCCTAATGATGTGGTGGAAGAGGAGGTGGATAGGGATATTTACCCTAGGCCACCTCCTACTAAGAGTCAACTGAAACCTAGGCCTCCTGTGGTCACTGTTATGGGTCATGTTGATCATGGCAAGACAACTTTACTGGATGCGCTCAGGAATACTAAAGTAGTAGCTAGCGAATTTGGTGGCATAACACAACACATTGGTGCTTTTTCAGTTGAACTAAAGTCCGGCGCCAAAATTACGTTTTTGGATACGCCAGGTCACGCTGCATTCACCGCTATGCGAGAAAGAGGTGCAAATATAACTGATATTGTAGTATTGGTAGTTGCTGCAGATGACGGAGTCATGGAACAGACAGTCGAATCAATCAGAATGGCCAGGCAAGCAAGAGGTTACTTTAATGCATACATTCATACAGTCATATTACTTTAAATAAATAATTTACAGTGCCCATATTGGTTGCTATAAATAAGATCGACGCCCCAAGAGCGAACGTGGAGGAGACAAAGCAAATGCTTGTGAATAATGGCATACAAGTTGAAAGTCTTGGAGGAGATGTACAGGCCGTTCCAATTTCGGCGCTTAAACGCAGGAACCTGGACCAATTGACAGAGGCGTTGGTTTTACAAGCCGAACTGTTGGAAGTCGGTGCAGATCCTATCGGTCCAGTGGAAGCTGTGGTGGTGGAAAGCAGATTGCATCCGCAGAGGGGAAGATTGTGCACGATTGTGGTGCAACGAGGCACGCTGAAGAAAGGTGATGTAATTGTTGCTGATACCTCATTGTGCAGGGTTCGTTCAATCAAAGATCATGACGGTAAACAATTGACGGAGGTGAAGCCTGGATATCCAGCTGAAGTAGAAGGCTGGAAAGATCTTCCATCCGCCGGAGAAGTTGTACTGCAGGTGGACAGCGAGAAGACGGCGAGGAACGTGATCAAAGCGAGAGAAAGCAAAAAGCAGTTGGCTAAGCAGGAAGAGGATGCTATTGCTATCTCGTCCAAGGAGGAGCAACATGACAGGGAGTACAAAGAGAAACTTATGCACAAACGTCGCATGGGTAGATTCAGGCTGAGAAGCCAGGGTCCACGAGGAAAGGAAATTATAGATGGTAATATTTTTACATTATTTCCAAATATTTTGAAATAGAAGTTCAAATTTAATGTGAATTTGTCTATTCTCTTAATATTAGGATTAATTATCCAAAAGTTTTAATGTAATTCTAATTTCAGATGACGATGGTACGCCTAGGATAAATTTGATAATCAAAGCAGATGTGGATGGAACGTTGGAAGCGCTATTGAATACTCTGGACAGTTACGAAGAACCCGACTGCGTCATGGATTTAGTACATTATGGGGTTGGCGCCGTGACGGAAAGCGACATCGAAATGGCAAAGTCCTTCAATGGCATCATTTATGCATTCAATTCTGACTGCCCACCTAAATGTAAAGACCTGGCCGACCAGAATTCAGTACCTATTAAACACCACAATGTAATTTACAAGTTGGTCGACGATGTCAAGGAGGAAATTAACGATAGGCTACCCCCCATAAGCTACGAAGAAGTGATCGGTGAGGCAACAGTCCTACAGCAGTTTGATATAAACGAAGGCAGAAAGAAGGTTCCAGTAGCTGGATCGCGCTGCATCAAGGGTGTGCTAAAAAGGTCTGCCAAATTCAAATTAGTCAGAAACGAAGAAACTCTCTTCGACGGTAATCTTTAGTATTCCCAAATACCATTGAACCAATTGTAATGTTATTATATTTAGGTCCGCTTTCTTCCATGAGACATTTGAAGAACGAGGTGGACTCTATCAAGAAAGACTTGGATTGCGGCCTTCAGTTGCAAGATAAAGATTTGGAGTTCAAACCGGGCGACACGATTGTTTGCTACGAGAACAAGTCAAAACGACAGGAGACCTCGTGGGATCCGGGATTTTAATGTGCTAGTTTTCAGACTGTGGGTTAATCGCGTCATGAGGTAACAATTAAAAATATTTATTCAATGTAACAAACATTTACTTTCGAAGCGCTTGAAGCCTCGGCGCCGACAGTTTAACTTTTCCCGGCAGATTTTTCGCCATCACATCATCCTTGACGGCTTTCAGCAAGTCCCTTTCCCTTTGCGTGATCGTTTTCTCGTGCAGAAACATGTTGACAGCCGTTTTCGAAGCTTTACCTCTCTTCGAAGTACCCGGTGTTAGTTTTACCTTGAACCTGTTGCAAACACAATGGTTGTTATATATTTCTAATAAATATTTAGTATAATATAAATATTTATGTGGTAATATTGGTTTATATTCCATGACTAGGTTATTTATTATATTACTTACTTGTACTGTGAGAGAGTATTGTAAGGAGCTACGACAGGAACGGCAAATAACAATTCGTCTTCTGTAGTTGGAATTCCAGTTAGGGCATCAATCATGTCGACGTCAGCCTGCACCACGGGTTCATCTTCCACGTCGAAATGTTGCTCCACATTTGGTCTCGGCTGTCTCGGACCTTTCTCGTTTTGTTTGTTTTTATTTGCTTGCGAATCCTTGGAATTTTTCTTGTTTTTCTTGCTGATCGGACCAGCCGACTACACATGAAAGAAATAAGTATATATTAAAAACGTTACACCATTGCTTCGAAACAACAAAATAACCTGAAGAATGGTCATCCTCAACTGTCGTTCCTCCTCGTCCTGATCACCGTACTTTTCTTTAATCTTCTTAAGTTTACTTCGCTGACCACGTTTTGCCTGTTGAGTTTGTTCCTTTTTCTCTTCTATAAATTATTCAATTATCGTCACACAAATAAGCTAACTATGATATTACTTTGCTGTCGCTGCTCCTGAACGCTGCTTTTACTTTTGGTGCTGGTCTCGCTTGCAGTCCGACTTCTCTGCTTGCTCTTTTCCATCCTCTCTTCAATATCTAGTTTATCCTTGGGCGCTTGGAACCCTGAAGTTGTTTCAGTCACAATGTTAATCCTACAAGAATGAATTTAAATAAGAATTGACAATAGAACCAATGAACCTACTTTGTTCCCTCTGTATGTGTAATTTTAATTTTTGTGTCTGGGAAGGCGGATTCTTCGGAATCGCTTTCTTCCTCGTCGTCCTCCTCCTTGATATCGCCCAACTTTGCCTCCTGTTCAGTTTTCTCGTCGCTACTATCGCCGCTATCTTCGGAAATGACGATTTCCTCATCTTTGCTATCTTCTTTGATCTCTTCAAGTTCTTCCTCGTTTCCAATCACCTTCCTCTCATCTTTATGCCTCTCGATACTACCATCCTCCAGTCGGAACAGAAATCCCAATCCAAGAATCAAATGCGATGGTGGTAAGAAGTTTTTCTTGCCGCGAACCATGAAACTACCTGTGGTCAAGTACTCTCCCGTCGGAGCGGTCTTGCTCACTTGCTCTCCGAATACCCAATAAGCATTCGTTAATACCTTAGCTTCCCAAGCAACACTGAAATAATTGAATCCATTGAGTTGTTTAGTTGAATAATAATAATACGTTGTAATAATACCTATAGCAGATGGCCATTGTACCAGCCTCGTTTAATGTCTTCGGCGGGACCGGCTTTCCGCTTGGATTCTTTATAACTACACTCGAAGCACCGTGGATGTCGGCATGCACGTAAATATCTGTAGGTCTCATATACCTCTTCACGATGAGCTCGTTCTGGCCTTGATCGCGACCGGCGATAATCAAGTAGTTCTCCGAGCTGATGAACCAGAAGAACTTTTCGAACCAGTAGACCTTCCGTGCCTTGTTGATGTTCGTCGTGGTTTGCATCTGAAATTACAAACGACACCTCAGATTACCAACTTATTAATTGATATTCAAACGTTCCCCACCTCCTTCAAAACTTGCTTGGTCTTCTTCTCTGCTGACTTCAAAGCCTTACTCTGCGATTCTATGGTCTTCTGTTGCTTCTTGGCGGCCGATCGTTTCTGGTCGTAGTATCTAAAGACAGAAGATATTTGCTACATTAGCATTCAGTTACATAATACGCGCTATTACTAAATCTACCTTCGGGCGTTTGCGAAAGCACTCAATGCCAAATCAATGTCGATCACTAGAGGGATGGGCTCCGTGTTTTCCTCTGGATATGGATCGGCTAGAAGTAAACTGATGTGGTTGGTGTTCAATTTCAATTGTTTAATCTGCTTAGCGACAGGATCCCCCTGAGCCGCTGCTTCCTTAACCAACGTTTCAATGTCCGCCCAAGCCATCTGCAAATAGTTACAAAGTTAATACAAGTCCTATCTAAACCACTGAATGGTTAGTACCTGGTTTGCAAGCGCGCTCTGGATGGCAAGGATAGCTGATTCAACCAATTGTTGATTCTTCGTAATTAACTCTGCTTTGACCTTATCTGACTCTTGCGTCTTCTCCAACGCTACTAAGCGTTGATCGTGATCGCGTTTTACGTTTTCTAACTTCTTTACAGCTTCCCTCTCCTGCTGCAACGATTTCATATCAATTTTCTGACCCTGCAGCGTGGAGAAGAACTCGTCGACTGCCTCATTAAACGTCTCATACTCTTGGTAAGTGTGCTCGGTATGCTGGGCGTAAAGTAGCGGATGAAATTCCTGGTTAGCAAAAAAATATTCCTTTTCCGCATCTTTCGCAGTATTTGGACGCTCCTCTTTTTTCTGAATGATATATCCCTGAAGCATACTTTAATAACTAACTACACTTCCTTTTAAATAAACAACATACCTTTGATGTATCAACATTGGTCATGAGGTGATGCGCTTCACTCAACGCTTTGTGCAATTTAACGACGTCGTCCTCTACATTGAAATCCTTTCCGATTTTCGTAGAGTTCGCAAATCCGTATTTCAAAAAAACATGTTCAATCAGCGCTGGTCCAAATTCTAAAAACAATATACAATTATTATTCAACGCAATTCGTGCAAAGGCTGCACAAACCAAAATTTGGCATTAACCATTTCTTCAAGGAATCCCCAGGCTTTGCTCCAGCTAAGATTTGCTGAATTTCCTCAACCGTCGGCGCACTCAATTCGCGAGCCCGATCCTGCGGATATTTCTCCCTAACGGCGAACCTCACTTTATCCCCTTCCGTGTGAGGTCTAAGTACATTCAATATAGTCCACTCGAAGTCAGTCAAAACTATATTTCCCTTATCAAAGAGCTCCAAAATAACGTGGTAAGCTGCCTCGCCACTACCAAACTGCAGATCCACGATACGATCGCATCCAAGTTGCTTCAAAGATTCCAACCTTTTATTTTTTAAATGTTTTCTTAACTAAAAAATATAAATCTCTAAATTTATAACTCTACATCAATAGCTGAAACCAATACTTTCATGCTGAATCCGGAGGGAGCCATATTCTTAGGCCACTCATAGTTGGTTGTGTGGAACCTATTTCCAGATTCCAAAAGTAGCACAAACTTTGCCTCTGTCTTCTGCAGTCTTATCAGATAAGTCTTGTTGTCGATGTCATAGACATTGTTGACTCTCATGCCAATCAGCCTTTACAAAAGAAAAACAAATGACCATCAATGAGTATTATAACCTAATAAAGTTCTTTAGCACACTTACTTTTGAAGCTCGGCGATGCTGCATATGATATCGTAAGTGTTAAATCGCAACTTCATCCTGATCACAGGTGTTTAAACGACGGTTTTAATTAAGAAATGTATTTGTTGACCTGCGTGCTAATTCCTGCCAAAATGATATAAAAGACTTCAATTACATGCCAACAGCTGGCTGTCATGACATTGTTATATGACATGATGTTTAATCCATCATCAGATAAAGATTATATTACCAATTCCTGTAGAACTATTAGAGAATCAACAACGTGTGTGCAGCATGTCATATTTCATTTAAAAGAGAAGAATGGCATTACAAACACAACGCCTTTGATACAAATTTCAAAATGAAACATGTTTGCAACACATCGAACTCTCGAGTGTTGAAGGTTTCAGCAAAGTCTTCACACCAAGTTAATATTGATATAAGCAATATTTACGCAACCGATTCTATAGCCGTAGAAGTATATCCTGAGGTGAATTAAATAACATGTATATCTTGTTTAAATCAAATAACATAAATTGAACAAATCAATTGCACTAACCAATATCAAAAGTAAGAATTATCAATTATTTATCAATAGTCAATATTAAGATTCATGTATCTCATATTAAACTTTAATATTTAAGACTTTGTATTTTTTTTTATTTTTAATAGCAAAAGTACATATTCAAAAATTGACACAAAATATTAGGTTCAAAATCATTTTTTCTAAAGAACAACAGATTTTAATTTGAAACTAATTAAAAACATTATTTTGTATCTTGTAATTGTTTTAATATAGAATAATAGAAATTATGTACTTATTAATCTAAGAGGAAATAGGTTTGTATTTTTGAGTTCGGTTTCCTGTTGTGTTTTCTTATTTATTTAATTTAATCTAGGTTTGTGGGATATCCACCACAATCGTATTTTACATCATAAATGATTATATTACAGTAATTATGTAACAAATTATTTGTTAAGTTAATATTTGCTAATAATGTTATTGAATTGTTTTAGGATGAAAGAATTGAATTGGAAGCGCTCGAGCGATAATTTGCATGGCGGGGTTATTGTAAATGGTAGAGGTAATATAGTATGAATAAGCATTTGGAAGACGGCGAGCGGCAGATGCGAACGAGCGAGCGAGCGAGTCGATCAGTCTGGCTGGTGCAGTAGAGGTGTGCGCTTGGTGCTTGTTACTTGGCGCGTCGTGCTTGGTGCTAGTGCTTGCGCGTCGCTCCCTTACGAGTGTGCGCGCGTGCGGAATTTCAGCCCCAGCCCCTATTCGCAAGGCTTCTGCCATGGCCGAATAAAAACTGACTCTGGATGAAAACGGGCCCCGTGCAGCGCGAACTCCTGTAATGTGACGGGAGTGTACAGTTCCCCAATATCGAGAGACGAATTATTCAAAAAAAAAATAATAACTATTAACAAAATAAACCCTCATCACACAATCATGGTTCAGTTGGATTTCTCTTCCGTTGGTAAGCTCCTCCACAACTCTACGCTATTACATTTTTTTTTTGCGAACATATCGATTGTTTACCACTCACTAGAGCGGTTTGACATTTAGCACGTCCGTACACCCTATCTAAGGACTCTTCCAAAATGATCAGGATCTCTTATCTACTCATTCATCAACATCTGTGCACCTCGCTCATTTGTTTCTTCACAACCATAATTATGCGAATACCTACAACCTAGGTAGAAAACTGAAAATTTCTTTCCTTTTATTTTATTGTGTGAACAGGTGATTTGAACGTGCCTGCGTTTCAGGAACCCACATTTATTATACTCTCGAAAATCGCTTTACCTGTTCATACTCGCAGCTGTTCCCTTTAAATAATGACATCACCTTTCAGAAAATCTGCTCACAGAAACTGAAATAACAATCATCCCGAAACACAACTAAAACAATAATCTGAACTCTTTCCTGCAGATGTTTACATTTTTCATATTATAAATCACAAAGTACTATTAAAAGTAAATAAGCTGATACGAACAATTACGTATTTATAAACAAAACAAAATAAGCACACTTCATAAATAATGTATTGTTAACTTTATGTAATAATTTAATTTAAACTATGGGCGCGGTTTGCATAAATACTCTCGTAGTTATTTTATAAGCATTGCATTTTGCCCAAATCTTCTACCGAATCCAAATACTATAACTCCTAATAAAAATAAGCGTGGAAAACTTATCGTAATCTTATGCTTACTTGAAAGTTTAAATTGCTTTCGGTTGTAATCTTCTTTAAGGTCTTTGGGTGCGGTTTTGTCTTAATGCTATTATTTTTTGGATGCGAATAACATTGTATTTTATTTTTTCACTCGTAATCTTCTGTTAACAATTATTATATAATGCTCGAAAGAGACGTTATTTGAAATGCATCTGCTTCATTCGAATCAATTGAAAACTGCGAGCATCCACTTGAAAACATGAGATACTTATATGTGTTTCGCATATGAACAAATGAAACAAAGAAACGATAATTATGTTAACTTTTTCGTAGTTTATATAAAATATAAATTATTTCATTGCGAAAGAAGTAATATGAAAGTTAAGCAACTTTGATTATGATTCCATATTATAACTATATTTTGTTTTTGATCCTGTTTTCGAAAATTCAATAAGTATTCAAACATTGTTTGAACACAACACATCTTTAAGTTTGTTATTTTAAATTATTATTTCTTGTTTACTTTTTGTATCTAAGTTTATTTTCAATTCTAACTTAAATCATATTGATGCTTATTTATTTAATGTTTGTATTTGTTGCATCTTTTTGATAAAACATTGAAAAATCCTAACTGCAAATTTTTATTTATATTTATTTATCTTTAAGATTGTTCGAATCGCTTTATTTTCAAAACACAAACACCGGTTTATTGTACGTTACAAACGAGCAATTGATGCGTGCATTTGTTTATTTACTTCCAAAGAGAATATGTATATGGTAGCTCAAGCTTAAGTGTGTTTATTTTATATTCTGGATGTGTTTATGGCGATGTAACGACTTGTTGAAAAAAAAACAACAACGTAAAATGCGTAAGCCGGATTTCGGAAGACGAAATGCGGTTGGATTTGCGATTAGATGACTCACCGCCGCAGTTTTAGATCATCAAAATTCAAATATCAAATAATGTTATTTATTTAGTATTTACTCGAGATTCTCTGCGTTGAATCATCTTTGTTTATTAAACAAGTTATGCAAGTTCTGAAACTAGAAAATATTTTAACAATTAGTTGCTTTCAGTTCTTGATAATTTGGGAAGTAAATTCAAGTATAATTGAAGAGGTATAATAATTGTATCTCTTTTAAATTGCAGTTTTTGTAAATTATGTTCAACACACAAAAAAATAACTTTTAAGAAAGTATAAGATTTAGAAATTTCGATTATCAAATATTCTATAATTATTAAAACTTTAAATGAAAATTGAAGAATCTCTAGAAAAGTAAAACAATATACGCAATACAGTAACATTGTTCAAATTTATTATGTATATGTTTTAAATTGCAGTTTTCTCAAATTATGCATCAAAAGAACTTTACGAAAGATTAACCAGAAAGTAAAAGATTTCTGAAGACAATTATATATGTACTTTTTTTTTATCCCACGGAGTAATCAAGGTTCGTTACCTGTTCTTGCGTTTCTGTTCACTAATTAACTGCAACAATCGCAAGTAAAATCGACGAGTTCCTGGTTCATGGGAGGCATTGAAACAAATGAAATGCTCTGTTTTATATTTATTGGTAATTGCAAACATATCGAGAGTTTTATTTACTTTTATTAATAATTCGCTAATTGTAATCTTTTATTTAATTAAAAAATATAACATGTAGGAAACTCAATGCCTCGAATCCAGTTCTTTGAGTTACCGTACACCGGGCAATTGATATTTCGTGCCGCAGGGGCTGAACTCTTTTTATTTTTTGCTTTTTTTTTTTCGTTACTTCTGAACGTACACCACCTGCCGCTGCAACGGCCGAATGGGTTTAAATTAATACCTACGTGAACCTGCCTCTGGTCTTTGCATTATTTTTCACTACATTTTTTTTTCTTCTCGCATCGATCTCTCCCCTTTGATTCGCATTGAAACCCAAAATGCCAATAACGTATTTTGTAGCTTCTCATTAAGATTTACTCACACCTCAATCATAACCAAATATATATATATATAAGTTTTAATCTAATAAATTGAACTAAAAGAAATAACTAAATAACACCTGTTCGTAGTTGGGAGTTTATTCAATTCGCTGTCAGTGTTACATCGAGTTAAGTCAGTTACTGTGTGAAGAGAAATGTAACAACAGTTGAATGAAATGTTTCGACGAAATGAATTTATTTAAGCGACATTTGAACTTTGCCTTTATTGAACATTCCAAATACAAATGAAATTGTACAATAGATATAGGTTTCACTCTTCCAAGGCTACCGTGATTTATTTATTAATATTCATTTAATTTATTAACTTATTTAATCAACAAATTAATCACTCTTGTATTGAGACCTTAAGACATAATAGTTAGGAAACTCTTAGTGTTATTATGATATGGAATAGTTTTTCTAAGATCGTAAATAATGATAGTATAAGAAAGTAACATACAGAATGAAGGAAGGACTCTATGAATCATTGTACCTGTACTCTTGTCGTCGAGGTATGGGATATCAGGAAACGACCAGATTACTCGAATCTCATCATACAGCACAAACATACAGATTTCCTTTTACCATTAAATGCAGATGAGTACGAATATTCGTGACCATTAAGATTCCGTCCGGCCTCCCTCGACCGCTGTCGTCGCTGTGAATTTCGAATGATTACCACGATTATCGTGTAACATATCTTGAATAAGTAAAATCGGACTTCCTCTCTTGCAAAACGATAATGAAATGCGTTTCGGAACGCACGGAAATAGAGTAAACCGACTGGCAATTATCATTGTAAACAGCCATAGTTGAAAATTGTATGTACGTGTTTCTACGTATGTACAGTATCTACTGCGGTTTTGCGGAATATTTTATTTATCAATCTCATTTTTTTTAATTATTTTCTTTTCTGTTTTATTCCACTATTCAACAAGCTTTAGTTTCTTTAATAGATTTAAGAAATGTTCTGTAAGTAATTAAATCCACTGAAAATGTTGTTATTTTAACATTTTTTTTTATATAAGTGATAATGTCTGTAGTTTGCGCACATTCATAAAGTAGGTCATACTGAATTCAGTTATTTTTTATACTAGCCTGAAATTTTGAGAGCATTATCTTTAGTTCATTGTCGTTATTTCTATTTAATATACAGTGGAACCTCGCTTAACGAGCACCTCGCATAACGAGCATAACGAGTCCCGGATTGCGCGCCTGCTACATCATTTTTAAAACTTGTGTACTCATGTTATGTGTATTTTTGAATATGTTTCACTATACGAGTAAAAATCCGGATTTTTTTTAGTATAATAGTAAATACAAATTTAAACCTAAATATTTGTGTTTTGACAATGTCTTTGAATATTTTGTTTAAACATTAATATATTATTTTTCCTTTAAATTCATTTGTTTTCAATGTGTAAGATAATTGGAAGTTTCAAAGCTGTTTCGATTTGTGAAAATTATGAATGTTCAAATTGTTTTTTGAAATAAATTACGAATTTTTTTTTTATCAAAAAAAAAATTTTTGTTTTTTTAGTTGAATACGTAATTATTAACAATAGAATATCATTAGGGTAATATTGGTACGATTTGAGTAAATCAATATTGTATGTAGTGAACGAAATGAAACTGCGCAAAGGATTGTTTTCTCTATTTTCTTTTTATTCCAATAGCAAGTGCTAATTAGGGCTATGTTCAATGTTCTATTGATATATGAAAGTCAATACGGACTAATTAATGAATCCTTATAATTTGTGTAAAAAGTAACAACGAAACATTAATTGTATAACTTTTATAATAAATTTGTAAATTTTGTATAAAGCTATAAACTTGAATTTCTATTGGACTTTCGTGTGTGAATTCATACAATGAAATCAATAAATGAGTCTAATGTTGTGACTCAATGTAGGCTCACAAACAAAAAGAAAATGAGTAAGGATTATTATAAAATTTGGTCTTTCGGATATTAGAAACTTTTTTTCTTTAACACTACGACCATTCATAAACGCTCCGAGATTAGTGAGAAGTGTGAATCACGCGGGATTTCGTGGAAAGCAGAAGCATTATGTAAACGCGATTCTCCTGTCTGGTACGGTGGTTCGCATTTGGATTGGAGTGTGTTCATGTTAATTCCGTTTCGATTTTTTTTTTTGGAGCGTTCTCTAAACATAGGAAATAGATGTAAAATGTAAATAAATAAAGCGTGACTTATTTTTGGTTTTGTTTGCAGGGAGCGTGCCCGACGATGGCGTCGAGGATATGACCAGGCTGTCCGCCTTGGACGAAGAAGTCATCAACAAGAACCTGCGGGTGCGATACGAAAAGGACCGCATCTACGTATCCTTTTTTTATGTTTTCATGCTTTGTTTTCGTTTGTGAAACTTGGAAGACAATGCGCTTTGCGCTTTTAGTCGGAAGGGCGGTACGAAACAATCGCGTTTTTGACGGGGGGGATGAGGTGAAAGCACAGCCCTCTGCAACATAGAAATGCGACGAGACGAAAAAAAAAAAAAAGAAAATGCGTATTATGGAAAAGGAGATGAGGAATAGGACGTGCGGTTTCACCATTTGGCATTCAGTAAACATCATATTGTGTACGTTCGTCCGGGTTTATTATTCAATCGCATCTGATTGTTTGCCCGTCACTTTTCGGATAAGCTCGTTCGTTTACCTACCCTAATCATCATCGCCTGGTCCTTGCAAATACATTGTTTACTCTGTCTGCAGCTTATGATAATCTCCGATTTACGTATCTCGAACGCAAACAAAAAGATGACAACAGAAATGCGTTTATTGTAAATAAGTAACTTTGGTGCGGTTTCTTCCACGAACCTCTTCAGATAATTGTGCGCGCAGGTATAATACCAAAATTGCATTTGCGCTTCGAATAGAGGAAGAAGCCGTTTGGGATTTGTTCCAAGAAAATTGAAACCGGAGACTTCGCAGCAAATGATCAAAGCAATTTAATTACTCTAGACTTTGTCTTTTATTTATTTATTTTTAAAATAAGGTTCGATGAACTCGCGGGAGGATGATCGCACAAAAAGGGAGTATTAGCATATATGCATTTATTGGTAAATGCACTTTCATCCATTCGTGGCATAAATTATGTGCGTTTGACACGGTTCGAGCGTGTGGTGCTTCAAATGAACGTCATCTGGTTATGAGTATGCCTTTTGTTTAGAAGAACTGTAACAGTTTTTGCCGGTGATTGCATGGGGCTCCTCCAGCAGAGCTGCAGCAGGTATTAGTCATCCGAAAATTCCATCGCGGAAGAACGGCAAATAACTATCCACTCAGCATTTCGGTTTTAAAGGCCGACGCATACCTTTCCTCGAAGTCATCTCGATCTCCATTCAGAGAGCGGAGGAACCCCGTTTACGACACTTTCAATCTGTCGAACACATTTAACAACAGGCGTAATCCTATTCCTCTGGCTCTTTACTAAAGATTACAACTGATGATCATATTTATTAATAGAGGATTTTTTACCGAAACAATATAATTCTCTTTCTTATATAATTTATGATTTCAATTCATTATTTTTTGATACCAGACTTAAAAAGTAACAATTACAATATATTTTACGTATTAATTGATATTCTTCAAATTCAAAAGGTATGAAATATTACAAGAATTTCAGCTGACTATAAATTAAACATTTCCATTGACATAACAAATACATTTGATTGAATATTTACTCAGTAATATCAACTTGTTATTTCGATACTTTCCAAGACATTAAGATTACAAAAATATTGGTTTTATTTTAGTCAAATTATACAAAACTACTAGAAATTGTGCAATTTTGTATTGTATGTTTAATTATAATTTGTATAACGTATAAATATTATATTTTAAATTACATACAAAATAGTTAATTAAAACTAAGGACTATTTCAATTGGTGTCAGAAAATGAATAGGAAATTGTTACAAAATGTAAATTAAGATTCAATTTTTAACGTGACGCTAAAAAATAATGCAAATGCGTTTGATGCTACAGGCATAGGGTCAAAGTAACTGCATCACTGTATCCAAGGAAACAGTTTGGTGTCCATGACAACCTTTTATAGATTGCACGAAAATATAGGTCATCCCACCGTGTTGCAGTTTACAAAATTAACTGCGATTTTGAACATTTATTTATGTGCGAAAACATAACGAATGTTATTTTCTTACGTTTTGCATCTTTATCCATAATTAAAATATGAAATTATAATAATCACAATCAGTTTTTATAGAATGATACCATCAAATATACTCGAGAAATCCTAAGAATTCGACCGCAAATGAACATATAAACCTTCTATATTTTTTTTATGTATTGTTATTCCTTAATTGTATTCTCAGACGTACACTGGATCCATTCTAGTTGCAGTAAACCCTTACAAGGCCATTGACATGTACTCACAGGTAAGTCGTTTAGTCAACTGCTAATATGGAGTGCGGATATTAATATGCATCGAGTGGCGAGCGGCGCTTCCTCTTATTGTCAACCGTTTATATTGTCCAGGTTGGGCTTCTTCCGCAGTGGACGCGCGCGGTTTTGGATGGTCCGCAAAAAGACCGATGCGTATTAATATTATATTGTTCCCTTTTTGTTTATTTGTTTTTCTTTTTACTTCTCTCGTACGAACGTGATCTCTGCGCGCATTCCGAATGCGGCGGATGCGGTGGACAGCAGCATATGTAGTAGTTTAAATTTAACGAATTCCCAAAACATATTTACTTCTTCCTTCCTATAACATCGCGCTTGATCTCTGCTGATGCGGCGCGACTCGATGCAGAGGAAACAGATTATGCGGGCGAAGCAATTACAATTTCAACATTTTCGTATCCCCATGGAAAAAAAAAACAAAGAACTATTAATTCCTTTCCTGAAACTTAATACTTCTACAGTAATTAGAGAGATAAAAACTATGAGTAATAATGCTAGGTTTTTTTTGTAGGGTTGCCTGCTATCGCAGCCTTTAAATTAAGTTAATAATTCAGTTCGATAACTACTCTTTAATTTCATATTCCATTATTACAATTAAGTTTATAGTTACGAATTTACAGTTTACTAATTACTCATTTATTGTAATACGTTAATTTTTGTCTAATTACTGATTAGTACGTGAAATGCTTTTAGATGATTCAATGTGGAAGCACGAAATGCTTTTATAATGCTGCGAGATAAGGAGGGAACAAAGGAATTGCGTTGAATGTTATTTTCTTGTGAATCACAACAATGGGGATGAATGTACGCGAAGAGAGGCAGCGAAAGCGATGGTCTTCGTACGCGCGCATTCCTCTCTTGTTTCGCGTTCAGCATCTGAGCATATTATCAGGGATCACTTTTATCATTTTAACCCATATCTGTCTCTTCCGTTATCGCGCTCCGCCAGACGAAGCAGCAGTAGCATTTCGAAGGAAAAAATAATGGTAGAGATGGAATTAATTGGATTGTACAAGTGAGAGTGTACTTGAGCTGCATCGCTAAATGTGCAACAATATTTATATTATCCTGCATTAGGGTCCATTGTTCCAAGTGGCTTAAATTGTTTTAAGCTTTGCTTGAGGCAGGATACATCTCTTATTATATTCACAGAGCAGCGCTCGTTAAATAATGGTCGTTCGGCGTCGTGGGAAAAAATCTGCCGTCGCTGCCGTTCTGCATCGTGAATTTCGTCTGGAATTAACCGGAGAAGAGGCTCACTAAACACCTATTATTAACATTAAGAAAATTACATTACCCTTGTACAATTTAATGTACGAATAACTTTGGGGAAAGAAACAATGAATCAAGCAAATTCAAGTCTTACCATTATTATTACATAAAACTTAAAATAGAAAAAACATTATAGATCATGAAATTCTTTGAAAACAAAACTATATATTAAAGTTTCTTTTGTTTAATTTTATTAATAATTGTATTTTTCGGTTGCCCAGGAGATGAGTTTATATGAAACACCGACAGTTATATTTTTAATATGAATTTGTTGCTTTGATTGAAACAAATTGAAATGAATACTTTGATTAATTGTTTTTATTGTGTTGTTTTTTTTTTATAGAAATATGTGGAGAAATATCAAGGAAAGAAGATGGGAATGGAGGAACCCCACGTCTTTGCACTCGCCGAAGCGGCCTACGTTTCCCTGCAAACCATACACCAAAGCAAAGGACACATGAATCAAAGTTTAGTGATAAGCGGAGAGAGCGGAGCCGGAAAGACGGAAACAACCAGATTCATATTGCAATACCTGTGCTCCGTGACCAGCGGCGTCTCCACCTGGGTGGAACAGCAGATCCTGGAGGCGAATACCATTTTAGAAGCTTTCGGTAAGAGCTTCAATCAATTACCATCTATATTTTCGAAATGTAAAAAAAAATGAGTAAATTTTAATAGATCATCGATCGTTATTTCCTCTTTGTGGAATTGTAAGTTTCGTTGAAAAGCAATCAACTGCACCGGAAATAATTGCGCTTCGACGATTGGAATTTAATTTTTTTTGTTATTCGTTTATTGTGAAAATACTGGATGATGATAAATGTATAATCTGTTTTGCAGGAAATGCGAAAACCGTTCGCAATAACAACTCGAGCAGATTTGGAAAGTTCATGCAGGTATGCTTCGATTCACGATGGATGATCGCAGGTTGTATCATCCAGGATTACCTGCTCGAACAATCCAGATTAACATCTCAAGGACCCGGAGAACGTAACTACCACGTTTTCTATCACCTAATTGAAGGAGCCAAGGTACGAATTTAATAATCTTTCAACAAACATGTGTTAAGTAATTTTACCTCCTTTTCACTACAGAACAATACAGAGTTATCCGCTCATCTGCATCTTAAGCCGGTCGAGTTTTACAAGTATCTCAACCAAACCGGAAGCAACAAAGACGACGCCAAGTGCTTGGACAACCTGATGCTGGCGTTCAACGTGCTCCAGGTGCCGCACATCATGTGCAACGGCATTTTCCAGACCCTCTCCGCCATCCTTTGGCTGGGAAATCTCTCATTTCAAGTAAGAATAAACACCGTTATTCGAGTTTGCATTTGTAAATCGTTTCTCGTTTGTAGGATGTGGACGGGGAGAAGTGTGATATTACCGAGGAGGATGAAGAAATCTTGGGGATTGTCTCGGAATTGCTGGGCTTGGAGAAAGAGAGTTTGAAGCAGGTGGTGCTTATCAGGCAGATAAACGTGCGCGGAAACATTACCGAGATTCCGCTGAAGCTGCAGGAGGCTCGAGAGAATCGGCACGCCATGGCGAAGGCCTTGTACTCGCGTACCTTCGCCTGGCTCATTAATCACATCAACACGTGTACGAATCCAGGTCAGGATGGAACGCGTTTTCTGGGTGTGCTCGATATCTTCGGATTCGAGAATTTTGCTGTCAATTCATTCGAACAGCTCTGCATCAATTACACTAACGAGAAACTCCATAAATTCTTTAACCATTACGTGTTTGCTCTGGAGCAGGAAATTGTGAGTCAAATTTTCGCGGATATGAATATTGCAATTAATGTTTGTGATTTTTAGTACAAGCAAGAGGAAATTGATTACAAGCACATTGCGTTCACCGATAATACACTTTGCTTGGAATTGTTGGAAAAGCCGCCAAGGTGCATCCTGCGTCTGCTATCTGAACAATGTCATATGCCCAGAGGATGTGATGCTTCGTATATATCCAATTTACATGGGGAATTTGAAAGTCACGAGCGATATTTCAAAGGTAAATTTGATTGAGTTTTGTTGAACGCATTCAAAGTTTTATGATTTATTGTGTTAGGCGACGATAAGAGAAGATGGGAACTAGAATTTGGAGTGAAGCATTATGCAGGAGGCGTTCTCTACAATGTCAAAGGATTTGTAGATAAGAACAAGGATGTACAACAGGACGTGTTCTTTGACATTCTTTCCAGAAGCAGTTGCGAATACATACAGGATTTGGCTAGCTATCAAGATCTAAATTCTTGCGCTGGTAAAGGAGTTGGTGAGTGAGAATACTTATAATATTTAACAATTTGTATTTTTATTAATCATTTTTAAAGCTAATGGTTCGTCGACGGTGTCGAGAGGAACGAGCAAAGGGAAGTTAACAGTTTCTGATACTTTCCGTCATCAACTGCAAGCTCTTGTCGATGTCTTGCAATCAACAACCCCATGGTACGTGCGATGCATAAAGCCAAATGCCAACAAAGACCCCAACAATTACGATAATACGTTGGTTCTTGATCAATTGAAATACCTCGGTATGCTGGACATCATTCGCATTCGCAAAGAGGGTTACCCCATTCATATGGACTTTAACGATTTCATTGCCAGATTTCACTGCCTATCTAAAAACAGACTGCCTCCTGACGTACGAGCCGCGTGTCAAGCTTTAATTGAGAGCCACAACGTCCCTAAGAACGAATGGCAAATCGGTAAAAGCAAAGTGTTCCTGCGGTCGCACGTGCACGAGCCTTTAGAAGACACGCGAAACAGGATGCAAGCTTCCAAAGCGATACTAATCCAGAAAACGTTCAGACGGTACGTCGCCCAAAAGGAGTACCTGCAGATTCGTAAAGCCGTGTTGAAGATACAACACGCCTACAAAGGCTGGAAGAGCAGGATAGTGTTTCTGAAGAAGCGGAGAGCCGCAATCGTCATTCAGAGCCATTTGCGTGGTGTGTTTGCCAGGGAGGTAGCGGCTGCTCTAAGGGAGATGAAGAGGGTGGAGGAAGAGATGCGGAAGCGTGAAATGATGGAGGAAGAGAAGAGAAGCAAAGAATTGGAATTGGAGAGGGAGGAAAAGGATAAGCTGGAGTTGGAGCAGAGCGAGCAAGCGGCGGAGAAGGAAATTGCCGCCTTATCGCATATGGCGGAACAGCTGAAACCGCGCCTGACGGAAACAGCAACGGAAGCCGTTGATTTAGACAATTTGTTCGCATTTTTATCGGACGTACAACCGCAACCGTTGAAGAGTAATAAGATCATAGATGAAATTGGCGAGAAGATGAACGAGCTCGTAGAGGACCTCGACGTTGAACTGGAGACGGTCATTCAACAGGAGCTGGAAGGACTAGCGCAAGAGCTGCATCAGCCGACTCCTCCAAAGATGGGTCTGCCATCGCTGCCCGAGCCGACGGAACCTCCACCGCCGCCTCCTCCTGCAACAAACGAACCTCTTCCACCTCCACCCGTTATCATCCCAGAAGATGTGATCCAAGACAAATCCTCTAATGAGCCCATATACGAAGCTGTTTTACCGCGCGATGATTCAATCTGTGTATCGCCGCCGCCACTTCCAGCACCACCCAGAATCCCAACCGAATCACCACTACACAGCCCACCTGTCTCTAGATGCAGCAGCGCAGGGGTAAAATATTAACATTTCATATTTTATTCATTATCATAATAATTGTATTTTTTTGCAGCCTCAATCATGGAGATACAACCAGGAACAAGAATTGGTGAACACAGAGCGCGAACAGCGCAGGAAATTCCGTGTGGAGAAGAAACTGCAGGAATTGACAGAGCAGGAGAAGGAAGCCGTTGTTGAGGACGTCTACCACGATATGCTCGAGTTTGCAGAGAACTTTTATAATTCGCACGAGAGGAGTCCTGAGGGTACGCTCATTGCCACTCTGACGAGAAAGCGGCCTAGCTCGGAGATGATTCCAATATATGAGATGCTTACGTATTACAAAGGAAACAGCATCCCGAATTCGCATATACATATGTACGACCCGGATAACGTGAATATCGCATGTACCGTTTTCAGAGATATCTGCAAATATATACGTGGCGAATTGAATAACGATAGAGAACTGACAGTAATACAGAGCGTAATTGGTCAAGCCCTTGAAAGGGAGGAACTCCGTGACGAGATTTTCGTACAATGCGTGCGACAATCTACAAACAATCCACAGTCCGATTCGGCAGAAAGGGTGTGGCTTTTGCTGTGCCTTTGTGTCGTCGCCTTTCAACCATCAAAGAACCTCTATCGTTACTTTGTCTCATTCTTGAGGAAGAATTTATCACAAGGAGGAAAGATTGCTCAATACGTTCAGTGGTGTTTAGATAATTGCAATAACAACAAAGTAACTGTCAGGGAGCATCCACCGTCGTCTGTCGAAGTGGCGGTATGACAATTAAACTATTTTTAATTAAACTATTACTATTAATTGAAAATTATGATTTTAGGCTATGAAGCGACTAGGTACAATCGTGTGCAGATTCTTTTTCCTAGACGGTCGAACGAAAGCAATCGATGTGCATCCCACGGATACGGCTGGAGATGCAGCCAGGAAATTGGCTGAACGTCTGGGTTTGCGCACCCTTGAGGGTTGGGCTATATACCAAAGCAGAAGTGACGGTGAGGAGCACGTAAGAGCGCATCATTTTCTATACGATGTCATAGCTGCTTGGGAAACGTAAGTTTTATATGAATGATAGAAGCACTTTCTATTATTATTCACTTATTTGTCTTTCTGCAGAAGCCAAAATAAATTGAATCCTCCGAGTGGATTAGCCACCCTGGGCAGGAGAAGCACTACCACAGTCAGTGGTGGTGAAAATAGGTTCATCTTCAAAAGAAGATTGTTTAGGTCTAGTCGAGAGTTAAGTCAAGATCCTGTCGAGGTCAATTTACTGTACGCTCAAGCTGTTCATAGTGTTGTTAAGGTTAGTTTTGATTCGTTTCTTTATATACGTCTTTATTAACGTACATTTTTTTTTGCAGAATGATGATTTCCCGGTGACCGAGAAAGTCGCTTTACAGTTGGCCGGTCTACAAGCTCAGGTTGCCCTGGGAGATCCTAAGGATAATAACAAGCTGGAGTATTACACCGATATAGACACATATCTGCCTTACAGGATAAGCAAGACGAGAGGGGACGATGTCTGGGTCCCTATAATAGCTCAAGCGCACAGACAGTACGGCGCCGGACGAACGGAACTCACAGCTAAAGCTCTTTACCTTTCGTGCGTGATGCAGTATCCCTTATACGGTACAACCATGTACTCTGTTACATATCGTGGTTACTGGTCATATGGAAATTCCCTGGTACTAGGTATCAATAATAACGGCATCATGCTCATTAAACCCGACGACAAGTTCGTGCTGAACGAGTACCCTTACCACGAGATCGAGAGTATCATGCTCGACCCAAGCGATAGCTTCATCACTATAACTCTGCAGCGCCACATGAATGACTCGAATCACAAGTGCTTCGTCTTCGAGACAGCGCAAAAGAACGAAATTGGCTCTTTGATAGCCAGTTACTCTCCAACTTTAGCAGGCTGGATCACTGAATGCGAACAGCCGCAGAAGAAAGTTAAAGCTATGACCAACGAGGATCGCATACGATTGTACCACAATCTGGTAAATTGCCGAAGGGCATTAGTCGATAACGATATCCTTCGCAAACCAACAGATGCTTCAGGAAGCTTCCTACGTAACACTCTCAGGCGTCTCAGCAAGCACAAATTGGATAAGTTGAGACAAGAGCACGGCGATAGCGGAGAGACCTACAAAGGCTTCCACTACTCGTTCTGGGCGTTTAGCCGACAGCCCTTGCCGCAAAGCATCAGTAGAATACCAGAGAGCGAGGAGCAGATCATGATTCAAGTATTTCAAATAGTCCTCACGTACGCTGGATTGGGACAAAATGGTGAAGCAATTCGACGAGCTGAAGACGAGCACGTAACACTATTACAATCGATTCTTGAACGTTGCATGCGCAAGGAATCATTGCTTTGCGAGTTGTATCTTCAATTGATCAAACAGACCACTGATCATCCAGACCCAAATTCGAGAGTTAACTTACGCCATTGGGCTTTGCTGTCTCTCGCCTGCTCCGTTGTGTTACCTCCTCACAAAGCTGTTCGAAGATATTTGATTGCTCATCTCAAAAGATGCAGCTCGGATTACGTTACCGAGGAGGGAAAGTTTGCTCGTTTCGCCGAGAAGTGTCTGTCGAAGACTCAAGGCACCAGGAGGCGACAGTGGCCACCATCTCGCGAAGAAATTCTTTGTACCATAAACAGAAGGCCAGTTTACGCTAGATTCCACTTCATGGATGGCCAGTATCACTCTGTTGAGTTTCATCCTTCGGCGACGGCCCGGGACGTCCTCGAGAGCGTGCGCGACAAGATCGGTCTCAACTCGAACGCCATGGGCTATGCAATCTACGAGGTGCTCGGCAACTCTGAAAGGAGCCTTGCTGCTGAGGAGAAGGTTGCCGACGTGATGGCCAAATGGGAGCGTTACCGTGCCGCCTCCGTCGCATCCAACAACACGAACACGGCGTCCAAACGCGCCCGCCCTCAGCACCACTTCTTCCTCTTCAAGAAACACCTCTTCATGGACAACTTCATCAACCTGAGCGACAATGTGGAAAAGGAATTACTGTACCACCAAGTGCTGCATGACTTGAGGGCTGACCGATTTCCAATCACCGATAAAGAAGCGGTAAGTGATGTTCCGCTTTCTCAGCTTCACACCACGGATTACGTGATTCATAAACATATTTTTGTTCTTTCTTTGTTGTGTGAGCAGTCCTTACATTGGGACGGAGCGGTGAGACGCGAATTGGCCTCACTGCTTCACGGAAAACTCGAAAACTTGGCGCTTTCATCTGGCGAATTCGAAGTAATTTTTACTACTTTCCCAGACCAAATAACTTACTCAACACTTTTACTTACCATCTCCACTTACATATAAATATATACATATTTCTCAAGCCACAACCATATGCATGCCTAAACCTACTACATACAATGGATACAAAAGGTTGCTTTGCCCGCTTGTTCAATACTTCTTCGTTTGTCAATTGTATGCCAATAATCAGCACGAATATGATGACAAAACCCATTGGACAATGCCTGTTTCCGAAATTACCTAATCGTAGTGAAACATTTATGATAGAAAAAAAATATAAAACGTTTTATTCGGATCTCTTTGAACTCAAAATGTGTGATTTTGTCAATAATTACTCATCGCATCACAAGAACCATTCACATTGAAACATTTTATACTTTTTTTTATGTTCATATTTAGTATTACCTAATATAAGGCCCATGGAGAAACCTAGTTTAGTCATTCACAAATTTCATTCTATTAAACTAAATTATTAGAATTAATGAATGTAATAGTTTTCTCCAATTTGAATATTTTTTCTTTTTCGCTACTTTCTTTTATTTTCATATTCCCTTTGTATGCTAGATTGGCGAATGCTCGGAAATGTTAATATGGATTTTTGGGAATGCAGAAAATAGCTTATTTAGCCCTTATATCAATAACCAATATTATTTCCTTATTGGTGTAATTGATTGCGTTCCCGAGGATTATGAATGATCATAGTTGCGAATATTAAACCCAAAGCCTGTTGTATAATAATTGAATGTACATAAAATGATTTGCAAAGTATGAGCGAAGGAGTGGAAGAAGTACAAGTCAGTCGTATAAATTACGAAGTAGTAGTTATTATGCCACGTTTATTTAGAATTGTAAAACTTCCTTTCCGAGTTAGCACTGTTTCGCTTAAGAAGTGGTCGGGGCTGAGATAATGTGATTATATAATATACAATGTTAAATTTACAGATGATGTTGACCGCACTACAAGGTCAACTGGAGCTAGGGGACTGCTCCGAGATGTTGCACGACTACAGAACCATCGCGTGCCATTGTCTTCCAGCCCGTCTTGTGCCAGGTCTTCCTCAGGAGGGCGTAGCCATGCACCATCAATCACTACGAGGGATGACCGCCTCCGAAGCTAAACAGGCCTTCCTCAACTTAATCCAAAGTTGGCCTCTTCACAAAGCCACCATCTTCGATGTTATGGTATGTTTGATTGCAAATTAATTCACGAAACGTTTTATTAATTGTTTTTGTCTGTTGTTATTTAGCAATCTTTCACCTCGAATTGGCCACGAGTCCTCTGGTTGGCGGTTGATCAGAAGGGGCTGCATCTGTTGGAGCACCGATCCAGGAACGCTCTCTGCACGTACGAGTACAGCAGCATCTTGAGTTATTCTCCTGCTCTAAATTGCCTGATGATCATCACCGGGAGCGCCTGCAAACAAAGCAAAGTTATCCTAACCACTGCTCAGGCCTTCCAGATAGCCACCCTCATCCGAGAATACATGGTGGTGTTGCAGAGCGATGCAAACGACGCAAAAAGAGCGCAGCAGCAGCCGAGGAGTCGACCGGTCAGCGTCCTTCATCAGAACAACATGCTGGTACCGCCTCAGCCTAGCTAGAAAAGGGTCCATTTCGCTGATCAAGTGACTGCTGCCGTATACTGAGCACTTCACACTTCCCAATTAAGGCAAATCCACCCAAATAATATTCGCGTTATTATAAATGAGGGACAAAAAGGCGTATTTTGCTAAGCGAACAACACACGGTAGGACTAATCGAGGCTAGGACTTATAGTAAGGAATATTATTTGTTGTATTTGACGGCAGTTGCATCATCAGCGAAACACCTGCATCACTCTCAAGTTGTCGACCACAATTATCTCTCTCTATCAATCAAACAAATATAATATGTTAAATAATTATCCACTAACGGTAGCTTACGTAGCTGAAGTTCATAAGTAAAGAATTGGGCAGATCAGAACTTCAGCTCTTCAGTAATTGGTTTAGACACTTTAATATGTTATCCAATATAGCTAAACAATTTTTCAAATAAATAGTATATTCCAGAACGGCCACTGTAAAATAAAATTGCAACAAATGCACAGATTATATAATTAAATCAAATATATATATATAAAAAAAAATATATAGATATTAAAGTATTAATTGTACAAAGACTGAATCAAATACATCATAATAATAATAATGACTATATTAATAGCAATTTTAAGTAGTGTCAAAGAACCTAAATAAATAATATGAAACGAGTTACGTAATATACAATACAATAATAATGCGATTGTTTTCTCAAATCTCGCGTTCGTTCGTTTTCGACATGATTTTTTTTAGTAGAACCGATTGATTTACCTTACCACGCCTGTTGTGAGAAAGTTACGCAATATTATTTTTATCGTATACATGAAATATATATATTCATATACGTATATATACATATATATATATTATACTTACTAGTCAGTTACTATGTATATAGGATTATACGAGTTATGCATGTTCGATGAGAATGATATCCACATTTGTCGCCTTACAATAATTTATTGATCGCTTATTTTATACCCTATTAGTTTTATGATTAACTAATCAACCTCATATGATTATTTAAAACAAAAAAAAATGTGGATCTCATGGTTCTTATGTAGATATGGAAATTAAGGATGTTACGCACAAAGTTCTATTCAAATTGCTATTTGTGATGTATACTTTTAACCTCGTCTCCACTTCCACTTCTTCATATATACGTGTTTCTTCCTATATTATATTATTATTATTATCATACGTTTCGTAACTGGATTCGTTTTTAACCAAATTTTTATGTATTTTTTATTCGCTATATTTCTTTTTACTATGTTTTATTTTTTTTAACCATATTTGTATATAAAAATAAGTATATATGTAAAGTTTAAATATGCAACTCTTATTTACCTTCATTGCTTTCCTTCACAAGACATCCTTAGCACACTGGTAAGTAGATAAAGACTATATATAATGGTTGTATGGTAAATAAAACAAAAGTATACAAAATATTATTTTTTTTATGCAAAAAATGTAGTTTTAAAAACAAAGAAGAATGTATAAATATTATCACAAAATTACATTACATAATTGATATCTGGACATGCAATTCACTCATCTGTGCTTAGTAAGGAACCTTGGGCCTTTCGGTTTAGGCGGTTTCTTCTCGATCTTCTTTGAGTTAGGATCTCCGAAATCGTAGCGTCTTTTCAAACGTTCTCTAATTAGTAAACCCCTAATCAGTTTCCTCCAGTTTCCGAAAACCCTCTTCTCGTATTTCTCTTTCTCCCGTTTTTCCGCCTCCTCTTGTTCCTGGATTAGGAATAAATATTTATAGATCGCTAAGTTCGCTAATAAGGGAATTTGTAATACTTACCACATACCATGCAGCAATCAGACGTTCCTGCTCCTCTTCGCAGACGATGAAACCGTCAAACATTGGATGGGTTCCTCCACTATGAAAATCGAATCCGACGACGGCTGGGGCACAATCAATGTTCAGCTTTCGGGCTACTTTATTCAGACCAGGCACTGTAATTTTCGAAATAAAACTCTGTTTAACATGAAAAGTAGATGATGGAAAACTGCGAACGTACGTTGAAGATGTACGGTTTTCTTCGGCAACATGCACGGTTTGAACAATTCCACGTTTCCGTAAGCGTTTCTCGGGACCACACCGTTTTCTGCGGTTGGCGGCACGTAATCCTCTGTTTGCCAATGTCCAAAGATCTCCAGAGGTTGATCAGTTATCATACTGTTCGATAACTACATACAGATTATAAGAGTTAGTAGTGATTTTAAAGAAATTGAACATGTAGTTACTTTATCGTATTTGGGTCTGGCTTTGACAATCTTGTAGGGCGTCTCGCCCAGCTTAACAACTTTCGCGGATTTCAGCCAAATATCTCTGGAGTGGAGAACGTAGACGCAATCTCTAGAATAAACTGGTTCACCTCTAACAAAACCCAGGGTTAGCGAATCCGGAGGATAGATGGCTTGGAACTTCAACAGGTGACGCTTCAGAACGTACAGAGGATGATCTTTATATCTTCAAAGAAAACAGATCATTAGTTATTGCTGAAGAGAAAAATACGTTTTTAGCTTACTCTGAAATCGTTTTCGGTAGAGGTTGATCCAATTGTTGCCTCGCCAAATCCTCATCCTCCTCCTTATCCCTATAATTCTTCTTCCCAATGAAAGGCCGCAGTGACTCCTCCCACCATTTTGGCTCCGCCCTCAGTTTCCTAGTAACAGTATTCCAATTGGCGCAATACCTTTTAGTCACGTCCTTGATCCTATTAGAATTATCCCACGAAAGAATATACGAAACAGGATGCGAGGCTTGATTCTACGTTAATAAATATATATATAGATAGATGTCATTTTTTGCAACGTTTGATACCTACATGCAGATCCTTGACACAATGGATTTTTCCGTTGACAACATCCGCCGAAATCCATTTCTCTTCGGCCTCCAGAAACACCTCAATCCAAATATCCAAACCTATTTTTTGTTTTTTCGTTTCCTTCTCTGTCTTCGCTTTCTCCTCCTGCTCCTTCAGTTGTTGCTTCGGAAGAACTCTCCTCTTGACCTTAACATCAGAGTTTTTTTTCTTCTTAATCACCGGTTCGCTAGCGAAATCGCTATCACTTTCCTCGACGTAACTCTTCTTAACTTTTCTGAGCCGCTCTGCCATTTTCTCCTCGCGAACACTCTTCTTCACCAACTTTATAATATCATCCTTTATCTCGTTGTTTTTAAAATACTGCGTGCATTCGGAATACGATTTTGACTCGGTAGTCGTCTTCTTCTCAGCATCCACGCAATTGCGTCTCTTGTTAATAGGTTTTAGTTTAACCTCCTTTTGAGTATTAAAATCGAATGGTGTTGTTACATTTTTCGGACTGAACGGATTCCTTGAGGTCCCTGCTTCCTGTTGATCTAAGTCTTGAGTTTTCTCCAAGGCCAACCTTCTCTGGCAACGATCCTTCGTGGGACAAGGTATCATCTTATAGTTTTTAAGTTTTTTCAAATTGGGTTTATTTGTTGGTTCGTCGATGCCTCCATCCAGCTGCGGTATGTTCGAGCATTCCTCGTCCGATGTATCCTCGCCACAACCATCCAATTGCACCACTTTCTCAAGATTTTCCATGTTTGAAATGAGCTTATCTATGTCCTGCTCCATCTCATTCTTTTCTTCCAACTTTTCCGTTTTCTTCTTTGTGGATTTGAATAGATTGTTGACATCAATTTTCATGGTTTTGCTTTTAGCACTGCGTGTCTTACGAACAGTCGAAGATTTATCAGTGCCCTGTTTATCTTCGCCGCCCACTTTGAGTTTCTTTAAATTAATTTTAGTTGTTTTTGGTTCTTTTAGTTTATCGCTTTTAATACTTGTAGATTCATCCTGTTCAAGTTTTTGGGTATCAGTTTTCGACTTCTTGGACGCTTCTAAACTCTTCTTTGTAACTTTTTTCTTAGATTTATTACCGACATCAAGCTCTTTCATTTCAACTTCTGATGTATCTACAATATTTATCTTGCTCGATTTTCTTTGATTCTTGGCAATGATATCAGAGGTATTTGTTTTCTTATCGGTAACTTTCGTAGATGACGCTTCTTGTAAATTTTCAATCTTTTTTTTACTTTTACCTTTTTGTAAGGTAGAAACAGTAGACTTGTTATTATCTTTAACAGATTTATTCTCAACAGTCGCTTCTTTCTTTTTAACAACATTCTTGGATTTTTTAGTATCATCCAATTGATCTTCACTCTTACTCTTCTTTATAATAGTTGAAGTGCTTGCATCCTCATCATTAACAGATTTTCTTTTATTTTTTGTCTCATTACCTTTCTTATTAGCAACGTTTTCAGTTTTTTCCAAACCACTAGATTTATTTTGCTTTTTAACTTTGTCTGCGTCGTCAGTATTTGGACATACCTTTTGATCTTCTTTAGTGCTTAGTGAACATAATTCACTCGCTGGTGGTTTCAGTGGTTCGACTTGCAGGGACAAGACTAATCTACAGTGAATTCCCAAAGACCGCAATATGCATATAAACAAATAGACAAACATTTTCTTATTATGAGCTTCACGACGATCTATTTGCTGTTGCAAACTTTTCTCCAAAGACAGATTCTTGGTATCTTTCTCGACTATTTTAACGTTTTTTCTATACCACGCTAAAATCTGCTCTAGATATTTCAGATCCGTTCTTTCTGATGGATAACATTGCTGAGAGGGCAATAAGGATAAAGACATTGCCAGCAAGGATTCCCTATTCAACACCTCATTGATAAAATTCCCATGTGCAAGCCAAGTCAACAAGTGAACTTTATGAATATAAATTTGATTCTCCTTTTTGATCTGATTCAATCTCCTTTTCATAGCTGCTAACAGATCAACGCCTTTTTTCTTTTTCATCAGTTCAGGCATTTGAACTGTGATTTGTACACCCTCTTTGGGTATAAGAGACCTTTGGGCCTCCTTCTCTTCAGCCACCTCTTCCCAATCTTCTTTCTCAGATTCAGACAATGATTCAAAATCAGTTGAATGCATGCTGATTTGTGCTGAAAACATAATCATAATTATGCAAACTGTTTAATATATATATATATATTTTATGACCAATTATTACCATTACTTGATGACACTGTTTTTTCACCAATTGCCAATAAATCACCAATATCAACTTTCAACTCTTTCTTCTGCTTCTTCCGTGCATGGTACAACTCCAAATGTTTCTTAGCTTCCTCAATTTTTTTTGTATATTCATTTAATTGTTGGAAATTCATAACCATCTCTGTCTTAGCTGTCTCAGATTCAGTTTTGGCCTCCTCATCCTGCATTTCTTCCTCATCCGACTCAGAGTCACTAAGCCTGTTAACTCCATTGAATATAGCATTCTCAATATCCCCAAAAGACTTTGGCACATCATCATTAGGAGTGGACTTGAAAAAGGTGGAATTCAAATTTAATTCCCCAGGTTTTGTTAGGTAATTTTCAATGTCACTCTCACTAGAGCTATCAGAAGACTTAACTCTGCTTTTTTCAGGCACAGACTGTCTTGTCACCCTTTTTCCACTTGATTTTCTGGAATTTCCACTTCTTAAGACGACATCAGGATCATCAGAACTATCATTATTTTCAACAGTATCAAGTTCTTCCTCCAAATCTGTGCTGTCTTCACTATCACTTGATTTGCCCATTTCAACACAATTTATTCCATAAATGAATAACTTCGAGAACTAATTGTGATTTTTCAGTATGAAACACAAAAACACGTGTTTTTTATTATAAGAAATTAATACAAATATTTAAATATATTTTTTGCCTCGAATTTGCGTGTTCTTGGTTAGCATAATTCCAATAGTTCTGACAGTTGCAAAGGTTGCCATCATAATATCAAATGTTATGAAAGTAAATTGCTGCTCTATTTTGAAATAACACGTACAAATAATACTTTATGTGATGCTAATTATAAACCATTATAGAATACAAGAATAATATTATTAATAGGAAAAGAAGTAATATGCAGTTTATTGAAACTCTATACTGCTCTATACATGGCAACGTCGCTTGTCATAGGTAGAACAATAAACAGTGCGGTGCATCATAAACATCATAAAGAAAATGTCACAGTTACAATATGTGTAAACAAATGAAAGAAAACAAACGACTTAATGCTTAATTAATTAAGTGCTTTGAAGGCATCCAGAATACCTTCAAGATTGTATCCACCGATTGTTCAGAAATGGCGTTTCATCAGAACTTTAGCGGTGATATATTGCATTTAAACGTTGGAGGAAAAAGGTATTGCATTATTTGTACAAATCAATAATTTCACAAAATATAATTGCATTTAATATGAGAGATCTATATATATATAATATCAACTTTCACTTCTCACACCTTACTGTAATTGTCAATATGCTCTAATTCTGCAGTTTCACAACATCTAAGCAGACCCTGACATGGATCCCGGATACTTTTTTCACTGCACTTTTGAGTGGCCGAATATCGAGCCTGCGGGATGACAAGGGAGCAATCTTCATTGATAGGGATCCAAAGATTTTTTCAGTTATATTGAATTATCTGCGCACCAGAGAAATATCTTTAAAGAATATTGACTTGAGGACATTGCGGCATGAGGCTGAATATTATGGCATTGCTCCACTTGTCAAGAGGCTAATGCTCTGTGAGGAAATGACACATTCTACTTGTGGTGATGTCTTGTTTTATGGATGTCTACCTCCACCTAGTAAGTTTCATTTATTTCTATACATAACCACTTATATAGGTTTACAAACTTGATGTTACTACACCTTCCTCAAAAGTATGTAATCATTTGGCACCTCCCCTCCCCCCTCCATTTCATAAAAGACATAAAACTATAGCAGATATTTGGAAAATTGCTCACTGCGACTAATATTCGCGCCTCCCCTTAGACTAGTCCACGCCTTCCCAGGGAGGCGCGCCTCACAGTTTGGAAAACGCTGCATTATATAAAGACAATAATATTTATTATCTATTGCAGATATACCATTACAAGATTCTTCTGCATCAGAAAACAGATCAAACATAGAGACAACTGGAGTGCATAACAGACATGTTAGAACTTCTGAAGTATCAGCAATGCAAGGAAGTAATGCTAATTTGGAGGCTGGTGTTGAGGTGACGCCATCAACGAGCTCCTCGCAATGTCCACCTATTTCGGCGCCTCTGGTGGCTCCACAAGTTTTGAACGGTAATTTCATTCAAAGTCGTCAACCAGGTCATTCGAGGAACTCATCTCTGGAAATGCGTATGGGAATTTCTGGGAGTTGCAGCAGAAGTTCTCAAGATTTGAGAGGACTGTCAAGTAGAGTACCATCTGCAACAGGACACTCGCGAGCTGCATCATTGGATCTGCGCCATGCGCGGAACTCTTCAGCGGATTTAAATAAACTCATCCGGAATGATTTGGGACTGGTTTTTGGGACTAGCGGTAATATCATTTGTTATGGTGAAACAACCACTGATTATTATTTATAGCAACAGCATGGACCGACCCATTGAGAGTGCAAATTATTAAAGCCCACCACAACTGGATTGTCGTTGCTTACGCACATTTCGTAGTTTGCTATAGGTTTGCATATTGGTGTGTAATTGTTCTTTAGTGTAATTCGTTTGTATTAGATTAAAGGATTCAAGTGGATGGCAGCAGGTGTTCACTAGTCCCCATATTGATAGCTGCATCGAGAGAATCGCGATCAATGCCAAAATGGGCACAGGCGGAGAAGCTACGAAAATGGTTGCAATTTCATATGGGAGTCAGATTAGACTGTGGGGAGTGTCTGAAGATGGTTCAAGAACTAACGTTGGTAAGATTATTAATAATCTTTCAAGAGTAAAAGATGTTAAAGATTTATATTTTTCAGGAACTTTCAATCTGCACGTCAGGGTGGAATATCTGTTCTTCATTGGTAGCCAACTAGTGGCTTTGTCACCGTCGGGTAAACTCGGCGTTTGGCATGCCATGACGCAGCATTGGCAGACGCAGGATGTTGTGCCGATTTCGTCCTTCGACACCGCAGGTTCCTTCCTGCTGCTCGGTTGCAACAACGGTTGTATCTATTACATCGGTAAATAATACTCGCAATTCGCATCTGCTATTACCTAATCAAGAAGATATATTCAATCATCAGTTCATTATGCTCATAAATTATAGATATGCAGAAATTCCCTTTGAGGATGAAAGACAATGATCTGCTGGTTACGGAACTGTACAGAGACCCCAACTGCGATCCTGTCACAGCGATATCCGTCTACTTGACTCCAAAAACCAGTAAGTCTTTTCACATTTACTAAAGAACGTATCATAGGTATCATGTATTATCTGAATCACTAAAAGTCAGTAGCGATCTTACTTACTGTCCATTTATATTCAAACTGGTAGTCTTTCATTTATATATTTATCAACGTAAAGCACATCATTTTCTAAGTGGATACATCATCATTATATATTGTAGATACTTAATCAATCGAGCGCAGAATTGTCTTTAGCATTAATATTTCTTCACTTCATCTTCTTTAACTCCATCGCGAATTTATAGCATTATTGCATTAACTCAAAGGTTTGTAAAGAACTCGGCAATTCTGCGTTCGTCAATACTGTTGCTTCTAGGTGTTGTTTTATTTCTTTTATTTACTCGATGTTTCTTGAACTGTAATCTTTAGTGAGCGAGTGATCAAACATATCATCATTACTGTTACAGTCACGTTAATTTCGGATTGTTCCTCCCTTTACTTTTGTGTTTCTCTTATTTCTCTGTAAAAAAACTGCGGCCTTGTGTTTCATGCCAGCTTCGGAGAGGGGCCGCGAAGGTATGACACCGTTTGACGCTTTTATAAACCACAAATTTTATTATTTGACCTATTTTCTTATTGTACATTGAAAACCAACATAAAAATTATATATATATATATATAATAACATTGAACCAGATAAACTAATTACCATGTCACATACAAATCTAAACTGACGTACATAAAACGAAGAATTAAAAACGAAATATTTGTTATTTCTATTTATTTTACTTATCGTTTGCCATAATAACTTTTTTGTTTCAATTTTAAGGATATTTAAATATAAAATTGTACAGTTCACTTCAAATGTGGAGAAACAATTACATTTTCTGTTATATTTTTAAGGTGCATGTAACTATTTACAGTACAAATGCATTGCATGGAAATAACGTGGAGAATTAAAGTAGAACTTCGTCTTAGTTATTTTATATACCTCAAATGCATTTTGAGATATAATTTTAGCCATAGCCTTGCTTTGAATAAACGTGATAAAAACAAGACATTTTTAAGTTTTTCAAACATAGTTTATATTGTATTATTTTTATGTAACTTTAAATATTTCTCCACTTTTGAATGACACTGTATTTTTGTGTATGTATATAAGGTAGACTTTCTATATTTCCTTTGTGGTTTCGCTGGTCGCCAGTGCAAGAAGACCACTTGCATAATACGCTATAGCCATAAGGTGGTCTTTCGTCGTGGGAGCCAATAGAAATCGCTTGGCTATAATTTAAGTTGCAGCCTAAATTAACGTTCAACTCCTCCCGCCCATTTCACTCTTGGTTTTGCTTCATATTCGCTTCTTGCAAACACAAACACTATTAACACACACATACACATCATCCCACCATTTGATCATCCTAGATCTAGTTACCGCAGACTTTAGATCCACTCGAATACTTGTAATACTGCTGATTGTACTGATACAAAATAATGTGTTTTGATTCAATATCCGTTTTGTGTGTATGTGGAGCAGATTTGTGTGGGAATTGGATCGAGATAGCGTACGGCACCCGCTCTGGCTCCGTCCGTGTAATCGTCCAGCATCCGGAAACCGTAGGTCATGGACCACAGCTCTTCCAGACGTTCACTGTGCATCAAAGCCCCGTAACTAAGGTAATAATATCATAACTGACCGATTGACCTGAAAAAACGTAAGAATATAATAAATTATTGTTTATTCAGGTAACGTTGTCGGAGAAGTATTTGGTCTCTGTTTGCTGTGAATACAACCACGTGAGAAGTTGGAGGGTTACCCGATTTCGAGGGATGATTTCGACGCAACCCGGTTCCACTCCCGAGGCCTCATTCAAGATCGTTTCCTTGGAGGCGGTGGAGCCGTGCATCAGTCATGCGACCGTTAACGACTGCGGCCCGTTCGGAGAGCAGGACGACGAGCAGGTTTTCGTGCAGAAGGTAGTACCAGATAACGATCAGCTGTACGTCAGGTTGGCCAGCAACGGCAAAAGGTACCACTCATCTCCTTTTTTTATTCCCAATTCCCATGATCATAATCCTCTCTATCTCTTCAGGGTTTGCGTAATAAAAGCTGTGGATGGGAGCAGTGTGACCGCTTTCTGTGTGCACGAATGCGAAGCCTCTAGCCGCATGGGATCACGACCACGGAGATTCATCTTCACAGGTCACATGAATGGATCAATTCAGATGTGGGACCTTACCACGGCCCTAGATCCAGCTTACAAGACTGATGCAGGTACGTGTCGACAATTAACTCCATTCTTGATCCGCGCAACTCATTATCATTATTTAGATATGACAAGCGGTGGTCCCACCCCGGAAGAGCTGCTTAGGCTACTGGACCAATGCGATCTCAGCAACAGCCTATGTTCTACGCCGTGCATGTCGCCGTCGCCTTCATTGGCCGCCGCCGCTCGTTTGAAGTCGAGCAACATCGCCTTTCTCAATCAAATGCAAGACAGCGATAGGTCATCCAGTTCCAACTGAAGTCAAAGTCAAAAGTATATTGCCAATTGATTTCGTTGTTTGGAATAATTAATGGATTAGTATGTTTACCTTGTTACATTGGCGAAAAGTAAGTAGCCACCTTAATTATTTTTATTATTATATATAACCTGTATAATTCATAAGTCATCAGATATTTATGTGATTCATAGTAAATCAACGCATCAATTCATACTGACTCAAAACGTAATTATAATATTACAAGATCATCCAGGTACATCGAAATACCAGCTTTCTATATATCTTTGAAACAGTTAGATGAACCCAATCAAATTAAATTTAAGTTTAACTTATTTCAATTATTTCTACCTTTACATGCATATTATATTACATTTACAATACAGTAAACAAAATGCATGCGTATAATGTATATTAACGAAAAATAATGTTACCTATTACTATGTTTTTCTTGGTTATTTTAATGAATTGTTCTATTTCGTTTTATACTGCATTATTTAACTTAATTAAATATTTTTGTTACATACAACTTAGGTGAAATATATTTCTGCTACCTTTTTTCAAATGTTTAACAGGAAGGAGAGGCAACGAAACAAACGGTTTATTCACGAATTACTTTATTTAATGAACACCTGTGTATATTAAACGACGGCAATAGACGAAAATCGCCGACTGATTAAAGGGGTAACAGTTATAAAACGTTTTTAAAGTTAACATGGACGAAAGTGTTATTGCAAGACAGACATTGTTGTTTCCTATGAGATCAACATTCCGCAAGACTTGCCCAATGAGAAACCAATAACAAATTTCCTTAATAAAGGAAATATGTAGTGCACAACAACAACAACGAACTTTTATATTCTACGAAGGGAAGACAAATTGGTTATATGTTTTTTTTTTTTAAATAAATACGTGTTTGTACTTTCAATAATTTGAACTAGAAATTAAAATGAGCAAAATTGTTTGTTTTTTTTTCTCTGGATACGTTAATTCAATTGAAATGATGGGAGGATGATGGGACTAGAAATGAGTGATTTTAATTTCAATCATTGTAATACCATTTAGGTTCAGTCAATGGGTTTAAAAGGAAACACCAGCTCACCAAGCCAATGACGAACAGAGAGCCAATAACGTACTTCTCGGTGCCTTTATACCTCATGAACTCCTCGAAATCAGGCACTCCCATGTGATTACAGAAGGAGTGAGCTATGAAAATGGAGATGAAATGACCGGTGCGGTAGAACAGATAGGCTGAGTATACTCCAAAAATGGTGGTGTAGATAAATTGCACACCTGAAAATATACGAGTTAATAATGGTTACAAATGATATCTAGCACATTTTTACATGACTCTATGACTGCAAATTTTACTGGAACATTGTTCTTAAGTTTCTCCAGAAGATGGTGGAAATGCGCTAAAACAGAACATGATTCAGAGATGTTTGAGAAACGCCTAGAATATCAGTACCTGCACCGAAGAATATAGGACATATAAAGACAGCTTTAATTGGTGAGAAACACTGCAGAAGGACAGGAAGCATGCACGACCTAAAGCTGAACTCTTCGGAGATAGGCGCGACGATCTGACTCCTCAACCAGATCAAATCCTTGACGTTATTCACCCAATACATCGGTTCTGAAATTTCGTTCAATTTCAGCAATTTTGCCAAACATTATTATCGGTGTTACCAGTGTACAGTTTCAACAGTCCGTTGTGCACGAGCAATGCCAAAGGTCCCAAGTGCAAGATCATCGTGAGGAAGAGCGGCATGACGAAGGCCTGCAGAAGACCCTCGGATCGAAATCCAAGCACAGTCCAAAACGATTTCTGCAAATTGAGGAAGATACATTAAGCTTTAAATATCGCAAAGATGTTCATTGTTCATACCTTCTCCAAGATGTCTTTATTTAATGATAAATATAAAAATATCGGCGATATAAACAGCATCACGAAGACGCTTATAAAGCGCTTTCGGATGCTGTCCGCATGATTTCTGTAACAGAAAATTACAAATTAATGATTGTTCGTGATCGTTTTATATAATATTACATTTTGCAAGTATTTTCGCCATCCGATCCGGCGAAAGTTTGCACATCTAATTACAAGACAACGCATGATTATGCCACTGCAGTCCATTCCAATTGTTTTATTTTAAATTTTATTATTCGCCTGGAATAATGTTTTATTAGTATAATTAACATTTCAATAGAAAATGCGAAGACGCCTCTTCACAGTTACACCAGCAAATTACGCTAATAAATAAATTTAATACAACAAAGTAGGTGGGAAATTTCAACGAGTCGTCGTTTTCTTTTAATTAAAACTTTAAATATCAACAACCGTTCTTTCGACTCTCGTTGTTAACATATGTTAACTGTTGAAGTGGAAAACGGTAACAGATTTAATTCAAATGTGTTAAATAAATTAAATGAATTTGCAAACTTGTAAAAATCATATAAGAATATAGGATAGATAGAATATGTGTGAATATAATGTATATTTATGAAATTCAAAGTTTTGATATGTCAAACAATGATTGTTCACGTTGGCATTGATAGAGGAATCGATAGTTGAGAGGATCGTTAGAAGGTATCGCAGGTGATTGCATTAATTAGAGATGAGACTCATGGGTGTATGTAAATTATGGTTGGAGCAACGTGAGGATGATGTACAATAACAATTGTTGAAAAACTGGTTATTGGGTGGTTCGGCGGTTGGTAGCGCATCGTGACAGTTGCAGAAGGCGACGTTGCCGGAGTGTACGTGAGCAGAAGACAAGGATCAAATCCATGCAGAGGTGCGAGAGAGAAAGGACGATCGAGCTGGAGAAGGACAGATAGAGATTTGGGGGAGAATATTCTGTTGGCCATTTGTCGCGGCGGTGGTGTGAATGGAATGAGTTTGATTTGGGTATCGGGTAAAGGAGAGAGATTGAATAGTAAAGTATAGTTGGTAAAGAAAAAAGGGTCGGTATCCGTACCTGCCGTGTTGATAGTTCCATACGTAGAAGCTGGCTATGTAGACGAGCGAATGAAGGAGGCAGGAGCCGATGGCCAGGGTGCAGCCCGAAATCTCATTCAATCCGTCCGGCCGCTCCATTCCGATTCAGACTGATCCTCTGTGTTTCTGACATTATAACGGTCACGTGACCGCCGATGTGGTACTGTTATTGGCCCGGGAGGTTTCGTCTCTCTGGACACATTCAATTGTTCGTGCGGTGTTGAGTGAAAATGGCCGTCGCCAGTGCTGCATAGTATATACTCCACTCTGCTGTCCCCATTGTTTCGGATTGTGGCACCCCCCTCTGCACCCCGGGTTGCGAGCGGTCTCCAAAGATGCCGAGCGCTTCCTTCACCGCCTCCAGGTCGTGCGTGAGGAGGTCCCGAAGGAAAGGTGCCAACAGGATACCCACACCTTCGAGAACAACCTCTGGTAAGTAGAACACCACCGATGGAAGAACATTGTTATCCGTAAAAAATCCATCGCATCCCCCCAACAAGTAAAAAAAACAAACGAACAGAGGCATAGCACCCTTCGAGGACATCATCATCATCGGCCCACTCGTACAGGACATATTTCACGTAACGTCCTCTCTCCTCTCCGTCTCGCATTCATCCAACACACATCAATTTAATTATGCCCTCTCGACCCAAACGGATGGATAGTCGGTTGAATGGATTCCACATATCCATACACTCCCATCATATTACTCATATACAATCATCCCCAAACATTTCCATGACGAAATATCGATAATTCCGAATCCCGTTCTCGATGCTTCTGACTACTTCTTTTTTTTTACTCTTAACTATTCCTCCTCCTTATTCCCCCCTTTAAAGGGACCATCCTTAATTCCTCTCATTTGCTTCAATTTTTGACGGATGTTGTCTCTTGTCAGATGGAACAAACCAAATAAACAAAACCACCACGCCAATCCATACAAGCTGCAACCGTTCCCATGCATATTTAAATGACTAAACTCGTTCTAATTATATCACATTACCTATCTCCCTTACCTAAATCTTTCAATTCCTTTCCCTCAGACATAAATAAACAATAACAAACAAACAACAATGGTGGATCTTGACACATTCAACTATCTATCTTTCAGTACACCATTTGTCAACGTATTCCTTGAAAAGATTTAAACACACTAAATTTCAATTATTCCGTCTACCAAAGTTAATAAATATACACAACATCGATGCAAGCAAACAAAACAATGGTGACTAAACAGTGTCAAGCCATCATGGAATAATAATTAGTGATTTCTTAGCGATTGCCCCCAGACTGGTTCAAGCACATTTTTGCCTTCGTGTCTATTTTGGGCATTGTAAACATTCGATCTAGAACAAGTTTTTCTTTCCCTGCTTGTTTACTGTCGAAATTTATCACTTTCAGAAAAAAAATGTAAACAGATTTTGATATGGTTGGCATTGAAACACGTCAATTATGTTTCGGAATTTGCAAATAAAACTTCAAACTAATTACTTTGAGTTTCTGTTTAAAAGCATGATAATACAAATTCAGGTCCTGCTTGCTTTTACCACTGACTACCAGTCTTATTGCCATCATTTAAATATACGATGTTTGTTTTATAAAGAATCACAATTGCAATATTTTACAAGTGTCTCAATATTTATATAAGATGCATAAAGATTATGCACACAATAACTATGAATGGCTAATATTCATCAGAATCAACATGTTTATATAAATTTACAATTTGAAAAGAGATTGTTTATGTTTGCTATTTTAGAAGATTTTGCTACTGCTTTTTTTCAGTTTCTTCTAGTTGCATAACGACTCACAGACAAACAAGAAAATGATAAGCACAAGTGTTGTTATTGACATTGATTTTTTTTTCAGTGTAGCTTATCACTTATTTAGGAACAGACACATTATTTTTTTTTTATTGGATTCTCCAACGACAAGTTCTTTAGCAAATCCCTAAGTAACTATTACTCCTCTCCTCTCCTCATATCTTGCTCAGGTCATTCACCCTTCAGATAACGTATATATTTGTTTATTTACTGCATCCATTATGTATAGTGTATTAGAATTACAATTAATAATTATTATCTTCTTTTTAAGGTAAAAATAATTATTGATAAATCGTTTATTATTGTATTGATTGTGTGTATTATGGATTTTGAAAAAAATGCATATAGATTTCTGATATAAAATGTAAACACGAAAAAAAGTTAGTTAGTCACAGAAAGTCTCAGGCGCAGGAGTTGCCATGTATTGATTGCTCCGTTCAACAGTTTTCATTCTATGTTTTTTTATATTTCATTTGAATCTTATTCAGGTGACAAATCATGCTATTTTAGCAACAGTTACCATATTTTTTTTTAAATCAATTTTGTCAACAAACTCATATATGGGATTACATTACATAATTACATGAGCTTAAATGTTTATTGCAGATAAACAGTTGATTTCTTAACTATTGTATGTTTTATTTCTGTGTAGTAGAATCATGACTTTATAAATAACGTGTGAAATCAAATGAAAAGTTAATTAAATTATTGCAAGAAAAACTTTAATTTCAAAAATTGCAACACAAATATATGAAATAATGTTTTGATTTGTGAAAAAACATATTTGTTTGTGTATTTTCACAGCATTTGCTTACAATGAGAAATCATCAGAATTATTCAAATATTCTAATAATTAACATATTTATAATTATCTGAATGATAAATATATAAAATTTCATGTAATTGTACAATATGTTTACTGTGTTATCTCTTCAGACAAACTTGTTTCTAATTAATGTCATGTGCTCAATTCTAAAAGTTTCGCGTTTACTGAATATGCTTTGGGTGCTTTACAGTTAGAATCTCGTGTCATTGAAGCATTCCAGAAGAACGTGTTACGTTGCTTTTGTGAATCGGCGGGGATTTAAAATCGTACGGCATACTCATTTGATAGACAGCCAAGATCCGTATTTTCGTTACGACTCATACAAATTTTGGTTAATATCGTTAAAAAAATAACTGTTCCTTCCACATTGTGTGTAAAAGTATAACTGTAGGTGTCTTTGAAAATCTTTAGTATTTTATTTGAAACGTATTATACTGTCAGTAACGATGATGGGAATTGCTGATTATTGAATTATTTATGTTTATTCAAATTTATTTTTTATTTCATTCAATAATAGTGATACGATGATAATTAATTATCATGTAGATCGTTTGTAAAGATGTTGTCTAAAGCTATTTTTGGTTTGTTGCCAGCAGAACCATGTGAACCGTCGTGTCCGATCCCGAACCAGAACATTCCAGCGCCGTTGGCGCCGGCCAGTGGCTCCTCGTCGGCGATGGCGCCGAGCACCAGCAGCAGCACAGTGCCCGCCCACCATTCGCCATACGATCTTCGTCGCAAGTCGCCGTCCCATCACGAGGGCGGTCCCAGTACCAGCGCCGCGACTGCCGGTTCGCCGACTTCTCCAGCCACGCCCACGGCCCCCGCTCAGGTTTGCTACGCCTCCACGATGTTACCAGCAAGGAAGAGGCCCCGTCGGACCTTCTCCACCTCGTACGAAAGTATGCAAATCACCATCATTATCATCATCGATGACTTTGACTAAGCTCTATATTAAATATTTGCAGATTGCACCGCCACAGCTGCACACTACTTGCAGTACGAACTTCCCGATGAAGTATTGCTCACGATATTCAATTACCTCCTCGAGTTGGATTTATGCAGGGTCAGTCAAGTGTGCAAGCGATTCCAGGCGATTGCAAATGACACTGAAATTTGGTGAGTTTCTCTTCGAAATACATGCAATCACTAAAATGGACAAGTCCGATATGGGTACCTGAAGCAAAAACCTGCTATAGAAATACATATTTATTTTTTCCATTATCTAAAATTGGAACGATTATTGTTTTGTTTTAAATTTTGCATATTGGATAATCTAATTGGTTATCGAATAATTAAATAGAACGTAAATGCGTTAAAAATATTGCCATATCTCGATCATTAATTAACATTACTTAACAGTAGTTATAGATAGATCCTGAGGCAATCATAAAATATGTAAGTTTTTGTGTTATATATAACATTAAAAAATGTGAAAAATGGTGAAAATTTAAACAAATAAATTTCTATAAATTACGATTTTAAACATTATCTACGTATAACAAAAGTAACAAATTTGGTAAAATTTGATTTAATAAATATGTAATGTTAATTTGTGATTACAGGAAACGTTTATATCAGAGCGTATACGAGTATGACTTGCCATTGTTCAATTCGGCTCCGTGCCGTTTCGAGTTCGTCAGCCCCGAAGAATCGGATCTGGCCAACCCTTGGAAGGAGTCCTTCCGACAACTGTATCGTGGTATCCACGTCAGACCCGGCTACCAGGATCTGACTTTCAAAGGACGCAATTTATGTTATTTTAATTCGGTTCAAGTAAGTTCTACCTGTTTTGTATTCTTTAACTACCCCTGTGCTTATTTATGTAATTGTCAATTTGCAGGGAGCTTTAGATTATGCAGATGAGCGAAGCGCCGCAACAAGCGGTACTAATTATTCAGGTACATGCACCAATACCCATTCTTCCGAACCCACCAATCAAGGGGCTCTTATATTCTTGCACGCCGGGACGTATCGCGGTGAAGTACTGGTAATTGACTCGGACATTTCACTGATCGGTAGGTCAAATCACGGAGGCAGCCAATTTGTACTAAAGTGTCGATTGTTCTGGAAAAAGGCGCAGCCCCGGGGAACGTCGCGGAATCCGTTATATTGGAGCGCGAATCCGAATCGACACTGATGTTCGTCCAAGGGGCAAAACAAGCATACGCAGGTCATCTAACATTGAAGTTCTCACCGGACGTTACATCTACGGTGCCACATCATAAATATTACTGTTTGGAGGTCTTTGAAAACTGCAGCCCCACAATCGATCACTGCATCATCAGAAGCACGTCTGTAGGTGAGTTGAGACAAGTATATACTTTGAAGAGTATGATACATATTAAATTGTATTATATTATTTAGTGGGCGCCGCTGTCTGCGTTAGCGGAGTTGGTGCGAATCCCGTCATCCGACACTGCGGTATATCGGACTGCGAGAACGTAGGTCTTTACGTAACTGATTACGCGCAGGGAACCTACGAGGATAACGAGATTAGCCGCAACGCTCTAGCTGGGATTTGGGTGAAAAACTATGCCAATCCTATAATGCGGCGGAACCACATTCACCATGGACGCGATGTTGGTATATTTACCTTCGATAACGGCCTGGTAATCCAAGATCATCAACTGCTACTTCATGATTTTACTAATGCATTTTTTTTTTTTGCAAATTAGGGCTATTTTGAAGCGAACGATATTCACAATAATCGAATTGCTGGATTCGAGGTGAAGGCGGGGGCAAATCCGACTGTGGCGCACTGCGAGATTCATCATGGGCAGACGGGAGGTATTTACGTGCATGAAAATGGGCTTGGACAATTCATCGACAACAAGATTCATTCAAACAACTTCGCCGGAGTGTGGATCACATCGAACAGCAATCCGACGATCAGGCGTAACGAGATCTACAATGGTCACCAGGGTGGTGTCTACATATTCGGTGAAGGTCGTGGTCTGATCGAGCACAATAACATCTATGGAAACGCGCTGGCTGGTATCCAGATACGCACCAACAGTGATCCTATTGTGCGACACAACAAGATCCACCATGGTCAGCACGGTGGAATTTACGTACACGAGAAAGGGCAAGGCCTTATTGAAGAGAACGAAGTGTACGCAAATACTCTTGCTGGAGTATGGATCACGACGGGTAGTACTCCGGTCCTGCGACGTAACAGAATTCATTCCGGAAAGCAAGTGGGCGTCTACTTCTACGACAACGGACACGGAAAGCTAGAGGATAACGATATTTTTAACCATCTATACTCGGGCGTACAGATCCGAACTGGCAGCAATCCGGTCATCCGCGGTAACAAGATCTGGGGAGGCCAGAATGGAGGTGTTCTCGTCTACAACGGCGGCCTCGGTCTGCTGGAGCAGAACGAGATCTTCGACAACGCTATGGCCGGAGTCTGGATCAAAACCGATTCCAATCCAACGCTGAAGCGTAACAAGATCTTCGATGGAAGGGACGGCGGTATATGCATTTTCAATGGCGGCAAGGGCATCCTCGAGGAGAACGATATCTTCAGAAACGCGCAAGCAGGTGTGCTCATCTCCACACAGAGCCATCCCATCCTGAAGCGAAACAGAATCTTCGACGGTCTCGCCGCTGGAGTAGAGATCACCAATAATGCTACGGCCACCCTCGAGTTCAACCAGATTTTCAATAATCGTTTCGGAGGTTTGTGCTTGGCCAGCGGAGTGCAGCCCATCGTCCGAGGTAACAAGATTTTCAATAATCAAGACGCAGTGGAAAAGGCTGTCGCAAACGGGCAATGCCTGTATAAGATATCTAGTTATACATCATTTCCCATGCACGATTTCTACCGATGTCAGACGTGCAACACGACAGATCGCAACGCAATCTGCGTCAACTGCATTAAGACTTGCCATGCCGGACATGACGTCGAGTTTATTAGACACGACAGGTAACAGGCTACATTTTTAAGCATTTAAAACCCCGATCGATATTTAAATAGTTTAAATTATTTTCATATTCATTTTATAACATTGGATTGACCAAAGATTAAAACATTAACTGGCTTTGAAATGAGTACAATTTATACTCGAGATTTTACGGTATTATTTTGAACGAAACTTTCTGACTGAATTTTTCATTAATTTTTGTTTGTTTCGTTGTTTAAGATTTTTCTGTGATTGCGGCGCTGGGACATTAACAAACCAATGTCAGTTGCAAGGTGAACCAACCCAAGATACCGACACACTTTACGATTCTGCAGCCCCGATGGAATCGCACACGCTCATGGTGAATTAGTATTAAGACACACCAAACCCAACACAAAGCTATTTATATATATATAATATATATATATTATATTTCAAGTTACACCAATTTTTACGGATTGCAGCTGGTAACCAAGTGTTTAAAAGTTGACGTCTATTACATAAAGTTATTTATATCTATAACTATCTATATCCAAAAAAAAGAGGAAAAAAAAAACAGGTTTATATATGAAATTGTGAGTGTGATTTTGTTTTGAAGTGGGTTTTGATCAGTGCTTCACGTGAAGAGAAGGGACAATTTCATTTTTTACACGATGGAAACACTTTACTTACGTTGTGATCGTAGTGTCTGTCATTATTTCTCTCTTAATATTTTAAGTAGACGTGCGAGATGTTTAGGGTGACTTGCGTATGCTTTGCAGAAGATCGTAGTATGCAATATAAAAATAATAATAATAATTATAATAATATAATTAACGATACATTACACGACTGATTTTCTTTTCTGTTTATTTTAATTTGTTTTTTTTTTTCTACATTTTGGGCATACGTTTTATATGTGGACAATCAAATGCAGGCTTCCAGAATCAAATTAATAGTAAATGCTGATCCAACAAACCAGAGGCAGGCAGATCAGACTAAAGGAACAAAATTTGTTGTTTCTAATCGAAAAAAAGAACTCCAATTGCATTTGTTTAATTTTGCTACAATAGAAATACGGGATTCCTCTCATTGCACAGCTACTTCTAAATGAAAAATTATATTTTTCAGAGGCGGTTAAAATTATTATTATTGAATCTCATTGTGTGTATGCCTGAGTAATTTCGTCTTGAAGATCTGCACGAAAGTGTGATCTTCTTGCGCATTCTTATATGCCGTTGGAGTAAATGTGATGAATGAGGTGCGTCGGAGTGCCGCGAAGTTCATCGAATCAAGTCTAAAATTTCAATATTGATAAGTTTGTTTCGTTTGACGATTTTCGCTCGCCCAGCTCCATTTCAACACTTGCATTTTATTGCAACGCAAAAATTCGTTGGGCTTCGCTCACACATCCGTTTTGCACAATAACCAATCGTTGCAATTGTAAAACATTATATATAAATATTATATACAATACGCCAATGTACAATTACTTTTTTTTACTAACGATTATTACACAACTTGTATAGATATTTTTTGTTTCCTTTAATATCATCATCATTATTATAATTATTTAAGTTTGCAACGAGCCAGATTTGGCGCTAATTAATTATATTTTTATCAATAACTACATTTGTTAAAAAATTAAGTGAATTGTATTTTTTTATAATCTTATTTATTTTTAGTTTATCTAATTATTTAGGGATCCACGAACCGATTGCGCATTGTGAAAAAAGGGTGGTTTTGGAGGGAGGAGGAGGAGAGTTGGAAGTGCAAAAGAAAAGAACGAACAAAACAATTATTATTTTCGTCTCCAAATCAAACTTGCGTATTAAAAAAAAGAAATCCGTTCACGTTTAGCTTCTCTAAATCGATGAAATTAATTATGTTTTTTTGTTTGTTTGTTTTTTTCTTTTCTTTCGTTCCGTATTCCGTTGGAAGGAACGAAGTAGTTTGTAAATACATTTAGTGGTTGAATATACTAGCGTGTGATAGTTGAGATTGTATTTTATGTTCTTAATCGATTAAGTTAACTAGTTCTTTGGTGAAATTTGTCATGGAAAAGAAAGAGAAAATTTGAGGAAAATATCAGTATTTTGTTTGTTTTTTTTTAATATTAATTTGATTTTCAAACGATTTTTTTTTGTGTTATTTTATTGTTTAATTATCTTTAATTACTTGTGGTTTGGAGAGGGCAGGAATCCAAAGTTCCTGCTTTTTAATATGAACATTATATATACTTATATATATAGGAATTTCAATTGTAATGGTTATCAAATTGAAAAAAAAAAAAAGAATTATGTAAATGTGTGGTATATATACTTTGTACATATATATTAGAGAAAACAAAAAAATATAAATGATAAATGCGATTTAAACATGTTTAATAATAATGAAGGCATTGTCGGGAAGAAGAAGAAAAAAACACAAATTATATAATGATCAGAGGGTGCGAACAAAAGAAAACAAAAATAATATGATATTTACAAATTCAAAGGCATATTTTTGCTCTGTTTATATTCTATATTGATGGAACAAGTTTAATGAATGAGGTGGCCGTGGAAATGCGATAGAGAGCAGTAAGGACTAAAGAAAAAAGAAATGAATGAACTGAAACAAGAAATGGATGATTGAATTAAAAATTAAAAAAAAAAAACAGGTGCCATATACTCTATATTATAATAATAACTAATAATTTATGGAGGAAAAAAACACATTTCGAGATGAGAAATCGCGGAAAAGATGATAATCTAGCTAACATTTATAGGATTTCGTAGGTAGTAATAAAAAATAATAGTTATTATTCTAGCTTAATTAATTATTATTTGATTGAATAACGTCGTAAGTGTAATCTTTTTTTTTTTGTTTTTCTCTACCCGGTTTTCTATCTTGATTTCGTTGGATTTTCTCGATATTTTGATGCACTTCGATGATGTTTTCCATATTTGTGTGTGTATATGATTGTTCTGTACTTTTATATCATTAATATTTTGTTTTTCACGATTTCCGTTTGTGTACTTTTTATTGTTTTCAATTTCCGTTTCGTTTTCGTCGCTTTTGAAGACTGCAAAACGGGAATTCTTCTGGACTATTACGACTGATATGACTATGTATATCAAATTAACTGTAAAATAATGTCCTTTTTCTATTAATACTAATTCTAAACTTAAGTTTTTAACAGTAAGTCTTAAGAATAAGAGATAAAAATAATGAAACAACAATTAAATAAATTGAATGTCAGGCTTATATAGATCGAACGACGACTGGCAGTGTCATTTAATGATGGATTAGTTAGCTAGCACCCGTATTGTACTGTGTACATTATTTAACAAGCAAAAACAAACAAAAAAAAAATATATATATGGCAACAATATTTCATTATTTATTATTATTTTCAACGTTACTCGTTTATTATCTAATTAATCCCCATATATATTTTTGTATTTCGTTTATATATATATATACATATATATCATTCAGTCTTTAATATAAACAAAATAAATATTCATTTTGACTCGAAACATTTTCTCTACATTTCGTTATTAATTCAATTCAAATCACATTCATAAAAAATGCACAGAACATGTCTTTCATTTAAATTAAAATTCCTCCAAAATATTATTGTGCGGTGCGTCCTATACACAGAATTTCTAATTCTAGATGTGTCTAATACATCGAAAATACAGCAAGTATACTTAATTAGATGTTTTAATTTACTTGTTTCTTTCTTTTGTGTAAAATATATTCAAATTTTAAACTTTCAAATATTCTTATTTCAATGAAGTTAGCAACGTGAATACAGTTGCATAAGTATTGTCACTAGGAAATTTTTTCAGAGTCAAAATCCTAACCTCCTTTAGTTTGACGTTGGTGTCATAGCTGGTCATAGCATAGAGCACGTGTATCAATATAAATAGTGTTCAATATTTAGTAAAGCATACACATTGTGAATTATTTTGTGCAAAGGAGTTACAAAAACATAGCAAAATGGAGGTAGCAGCACCGAGTGTAAACATAGATGTTGATAGTTTTGAGCCGATCAAAGGGAAGAGCTCCAAAAGAAAATCAGACAACTTCGAGATGGATGTAGATACAGCCCCAAACGCTAAGCGCGTGAAGAATAAGGAGATGAGAAAGATTCCTGTCCCGAAGCACAGATACACTCCATTGAAAGAGAATTGGTTGAAAATCTTCACACCAATTGTGGAGCATTTGCAACTGCAAGTGCGTTTCAACCTTAAAACTAGATCTGTTGAAATTCGTGAGGGTCCAGAGACCACAAACATTGCACATCTGCAAAAGGCTGCAGATTTTGTTAAGGTACCTGTTGAAAGAATTATTCTTGTTTTGAAAATGGAATTAATTGTTGATATGTTTTAGGCTTTTATCCTTGGATTTGAAGTGGAAGATGCTATGGCGCTTTTGCGTTTGGATGATTTGTTTATAGAATCATTTGAAATCAAAGATGTGAAAACTCTGCAGGGTGATCACAACTCTCGCGCGATTGGACGTTTGGCTGGTAAAGGTGGCAGGACCAAATTCACCATCGAGAATGTGACCAAGACTAGGATAGTTTTGGCCGACAGCAAAATTCATATTCTAGGCAGTTTCCAGAACATTGCTTTGGCAAGGAGGGCTGTCTGTAATCTAATTATGGGATCTCCTCCATCCAAGGTTTATGGACAACTTAGGAACGTTGCTGCTAGAGTTTCAGACAGATTATAACCAATAGATTTAGATAATACATATTTTTTATTTAAAAGTAAATGTAATAAAATATATTTTAGTTTAAGTACATAACATTATTTTTTGATGAATTTCATATATGACACAGCTATCAGAATCCCAAGTTCCAATAGTATTATCATTACCAAAACCAATTTGTTATAGATTACATTTCTCCCCATCTTTTTCAAAATCCTCCTTGTGTTATCAAGTTGATCATCGGCATTGGTCAGTCTGTCTTTTGCTCTGAGTAGTGTTTCCCTTTGGCTACCCAACTCAGTTACAACTTCAGTGCCAATTGTTTCAGTTTCAATAGCTATTTGATTCGATCTAGCTAAGCTCTCACCAGTCCTTTCCAAAATCCTCTTGCCCTCAAGCAATGTCTGCCTATTATCTTCATCCCAATTATCATGTCCACTGTACATAGTGAATCTTTCTTAATTAATTTCAATCACTTTTTTTCTATATACTATTTACTTCAATTGTTTATTTCTGATAAGTGTTGCCAATATAATATATTTTTTTATGACATTGACTGGCTACATGCATCCCGCTATGCGAACTAAGTTGCATACTTCTACTATCTCAGATGTTCTGGTTCTTTCACTCTGAAAAGGAGTGGATGTATGTAACTTAGCTCGCACAACGGGGTGCATGTACCCAGTCAATGCCATATCAAGTACTAAATAAAATTAAATACACATATGCAACTCAAAAAACATATAGAAACTCTTCACGAACTGAGACCTAGCGATTCTTATCACAATATGGAAGGTCTCGGATAAGTTAGTAAAATGTTATATGAATTGTTATAAAGGTACCAGTAGTAATAAGTAGATATAAGATTTTTATCGGTTTGTTGGATATTTTGTATATCCCTACTTCTGGGGTGGAATTAAAAAATAAAATCAATTCGAATTAAATAAAAATTATTTGTAAATATAATAGAATATATATTTGAAATAACAAAATAATAGAGAATATACAACCAAAACGAATTCCTGTCAACATAAATAAAAGCATCTTTCAAATGAAAATAATTTTGAACAATCTGTATTTAACATAATATAAGATTTTGTTATTCGTCCAGATGCATCATCAATTCTGAAATTTTATCTTTTTCAGTCCTTTTCCTGAACATCAATTTCTTGCATTCCTCCAGCAATTCTTCATTGTTTCCTTCATTCCTGCGCACCATCAAGTACATCATCAGCGTCTGTAAAGAAAAGCGATGTTAATACAAAATTTATGTTTAATTGCAAAATATTTACCTCCGAAATATATCCAGAGAAATAATTGTTTCCCATTTCCATTGCATGAGACAACAAATACGGGATGCTATCCCAATCCTTTTTCAGTATGGCCATTCTTACAGCTTCCGTTATCATCTTCTGTGTATCGAAACCGATATTCTTTATATTACGCTTCGGTCTGCAACCTCTCTCGGCATTCTTTACGAGTTTACTTTGCTCGTTTTTGAGAACTCGAGATAAGTCCTGCTTACCAAGGTACAATAGTTTTCTTTTGCTTTTACCCTTTATCTCTGTTTTGCATTTTTTCAAAGATTGCACGCAATCCTCATATATACTATCCAAAGCCGAAAATTTATTCTCCAATTCAGATTGATTTTTATCTTTTATAACGCTTTCACATACTAGTTTATCATGTACATCATTTACCTCAGATGGTGGCAAAACTTCGTTTGTTGTTATTTCAATTTTCAACATTTCTTTGAAGGCGCCGTCATTTGTTTCTTCATCCTCATCTGACGACATCATATCATTCTTACTTGATCCTGGTTTTGCACTGTCCATCTTAATGCTACTCAATACATCGAGTTTGGTATTTTGTGTTGAGGTTTGCGCAGCATCATTGACCGGATCAAAGTGAATACTACTTGACATTATTGTATTATTTAAATTTAATTTCGAACTAATCACTTCATCGTGTCTCGAAACGCTCACTCTTCGCTTTTTGGTCTTCAAATAGTTTTTCCTATTGAAACTTTTTATTACCAAGGAGTTGTTAAGCTCGTCATCGGAAAAACTCATTTGCATATCATTAATTGGCAATTGTTGCTCAACATCTGCATTATTATGTTCAATTGTCTCTGCTAAACGCGGTTTTTTAAAAATTTCTACTACATTCTTTTTACACTCTGAAGTTTTACATGATTCTGTCGGGACTGCTGATCGTGTTTCCTCTGTTATTTTATTTGCGGTTTGTTGCGATAAGATATTATCATTTTGTGCGATAAATTCACTATCACTATTAATTTCATTAAAACAAAGGACAGTATTTCTCGTGAATTGTTTCAGGTCAACTGTTGGTGATCTTATTGCCAGCAATTGTTCATCTTCATTATCAGTACAATTACCATTATCCATTTCTGATTCAGATGCTTGTGGAGATTGTTTTATCATAAATTCATGGTGAACATCTTGCTCATTTATACACTCCTCCATTTTAATATTCATACTTTCATTTAGAGACCTTATTGTTTCTTCAACACTTTTTTTCTGGTTGATTGGTAAGGTTGATGAATCCAACACATTTAATTCCTTGTTATCCATTATATTGTTACCTTTCGATATTTGTTTCTTTTTACGTTTGTTGTCTTTGGTTAATTCCTCATCATCCGTTCTTGTTTTCTCTCTATTTGTATTAATAGATTCTTTTGACGACATTAATTCATTTGGACAAATTATTATTGTGGATGCTTTCTTCTTCACGTGTTTTCTGTCACCATTAGGTGAATTATCTTTCTCCAATTTCAAACCATTAGTTAATAAATCCAAGTTAATAACATTTTCGTGTTCTTCCTTTTCTGTCGACGATTTTTTAAAAGCACGCTTTGGATTTTCTCGTTTCTGAAATAATTAAAATAAAAATGTTATTGAATTATGAAACAATAGCTTTTATAATACTTACAGTATTTGTTGTTTGTTTCACAGATCCTGTAGATTCTTTAATAACCAATATATTACCATCAACTTGTTCTTTAGGATTTATTGCTAATTCCTCATTTACTTTCCTCAGACTTTTGTTACCTTTCACAGATTTGTCTGCAGGATGATCTTTTTGATTCACTGTTACCACATCTATTATATTTATGATATTTTCATCATTGGTAGTTGTTGCTCTTTGCTCAGCATTATTTTCAATGCTTTTATTAAAACTTTTCTTTTTCTTACCTTTTGTTCGTTTTTCACTATCAGTCAATGCACCTGCATTTGGTTCCTTATTAATTCTCTTAGGATTATCACTAGCTATATCTTCGTATAACAAATCCTTTAATTCGTTAATACTGATTGAGCGTTTTCTTTTGCTTGTAGATTTATCAGATTCATAGTTTGGTTCTTTTGAAAAATCATTCTCAATTAATTTCAGAAGATTCTGAAAATCTTCTTTCTTATTTTTGTTACTCTTCCTTTTGCTTGCCTTATTTTTGGATGATGTACTTGGAATTTGTTTATCTATTCCTGGCAATATTTCCTGTACTCCTTGAGCTGTTTCACCAGAAATATTAGACTTTTGTAGTGTCTTAACATTTGCAATACTGACATTTTTACATGTTTCTGTCGGTATTGCTGATCGTGTTTCCTCTGTTATTTTATTTGCCGTTTGTTGCGATAAGATATTATTATCATTTTGTGCAATACATTCACTATCACTATTAATATCATTCAAACACAGCACAGTATTTCTCGTGAATTGTTTCAGGTCAACTGTAGATCTTATTTCCAGCAATTGTTCATCTTCATTGTCAGTACAATTACCATTGTCCATTTCTGATTCAGATGCTTGTGGAGATTGCTTTATCATAAATTCATGGTGAATATCTTGCTCATTTATACACTCCTCAATTTTAATATTCATACTTTCATTTAGAGACGTTATTGTTTCTTCAACACTTTTTTTCTGGTTGATTGGTGAGGTTGATGAATCCAACACATTTAATTCCTTGTTATCCATTATATTACTACGTTTCGATAATTGTATCTTTTTACGTTTTTTGTTAACATTGCCTTTTGTTAAATTTGCTTCTTGCAAATTTTCATCAGAATTTGACAATTCAGATTCTGGAGATTCCTTAATCCTCAATATATTACTATCATCATGTTCTTTGGCATTGGTTAATTCCTCATCATCCTTCCTTGTATTGTCTCTATTTGTATTAATAGATTCTTTTGACGACATTAATTCCTTTGGACAAATAATTGCTTTGGATGTTTTTTTCTTCTCGTGTTTTCGGTCATCATTAGGTGAATTATCTTTCTCCAATTTCAAACCATTAGTTAATAAATCCAAGCTAATAACATTTTCGTTTTCTTCCTTTTCTTTCGACGATTTTTTTAAAGTACGCTTTGGATTTTCTCGTTTCTGTAATAATTAAAAAAAAAAGTTATTGAATTAACTCACAATAGCCTTTTTAATACTTACTGTATTTGTTGATCCTTTAGATTGTTTAATAACCAAGATATTAGCATCAACTTGTTCTTTAGGATTTATTGCTAATTCCTCATTTACCTTCCTCAGACTTTTGTTATCTTTCACAGATTTGTTTGCAGGATGATCTTTTTGATTCACTGTTACCATATCTATTATATTTATGAGATTTTCATCTTTGGTAATTGTTGCTCTTTGCTCAGCATTATTTTCAATGCTTTTATTAAAACTTTTCTTTTTCTTACCTTTTATTGGTTTTTCACTATTAGTCAATGCACCTGCATTTGTTTCCTTATTAATTCTCTTAGGAATATCACTAGCTATATCTTCTGATAACAAATCCTTTAATTCATTAATACTGATTGAGCGTTTTCTTTTGCTTGTAGATTTATCAGATTCATAGTTTGGTTCTTTTGAAAAATCATTTTCAATTAATTTCAGCAGATTCTGAAAATCTTCTTTCTTATTTTTGTTACTCTTCTTTTTGGATGATGTACTTGGAATTTGTTTATCTATTTCTGGCAATATTTCCTTTGTTCCTTGCACTGTTTCACCACAAATATTAGACTTTTGTGTCTTAACATTCGCACTAACATCAGAATCAGATGTTTCAATGATGGCAAACTTTGATTTCCTTGGTGCTTTCAATGGTTTGCTTAATTTTGATGGAAGAGACTTATTTAGTTTGTCAGTTTTTGATTTTAGCTCCATTTCGCACTCGGATAAAATATCTTCAATTTCATGGTAGTCCCTCTTCGGACGACATTTTGGTGTGGTTTGGCAGTCCATGCCCAATATATTCGGAATAGAGAAATCCATTTTCCTTTTCTTGCATTTCACTTTCTTTGAAATGCTTGCTTTGTTTAAGGTGGAAGAATCACTGCTCGAATCAGTGCTGGATACACTCACCTTGCGTTTCTTGCCCTTTACTGCATTGATAGGGACAACATCGAAATTGATTCTCTTCCTACCATTATCACTTGAGACCTGCATATTCTTCTATTAACTTTAATGGAAAGCAAGTAAACAAACAATCACAATCAACTTCGATCAACTTATTAAAAACATAACCTTGTGTTTATTTAAAATTTGTAGAATGACGTCAGACGTTCGTTTGGTAGACTACAATAAGGGGTATTCATTGTTAATAATAATTTAATCATATTAGTAAAAATAAATTAAAACAGAAGAAATAGCTATAACAACTATAAACAAATAGTGATATGTGTGTAAGAAAATTCCTTTTAAATAATCATAGTATCAACAGGCAATTAAATGCTTAATTTAGCAAAGCAATTAACTAATTGTTACTCGCATTAGCCTTGCATATGATCTACATATGCATTTCTTGAATGCATTAATTGCAGTAATGTCATGGATATAACAGATGTTGCACCTAACAACATCTGCTGATCTTCCTTTTGATGTAAACAGTTTATATATAGTACATATTAAGTTATAAATAATGGGAAAGTTTATTCAGAATAATATTAACAAACAATGGAATAAATAAGCAAAATTATCAAGTAACTGTTGGTTGTATCTAAATTATTATACATATTTGAAATTTGATGTTGCGATTATTATTAAATCAAATGTTGTTTATTTTGATGACTCATGTTAGCTTTGCTTAATTAGATAGTAAATTAGAATAACAATATTGTATTATTGTTTTATAAACATCATGAATCAATAATTATATTTAAAAATAATGGGAAATTAATGTCTGTATTTCGGAGAAGTGTCCAGGGTAGTACTGGTGACGTCGGAAGGATAGTAATAGGATAGAAATGAGGTCGGTAAATTCGATTTATACTAATAGGAAGGATAATAGAAGCATAGAGCAGAATCGAACGAGTCCTCGTCCTAATCTATCGTTATGTATTGGTATGTATATAAACCAACATATACATGAGATTGAGAGAGTGAATGAATGAGAAAGAGAGAGAAGGATGATATTTGGTGGTGACGATCTGCATGATCTGCAGCGCAGATCTGGAGCGGTAACAATGAATCTTTTGTTTCGCGCAGGGAAATCGAGTGATGACGTCGGGACGCGGACGTGGCGTCGCGACGCATTCGTCTCGATGTGCGCACGCGTCGTGCGGAAATTCACCCCCCACTTGAGGCAGATTTCTTGCGGTGGAATGACAGACGCCGTCAGAAGTGACAGCTGGTTGCTAGACCGTGTCCTACTACGATCCGAAATTTACGTAACGCTATCAGCGAGCGCCTCGTGATATTTGTGTTTTTGATAACGGTAGCCATTCCCGCGGACGAGAAGCGACCGACGATCATTCACTGTCTCAGTGATGTTATTCTAGCACACGTTGAACTGTTCGGTGCGTGCGTGAGCGAGGAGTGTGTGGCCTTCGAAGTGCGATCAGCTTCCATTATTTAGCGAAGAAAGTTAAAAATAGTCGTGCTATATTACACATATAGTGGAGAGAAGATCGACACCATCGCTCAGTGAAAATGGTGCATTTCAGGAATCAATTGGGTGCTTTATTTATCCTGCTGTCAACCTCGACAATTGTCATATCTGAGAGTAAGTTCGCCACACAGAGGCTTAATAATGATTTCTCCACTGGTCCCCCTTTCGCTCCTAACGCATTGGGCGTGGTGTTTTGCAAACATCAATTACTCTCAATTAGCGCCAATATTTACCTACGACGCACGCCAGAAAACCCTAAAAAAAAAACCCGCCCCACATCTTCATGCCCTAATTTCCGCCACCCCACAAACACACATGCCATCCATCACTGATCCAAGGTTATGGAGATGACCAGCAAAACCATTCGCTGAACTTCCTATTAATTCCAGTTGAAATCAATCTCAATTACGATGAGGTGTACAAGACCAACCAATCCAAGAAGTTTGATATTCGGAGTTCCACAACCATTGAGTGCACCATCGAGGCATCAGAAGGGGAGGAGTACTCAATGAAATGGTATGCAACAAAAACAACAAATATATCAGTCACATTAAATGCACATATTATTTTCAGGATGAAGGACGGCAAGGACTTGGATACGAGCAGCGAAAAATTCAGAGTTACCAAGGATGGTAAGAAGCATTCCTTGAGGATTGGAAAGACCATCGACGAAGATATCGGAAATTACTCGTGCGTTGTTAATGTTAAAAACGATGACGAGCCAAAGTCTGCAATAATTCACATGTTTAGTGAGTTTCGCATGCACGCACAACCAATTGAATGCTATTAACAAAACAAAATTTTTAGGTAATTTTAAAGTTAAGACACAAGATAACATGAACTTCGTCGAAGGCGACATCCTGAGAATCCCGTGCACTGTCTATGGAAAACCCAGACCAGTTATCAAATGGAAAATTGGTGAGACACAATCAATAACTTATATACATTAACTTATTCACAATGCACAAATCACTCCTAATTTTGAGAATGACCCAGATTTTAACCTATTTAACTTATTGACATATCTGTCAATTCATAGATTTTTCCAATAGGAATAGACAACAACAGTAGATTAATATTTAAATAAACATTCATAATTACTTTAATTAATACAGATATTGTATTTTTATTATACAAACATCAAATTTAAGAGTATTTCTATTTCTTTGTTGTCCCAGCATGATTAATTAACAAAGCAATCAAGTAATTGTTATTCACATTAGCTACATACATGGTCTACATATTTGCAATTAGTGGAATATATATGCATATATTGGACTAATGCAACGAAATTGCGACTAATAAAATTATTACTTTTGCTGTAGAAAGTTTTTGGTCATTGTAATGAAATTGAGGGCAAATAGAAATCGTAATATATTCTATAGCAAAATTGTAATTGTAAATTCTACAATTTGTTAAGTTATATTTAATTTACAGGTAATAGAACATACGAAGAGAGCGAGGATCGCGTGGTGCTAGAACGGGACGAAGAAAAGGGTGTGGATAATGCTGTTCTGATCATTCAAGAAGCTGATCTTTCGGACAGAGGAGTTTACACCTGCATCGGAATCAGGCAATCCGAGCCGGACATCGTCGACTCGGATGATACCATGGTTCGGATCAAAGGTTACCATCTCATCAACTCATCCTGTGCAGTTTAATTTAATTGAATTCCGTTTCGATTTCAGATAAATACGCTGCTCTTTGGCCCTTCTTAGGAATCTGCGCCGAAGTTTTCATCCTGTGCGCCATCATCTTGATCTACGAGAAGAAACGCAACAAGGCCGAACTGGATGAAAGTGATACTGACCAAAGCCCAGACCAGTAAGTTTCTTTTTCTCTCACAAAACGAATCATTCCTTATGGTATACTCATCTAGACTTTTTATCTTATCAACACTTATCTGTAAACTCGTGGACAAACTAATCATGGTCAAAATGGGAGCAAACTCACTATTGTTTGATGCTACAAATGCGGTAAAATCTAAGCTAATAGACGCAAGTTAATAAACAAAAATCTTGTGTCAAATCCATTTTTAAGTTTTAAAGCTTCAGCTGAGATCATTTCTATAAATAGATGTGATATTCACGTAGCCCCATAATATGTTAGTATTCAGTATGAATGAGTATCTTTTCATCCACGCTATTAACAACAAAGAGTATATATTTATCAGTTTTAGAAAATGCGCCATTCGTCAATATTTGAACGCAGTAAAAGTTTGTGTACTTTTCCAAATTCAATACAAACAAATGTTTATTTATAAAATATATTTTCTTTACTAGGAATGTTTTCTAAATTATCTGAAAAGTAAATAGAAACAGTTTAGTACTCTACATAGTACACTAGATATCCTTATCAATGCTTAAGTACTTTAAGCAACAGATAAACAACAGGATAAATCATTTACAATTGCTTTGTTCTTGATGTTACGATCATAAAGTAATAATTTATTAATTAATAAATGAATATCAGTTTTTTTTTATGTAAGGTTTAAACAATATACAAAATGAAACTCAATGCATATTTCCTAATATTTTCGATACATAGGCATTGTATAGAATGCCAATTTTTACACTTATACCAATATTGATCAGTTACGAATATTTACATTTTAAATGTGTGATTCAAGTTAACTTGTTTGTTGCAGGAAGAACACGCCCGACCACGGAAAGGATTCCAACCTGAGACACAGACAGTAAACAGCGTGTTCTAAAAAAATGTCTCCGTTCGCTGCGTTCTCGTACTGGTAAAACGGAACACTGTTGGTTATAAGAACTATTTTGGTTTATTTTTTTCGTTCTAAATTCAAGTGTGGTTTCTCTTCCGTGTTTATATTACAATTATTAATAAGTTTTTCATTTAATATTAATTCTCGTTACCTCTATTCTACGTTTACATTTTTAATGATACAAGACAAGAAACCAAGTTAAGCGCATAGTTTTAAACCTTCTTCTCTCTTCGCGGATTACTCGCTGTTCAGTTTACTATTTGTTTGTTTTTTTTTTTGTTTCTCCAGATATATATAGAGTTGAGATTTTTATTAGGATTTAAATGAAAGATAAAATAAACTGTTGAAATCAAATGTTGAAGAAAACGAGAAGAACAAAAAAAAAATAATGTATGCTATAAATTAATTATTAATGAAACACAGGTTTTAAAAATCAGTTTAGGCATGTAAATATAACTTGACAATATATCATGTTATTGTATTTATCGGAGAAGGAAAAGAAGAGAAAAATAATAATAGAAGGGAGGAAGTAATTAAAGTACTTACTAATTATTGAGACATCTGTCAATGTACATAGGGTTCACAGATTTTTGTTTATGATGATGATGTTATTATTACTATATTTTATTATTTAATCAAGTTTTTATTTTATTTGCATGTATTATATATGAAGACGTGTATAGCTGAGTAGCCTAAACGGTTTTTCTTTTCTCCCCCCTTTTTTTGCTAGCAAGAGAGAGAGAGAGTTATGAGAAGAAAAACCTATTACATACTTTATTATCGTTTTTTTTTATTATTAATAAAATTAAAAATTAAATATTTGTAGGAGGGTTATCAAGTTTATTTTTTGGATTGTTTTTTTGTTTTCTTTTGTTTATATAGTTCAAGAGGGAAGTCTCGATTTGAAAAGAACGAGTAATACTAATAATAATGTATTTGATAACAGTGATTGTGTTGTGTACGCAGTATGAAGAGGAAAGAAAGAAATGAACGCCAATTTTTTGTTAAACTAACATTTATTTACGTGTTGTTGTCAAAGGCAGAACGAACATTAAGTTTTCTATCGCGGAGCATGTATTATACATATTTATATAATATATTAATATATGGATGTTAACTTGTGTCGGAACTGCAGTAAATTGTAATTGGAGCCGAGCTGCACCGAAAAACGCGCGCGCGGGATATTCCCAACTTTTCTCACAACAACAAGAAATAAACAATTTTGTTCATTAAAGCACGAGATTTTTACAACTTAAGAGACTAGCGCATACTTATTAATATTCTAACGCAGTGATTTATTAATACCAGTTTCTTTGTCTTTACTTGACAATTACTTTATTATTTTTAAATTAACAATTATGTTGTTTTCTTATATATATAACGTGTAGTTGTTGATTTTGTATGTAGCCACCTAGTGTGTATTAATAATTTTCGTTCTGCGTCGCAGGCAAAACCTAGTACATCTTATCGGTTTAGTAAACTGTAATATATTAATAATAACAATACGTTGACTTGCATTAACAAATAATTATTTGATTGTTACATAAATTTAATATAACCGGAGTGTAAGAGTTCGTTTTTTTTTTCTGTTGTTGGTTTTGGTTTAACAAAACTGCATTATGATTTATATAATATATATATATATAAACATAAATCTACACAAAGATATGAACATAAACTGTTTGTAAACACATCCGTTAAAACGATCCTCTATCTAATCGATACAATTTGGTTCTGCTTGAGTTATATGAATGAAATCGTGGAACTTTTATGCCCAAACCTAAAACAAAAGAAGAATAATAAAGTTGTTAATGAGTTATACTGTTAATTTGGTTTTGTTTATTTTTTTGTGTTCGATTTACTCTCAACGTCGAATCCCATGATCCCGTCGACAGGGCCGTTCCATCTGGGCTGACCTGAAGACAAGACACCCTATTCTCGTGCCCGTACAGAAGACACACCCGCACGCATTTCAGAGTATCCCAGACGTTCACGGTGTAATCATTGTAACCGGAGAACAGCAAACGACCTGTAAGAATAAACAATTACAGTTCTTACCATCATCATAAATCCATTTGTTTTACTTCGTATCTCTATTTTACGATATTGACAAGTTATATACTTCAAAACGATAATTCGAGTGTTTTACAAGATTAGCAAAACATCTTCATAAACTTAATAAACGCGAGTAAGATCTTGCCTACATGCTAACCCAGGGGTCGGCATCCTACGGCTCCGGAGTTGTACTCTTTTAATGACAAAGTGCGGTCAAAAAAAATATTTAAAATGGAGTTCTAAACAATCCTTCACTAATCAGTTGTGGAACTATACTATGAAAAATATGTATATTCGTCTATATTCACTACCATGTATCGCTACTTGCGGCTTCCTAAACTATTTTTAAACAGCACTAACCTTACCCTACGATAGTTGTAAACTAATAAATTTGTTATTAGATTACGAGCACGTTTTCTCAACAAATGATGCTGGAAAACTAAGATATCAATTTTTTTTAAGTAATACAAACTACCATGACCATTACGATATTGCTCTTCAATAAGGAATCAACTACCCTTATTCTTGACATTAATAACATTTGACAGACATACGAATGACCAATATACTAAGAAATTATTGCGTTGGTGCCCGGCGCTTCCACCAAGAAAAAAATGGTTTCAGTAATTTGTATATAAAGGTTGTTGAATGATTGTTATAAATATATCCGATTGAAAGACGAAATGTTCAAGTAGTTACAACATTACAGTAAATTGTAAATATTGATTTTGCAATAACTTTATGCTAATAAAGCAAGGTAAAATCATTTCAAAATTATGTGTTTATCTAACATGTAATTCATAAATTAAACTTAGTCAAATTAAATATATAGTATTTAATAGTAAATAAGATTGAAATAAAAATCTTGCATACCTGAAACTGAAAAGTCGACTGAATTCACGCCGAAGATGATGCTCTCCTTGCTGTAGGTGGCAACTTCCTTATCGGCCCTCAGATCGAAAAGCCTACACTGGAATGGTAATTTACTTTAAAATTAATCTGTAATATTTGTAATACAAGTTGAAATTATATGTTTACCGTGGAATCGTCACTTCCCGTTGCAACGGCGTCTCCACTCGGATGGAATTTAACGCTGTTCACATCGGATTCGTGACCCTCGAAGGACTGTACGCAATGGCCCGAACGCATATCCCAGATGAGAACCAGCTTGTCGCAGCTCTACGAGAAAATATGAAAAAAAAAATGGAAGAGACAAATCTACCTTTCTTTTTTGCTTCTTACTCCAGACACGAATGTGTTTCCTGTTTCCGAGGGAGCCAGATCGATGGTCATCACGTCGGCGGAATGACCGTGGAAACTCTGTAAAAGTTGCCCAGATTCCACGTCCCAAAGAGCGCACGTAGAGTCCCCGCTTCCGGTTAAAATCTGAAAGAAAGACGATGAAATGGTACCAATGTCAAATGATAATGATTTTATTTACCTGCTGATCGGAATTGGGAAAGATGCAACAGCTCATGTAGCTGGTGTGAGTACCGACGGTCTTTTTGCGCAGGGTGACATCCTCGTCGAGGCTCAGAGGATAGACGGTGACCTTATTGTCCAACCCGCTGCGCCAGCGACCAGGAGGCAAGAACATAGAAGAAAGACGTGAAAAGTTAGGGGTCTCTGTGGTCGTTTGCGACTTCTTTTTGTGTACCCGCAAGCGACCAGATTCCCAGAAGGCGCGTACGCGCACGCCATCACCCACGTCGTGGGCATTGTCACCGCATGCTCCTTATTAGTCGTGTAAGCGTCCCATATAATCATTTTACCATCCTGTCACACACATACACACAGCTTCATTAACTTCAATTAACTCTGCAAACTTCGTTAACACACACACAAACGATTACAGTTCGAATCAGTTGTTAAAATAAATCAATTCAAAAACAATTTCATATGAAATGAAAACTACTAAGTATCAAATAGGAAAGTAAAGAACTCAGCTTTATGAAATCCTACGCTTTTTTTTCAATAAAATAATCCAATAATCTTTGTGTCATTAAGTGTCAGTATTAAGTATAGAAATATACTTGTATTGAGTACTCTTAATACATTTTTGTAAATATTATCCAAAAAAATATGTTATATTCGTTTATCTAAAATTCTCAGCTTGCATAATTTTATCAAATTTTCTTGAATTATTTTTTGTTGCCCATCATCAGAAGGAATTCTCTGTGAAATAGTAGTATTCACATTCCTTCTCAACATTCATATTGCTCATACAGTTAGTAATCAATCACTGCTAATCAAGGTTCACAAAGCTACAACACATAACTAAAAATGAAATACGACAGCAACAAAAAAAACTACTTCAATTAAATAAATTAAATCATGAATTAAAATGGAATGCATGCCACTTTGAAACAGTGTAAACCTGAGATGATGAGACAATGTGTCGTTTATCTGGAGACCAATCGGAACACAAGACTTTTGCTTGATGGCCTTTCAATGTCCTTCTAGGTTTAATATTCATGTAGTTTATTATCTCCAGTCTCTCTGCAACAGACGCCACTACAAAGCAAAATCATCAGTTCAAAGCCAACTGAACATACACTAATTACATGTAACATCATTCAATTTCTGTCTTTCCTCCTCCAATTTGATTTTGAGGGTTTCTGCCTCTTTCATGAGACTTTCAACAGTATCCACAGAGGGACCAGATACTTCTGAAGTCATCTGTAGCAGAAAATATAAATGGTTAACAATAAAAATGTTTGCAAAGTTTGATAACAAATGAATGTTCAATAAGTCAACTATTTATTGATTGTTGATGAGTTGGATGCAGCAAGCACGTTTTAAGTGTTCTGTTTCAGTTACCTTTTGCAAGAAAATTGTGCAGATTTGTTTAGTATTATACTTTATCGGTGTTTTCGGGCCGAGTCAATATATTCCAATATATAGAGTACAGGATAAGGTGTGTGTTTGTCAATAATTTATGGTACGTTTTTTGAAGCCTGGTTTCTTGAGTCTCGCAGCATTGGTAACACTGAAAACGCAAAATTTTAACCAAACATTGGCAAATGTTGTCAAACAATTTCTTGTTGCTTTAGAATGAGTTACAATTGAGTTTTACAATGCATAGTAGTAAATAGTGAATTATAAACGTTTCTGTGATATCCATCGATTTTTTGAATTACAATTTAATAAAAGTAAGGGCATAAATTTAAATCCAAAATAATCTTAATATTGCAGTTCAAATTTAGATTTTTCAATTTCTTGCAAAAATTTTGACATACTTTGACATCTGATAACATATACATTATTGTTATTTGGATATTTTAAAGTGCAAAATTTCCAAATGATTTACTTATTGAAATGATGTTACAAAGGTGTATATTTTTTTACCAAAAATCTTAAATCTTACTCTGCAAATTTCTGATTTTAGGTTCCTCAGTGACTTAACTATTCAAATGGGTAATTGCATACAGGATGAAGAAATCGAGAATCAAGATTTGGTGTACATTATTATTGATGATCATGAAGAGGAGTATATCAGTTTTGTGCAGAAGTTGCATGAACTGACTAAGCAGAATGGAAGACTCATAGCTGATATTGGTGGCAAACTAGCGCATCGTGATGTCAACTTCCAAGAAATTAAAGTGGTCAAATGGGCAATGCAGGGCATGCAAAAAGAAATTTTATTATTAAATAAATTAAGCAAGTTGTTGAATGATACACTTGTGGAGACCTATGATGAGTATAAAAAGAAAATAACTGAGGCCCCAGTTTCAAATGAAACAAAAAACAAGAAAATAATCAACCTATCAATGAACCATTCCATTGATGACATCACTGTGGATTCAGTTTTATTATCTAGTGAAACTGTTACTGACCCTAAAAATGTTATCAAGGAGGAAGGTAAGTTTTCATGTTTCTTATAACAACAGCAATTTTTTATGATTGTGAATTTTAGATGCAGATGAATTCTTTAGAAAGGCAATTACAGAAATTCCTGATAATGAAGATATTACAAGTCACATTGAGAAGGCCAATAATCTACTGAGATGCTTTGAAGGTATGTATATTTACAGGTTTGACTATGACCCTGTTTACAATATTTATTTCATATTGATAACAATGAATGTATTAAAAAATACATAATAGAAAAGCATTATTCAATACTTAATAACCATAACACTAATGAAAATAGAAGAAAAACATTTTAATTGGTAATGCATAAATTGAGGCAATTCACAGATTTAATTAATGTCTCTTTTTTTTTCATTACAGAAGAATCAGAAAATACAGAACCTTTAGAGAACCAAGTATCACAGATGTCAAATGGTATAAATAACTATGAATGTTTAAATACATCCACTAAATTAATTTGTTTATATTTTAGAGAATAATGAAATTGACAATGGAATTCCTCTATACAACAATATTACAAAATCAAAGGGTTGGTATTCTGTCCTAATGATAATAAATAATTCTAAGTTTATTTTCTTTAGATTAACGATTATTTTTTTAGAAACAAAAAATACAGATATAATTCCAGAAACATATATTTTACCGAAATTACAAGAGGGTAATCATACAGATGCATCAACGAATTATGAGCAGGATACAAATATTCAAATTGGAGATGTCAACACGACAACAGTAACAAGTAATGCTTAATTAAAATAAATCAATTAGTTTATAAACATATTTGATTTCAGAGAGTGGTGTTGGCGCAGAAGGTATTATCTCAGAAGCGACCAATAATTTAGAGCTGTTACCGCAGGGTATGTAGGTAATATTACGTCAGATCACTTGTATATTATATCTAAATTCTAGCCGATGCTGCATACGGCGATGGTAATCAAATAGAAATTGATTTGTCTCAAATCAAAAAGGACGAGGAATGCGATAATGAGAGTATTTACTCTCACGGGACGGACATTGTGCCAGATATATTAGATGTGAAGAAAGAAGATGAATTTACAGAGGTTTTACCAAACTCGTGCAGGGTGCTTATTGGTGACGTGGATTCTTTCCAGATATGTAACGAAATTTTACCAAACGACGCGGAATATACGAGTATATAAAATTAATGAAAAGTTATGTGTATATTCTAATTATGATTATTTTCAGATGATCATTCGTTGTTGGATTCAATTCGCGATGATGACAGTATCTTTCAGAATTCCTCTGGTTCTAATTAGTAATGCATTTATTATAAAACTACGCACGATTAAGTAATAATGATAAGCTTTTTTCAGTGATGAATCTGACGAGGAGATAAAACCTGAATTGTGCGATGTTGAAATTGAGGATGAAAGAGATCGTCGTGTCAGCACTGACTTACAGATGAATGTCGCCGTTACGCCGCCATTTAACTATATTATGACTAGGTCGTGTGAAGTGCGAATAAGAAAGGACGATACAGATAATGTCCAAAAACACATAGATCAAAAAATTGAAATTGAAAGGTTTTTTTATGATGAAATTTCTTAGAGTTAATGATTAGCATGTAAATTGATATTTTTAGATTGTTGGACCTTAGAAGTTTAAAGAGGAAAAGAAAAACGAAACGCGGAGACACGTCAGTTTCCAAGTCGAATAAGATTACTAAAAAAAGCAGAGAATTGAACGATTCAGTTTCAAGCTCCTGTAGCAACTCCTCAGTAGCGGATTCGGATCTACACGAGTATAATTCCGATTACCAATCAATTAATGAAGCAGATTCGAAAATCATAGATGATGATTTTATACTGGACAATATCAGAGAATCGGACAGTGACTCGAGCTCCGGATCGAGTGACGACGAAGTTGCCAAGAAAAAATCTAAACATGGTGATGTTCATGTTTTACCTAAACGAAATGCTCTGACTAGTGCATGGAAGAAAGATCCGTTACTGACGTGCAGCTTGAGCAATTCAAAGGAAAAACAAAAGTAAGATTGTATTCTATTGATATTACTTGACTACTTCTATTGACTACTTGCTGAATTCTCGTTTTTAGAACAAGTATTCAAGATGACGTGACAGTATCCGTGGATATAAATTCTTCCGATTCCTCGGATATAGAAATGTATTAGTATTTTGCTCGACCAACTCCTCATTATTTTTAATGGTTTATTTTTTTAGATTATGTGATGATCAACAAGTGAAAGAATCTCCAGAGGCGACAGTCGGGAATAGTAGCAAAGGTAAAGGGCGAAGGAACATTCGCGCCGTTTGTTCTGATCTGAAGTTGTCCCACAGCACGGTAATTGCAAACACCCAGGAAAAGGAACGCATCGGCAGGCTTAGAATGAAACACGTGAGTTGTTCATGACTTGTATTTCGTATTTGTAGAAATCCTAAATTTGATTCGAGTATTTGTCACTTTTCAGTCCTCCTGTAATTTTTGTATGTAATGCTGTTCTACATATGTTCTGCATAGGTTCTATATTGAATATTTTCAATTGTTCACACGAGCTGAATCTCATTGAAAACGCATTTTAAATGTAATTTTATATTTAAGATAATTTAACAATTTACATTTACTGATCTAAATGTACAAATAATCTGAAGAAATATAATAAAAACAATTGCGATTCGTTTATGTATATAACAATATAATTTTATTTCACAAACATTATGCTAAATAGTACGAGCTTCGTGTGCACATTTAAGAAAGTATATAATTGGAAGGTAGGTTGTATATGAAAGTGATTATTAATATTTTTACTTATAGACATCACCTGGCGATGAGGACATAGTAATCGGTCTTCGCCTGGATGATGAGATAGTTGTGCATCACCTGTTGTCGGCCCGATTGAAAAAGCACCAAAAGGAAGGTGTAAAGTTCATGTGGGACTCGTGTTACGAATCAGTCGAGGTTATCAAAAAGAGCGAAGGCGTAGGATGCATCTTAGCCCATTGCATGGGCTTGGGAAAAACCTTCCAGGTGAGAATTCATTATACTTGGACATTTCCAGATCATATTTCTAATATTTTCAATTGCTATTTAAAAAATAGATTATCAGTTTGTTGCACACATTGTTCGTGCATCCGGAACAGACGAGAACCAATTACGTTCTAATTCTTTGCCCAATTTCCACTATAATGAATTGGAAGAACGAGTTTGATATCGCTTTCGATATCGTCGGCGCTAAGGACTTTAAAGTTTACAAGATCAGGTATAGCGCAACTTTGGATCGTGCGAATAACATATATATGGTAATATCTTTCTTTTTATAGTGACAGCGAAAGGGTTTTGACGTCGAAGATCAACATGGTAAATACTTGGCTCAGTAACAAGGGAGTTCTCATTATGGGATATGAATGCTTCTTGGCTTTAAGTAAACAGGAACTGCCTCTGCTTCAGAAGGCATTGTTGAATCCAGGTAAAAAAATCTTGTACTTGTTATTATGATAAATGTGTCATTTGTTAAAATATTTATTGTGTTTAGGACCTGATTTGGTTGTATGTGACGAAGGCCATCTGCTGAAGAATGGAAATGCGACCCGCTCCAAAATGATAAAAATGGTGAAAACGAAGCGAAAGATCATTCTGACCGGAACACCAATGCAAAATAATTTGCGCGAATGTAAGTCCTTTACAATTAATATAATAAATATTTAATTTAGAAATAATTTTTATTAGATTACCATATGGTTCAAATCGTGAAGCCGAACCTACTGGGCACTTTAAAGGAATACACTAATCGCTTTGTGAATCCCATCATAAATGGTCAGTACGGCGATTCGACGAAAGAAGATATACAAATCATGAAAAAACGAAGTCACGTTCTCCATAAAGTATTGAAAGACACAGTGCAGGTTAGTCTTCAACTAGGAAACCTGGATAAATCTTATTTTAACGCCTTATTATGAATTTATTGTTTAATTTAGCGAGTTGAAGGAAACGAGCTTTGTCTATATTTGCCGCCGATTAAGGATTACGTGCTAATAATACCATTGCATGACCTTCAAAGAAACCTGTACAAGAAGGCGATGGAGTCTATCAAAGTAAACAGGGAACAGAAAAAGCTGTTCATGCATTACTATCAATTAATGATGATATGGACGCATCCGGTCCTCCTGCAGATGCAAGAAAAAGCCACGGTGAGGCATTTCAATTTTATCAGGACTCGCATGGCGAATAAATAAATATTTTGATCAGGTAAGATCCAGGCCTGTGGAGCAGCAGGAAGAAGATGACGCCCCCACCGACGAGGTAATTGTGACAGAGGAGATGCCTAACGGCTGGTGGCAGTCCATCGTTCCATCAGAAATGAATTTACTGATCTACAGTCCCAAGTTCCAGATTTTGTTTAGCATCATCAGGGAATGTATGCAAATTGGAGATAAACTGCAAGTAGCCTGAATATCTATGCTCAACTATCTTATATAAAAAATATTTTAGGCTGGTATTTTCCTCGCTGCTAGTCGAACTAGACGCAATCGAATTATTTTTGAAACAATTGCAAATCGACTATCTGCGTATGGACGGCAACGTGTCTCCGGATGGTCGTGAAAGTCTTTGCAGAAGATTTCAAAACTCTAACATACCGTACGTATTTTTGTTACTATTGTTTTATTCAAGCAATTATCATATTAATCATTATTGTGATGGTTTGCTTAAGGATATTCATATTATCGCACAAAGTCGGTGGGCTTGGGTTGAACCTCACCGCTGCCAATCGCGTGGTTTTGATGGATGTCAGCTGGAATCCGGCTGTGGATTCGCAGAGTATCTTCAGGATATTCCGCTTCGGACAAACCAAACCCTGCTTTGTATATCGATTAGTATCAAAGGTGAGAATAGATTTATCTATTTAAATATATTTTACATGTGTGTTGTGTTATCAAGGGTACGATGGAGGAGGTCGTCTACGAGAGAGCTATTACGAAGCAGGCAACCGCAAGTCGTGTCGTAGATGATGCTCAGATCAGCAGGCACTACAAGAGCGAAGACTTGCTGGCCATGTATCGCTGCAACGTGGATCCCCTTGAAACTCCGACCACTGTTTTCAGAATACCCAGCGACAATATCCTGGCTGAGATTTTGAAGAAGAACAAAGCTCTCATACACTCGTACCATGAAATGGAGAGTTTGCTGAAGAATCTGCCGGACGAGGAGTTGAATGAGGAGGAAATTAACTCGGCATGGGACGAGTACAACAATGAATCGATCGGTAATAATACGCGAAAACGAAAGTTGAAACAAGCTAATTTATCTTAAATTATTTCTAGTTTTACCGCAGCAGGTACCACATTTGGCGGTGATGCCTCAGTTGCTTCCTTCCTGTTCGAACATGTTTAACCAGTTCATGCCACGGTCTGTAGTTATTTTCTTTAAATCAATTTGCAATTTATATATAAATTATTTTTATTTTTGTGGCTATTGAAAACCAAAATCAAGTAATGTGTTTATAATTTATGTTCGATTTACAGGAATAGCTTTAATTTCACGTGCAACAACACGCTTCCCCTTAATTACAACAATATCAACAAGGTTATAGTAAGCCCAGTTCCAGATGCAAGAAATAACAATTTACCGCCCCAGAGAAATCCTAACTGCACAATTACAGATGGTAAAACATGGAACGATGGATCGTTCGTTCTATCGACTAATGTTTTATTTATTGTTTCAGGCGAGATCATCGAATTGGATTGAATATATCTTATAGATATTATTATTATTCTCAGAATGTTAATTATGTTGAACTCAAGTTATATTTTATTTAATAAATGATATGTTTGTAAGTAAGCGGATCGTGTTTTCTTTTTTTCCTTGTTCGACAATCGCGAATCAGCTGTAACCATAGCAGCAATTCGTATTGATCAATCGTTAAATCTGTGTTGTGTTTCGTGCGTTTCGTTCGTTGTTCGATCGTTTCTTTGGGAGGTGGCAAATATGTTGGAGAGAGCCGATGATAAAAGTTCTTCTGAGAAGATCAAGAAGCAGACGCATCTTTACATGCAGGATAGGTCGATGAAATGTATAGTAGGTAGACGTCTGCTCATATGATGATAGCTAACTAATTACAGAAATGTTGTCCTGAAAGCCCAAGTTGTCCTCGTACGAAAATCTTTGCGTGGTGTATTTGCACGGCAACAGGATAGAAAGCATCGAGAATTTGGATGCTGCCGTCAATTTGACCAGCCTCTATCTGCAAAACAACCAGATAGAGAAGTTGCAGAATTTAGGCACATTCCGCAGGTTGAAGAAACTGCACCTGGGTCACAACAGGATCAGCGTCGTTGAGAATTTGTCGGGTTTGGACAATCTTCAGGAGCTACATCTGGAGAAGCAACAGCTTCGAAAAGGGGAATGTCTATGTTTCGATCCTAGATCAATTACGGATATTTCGGTACGTTTTTGTATATATGCTTGTAAATATCATCAATGCAATCATTTGGATATAAGAAAAACATATTTCTTTTCTTTGTGTAGAGTACGTTGCAAGTGTTGAACATTTCTCATAACTGCATTAAGTCGATAAAAATTTTGAATCCTCTGAAGAGTGTGCGCGTGTTCAACGCCAGTCACAACAAGTTGGACGACATTGAGGACATCCTAAAGACGGTACAGCAATGGTACTATTTGTACGAGGCTTCTTTCACTGGGAATCCCGTTGCCAAGAGGCACAAGTATAGGGAGAACATAATTGCGAGAACCGTGCGCTTAGGTAACAGTATAATACAAGTATCATCAATTGAAAAGTTTTCTAATTGCTACCTTTCGGTTTAGAGCTGCTGGACAAGAAGGAAATTAACGAGACGACGCGCTGCTTCATCAAGAGGTTGGAGCGCGTCACCAAGGTGTCGCCCAGCGTCAATTTGGCAGATTTGCATGACCTCCCAAAGAACTATCCGCATCCCTTGCAGAAGGCCGTCTCCTGTTCAATCATCCAGAAAGGATTGTCGGTGTTAGGTAAATGCAATGCGGACGACGAATATGTCCCATGGCAAGCGCGTAAGTATCTTATGTATTTAGTAGTATAATATACTTGTTACACTATAAATATGAAGTAATTTATTAAATTACTTCAGTAAACTAGTATACGAAAGCAACATTTTTTTTTAGTTTATATATAATTATGTTTCAGTGCCGCAGAGCCTCAAGAAAAAGAAGGGCGTTCCTGGTGAAAGGAAGAATATTGCAGCAGCCCTAGGTGGGAATGGTCAATTTAAATTGGGAAATATGTGAGTTGATCTTCGTGACATATTTTTTTTATAAACATATTTATTATTAAATAAAACTTTGTAAAACAACTTTTCTAAAAATAATAAAAAAATAAAACATAAAACTATTTCATAGTCACAAAAATAAAATAAGAAAATGCTAAAAATATATATATATATTATATGTATTTTTTTTTTCTTTCTTTTGCTTCATTCAGTGAAGAAAGCACTGCGCCTGTGTACACTTAATGCTTAAAATACGATTTTTGTTTTTAATGAATGCTATGCTTTGTAGAAATTACATAAGAGTTTGGTCGTACACATTAAATATACACACGTGCAAAAAAAAGTGTTTTAGCAAAATAATAATATGAAATAATAGTAAAATAAGAAACAGCAATAAATTTTCTAATTTTAATTAGAACGTAAAAATAAAATAATACAGTTTTCATAAATCCATATATATATCAAGTATATGAAATAAAAAATAAATTTGTTTGTTTCAGACGGAAATAATAAATAGACTGGTTTTGGAATACATGAACAAAAGAAAAAAAATGTAGCGTACAGTTTTATATATCATCCATTGTTTCCTTAAATTACGATTTGTTGCACACACAAATAAGCTTTTCCTTCTTCTCTTCTCCTTAAAATTTGATGAACACTTTAATATATCATTTTTTTTTTTAATATATATTTATATATTAGTATTTTTTGTTTCATATATATATTTTATATATAATAGAGATTCTTTTGTTTTAAATATATTTTGAATAAAATAATAATAAAAGTATTATTCCAACGTAGAGCTTCTTTTTTTTTAATTAATTTTATTTGTTTTTTTCTTACACATAGCACGCAGATATTGAATTCGTGTGAATTTCGCGTCTTTTACGTAATAATATTGTTATATAATATACATCTTAGTATAGACAAGCACCTGGAGTGGAGGTGTTCAATGTGACGTGACGTTTAGATAGAAGTAATAAGCTGCTAAAGGGAGACGACTATACACAAAGTGGCGCGAAAATAAGGATTAGTAGCGCGTTCCGCTGTGGCGAGACCGAATGTACAGAACAGTAATAATAAACAATTGGTATTACTACTATACTTAGTAATATGTAAAGCGTAAATAACTGTATGTGCGAACCCAAGAAATGCCGTAAAACGAATAGAAAATATGTATATACCACAATCAATAGACAAAAGATGACATCGAGCATATCAATTTTATGTGTTAATTAAGTTCGCAGAAGTAAGCAATATCCTAGATGCTTTTACTGATCAATAATTATTGCTGCTCCTGTTGTTGTTGCTGCTGAGCCGCTTGCTGTTGAATCTCAATTTTCTCGACTGTCATGTCCGGATTCATCGCAGTTGCTTCTTGTATAGCTTCAGCAAGGGCACGATCGTGATCGATTGGGTCACCGTCCGACTGGATGGTGATCTTCTGCTCGACGCGTGTTTCTACCACGCCATCCTTCTCGGTTTTATACTGAAGAAAAAAAAAGTGTGAACCTGCGTACTCTTATTATTTCGTAGCAAACTTACGGTGATCGTTTCCACGGTCCTCGTCTTGGAGGAGATTGTCTGAGAGCTGACGATCTCTCCTGTAGCAGAATAACTACCATCATCGGATTTGAGGTGAACTTTCCTTGCTTCCGTCGCAACTACAGGAACGTTGGTCGTTGAGGTGCGAGTCACGTTTGGATCGCCGCTGTAAACGATGCTCTCGGTCTGCACGATTCCTTCTGGAACAGCCTTTACCCAAAGAACACATTTAGTATCTATAAATCTTAGCTTTATTACTGTATTAGTCGAGTCAAACTTGCTGTTCTCATTTTACCATATTTCTTGTTTGGTCAGTAGTACATGTTACGGAAAGAAAAGAAATCTAATGCCATGCCATGCACTTTGCAAGACCTACCTTGTGGAAAACGTTATCGTAGTATGGGTGGTTGGGGTCATCCGGTGGGTCGATTGGGGTTCCGGAATCACCGGAACTCGTCGAGCTTACGCTATCTCTGCGGCCCAGCTAAAAGTACAGCCACATAGCCATGCAAAACAAGTCTTAGCAAAACGAAACTATTCTAGTAGTAGGTTTCAATGTAAAGTAATCAAACAGTCAAACAAAATTTTAAAAAATGATTGAAAGAGTGTGCAAAATGGTTTGGAAGGTGTTAAGATTTGGTGTAGAACAAACCTGATCGCCGCTTACCACTGTACTCGTGGTCTTAACTTCTTGCGTTACCGTCCTCTGCTCTTGCCTGGTGGCACTTGAGGTCATCGAGTGCGCCACAGTTTTCTCTTCTAATTGCTGAGTGCGTGCGTGAGTGTCTTCGTGAGTGGTGGCTGTGCGCGTCGTGACTGCCCTAGCCGTCACAAATGGTGATTTTCCATCTTCACCCGACACATCCGCCTTTTTTAACGTTTATTAAAACGAATAAAAGATACAAAATAAAATAAATAAAAGCAAACTAAAGAAATAGAAAAGATACGAAAGAAGCAGCTTTCTTCTTCAACGTAGGAATCGCGCTTCGTGACTTACCTTATTCACCTGCGTGGATATCGTGACCTCACCGGTTCGACCGTCCTCGACCTTCTCCTCGATGTTCTGGGTGACGCCGCCCCTATCTTTCGTGACGACTTGCTTGGTGGTCGTCTTGACAACGACAGGACCCGTCTTCGTGCCGAGGCTCGCAAGATCACGCAGATTGTCCGTTCCGTATTCGTTCAGATCGTCGTCGCTACTCTCATCTCCGGATTCCATGATGACCCGGGTGTTCTTCAAGTCGCTGAAATGTGACGGATCGATCTGGGCGTAGTTGAGGATCAGCTCTCCGGTTACTGGATCGGTTCTCGCTGTTTCCGGATCGATGTTTCCTGTTTCCGGGTCGATGTTGCCCCATTCCGTATGGATTTTACCAGTAATTGGATCAATTTCTCCGGTCAAAGTCAGTACCTGCGTTACCTTGGTGTTCGCACTCTTCACCAGAGGATCATTACGATCCACCTGTACGATTTTACCGGTCTTCGGATCGACCATGCTGTACATGTACACAGTTGACGTGGTCACCTTCAGGATCTTTCCTGTCCTCTCATCAACCTCGCAATCGTTCGGATCGATCTCCCTCGGCTTATCCGTTTGCGTGATCAAGTACACCCTGATAATCACCAATCTACCTGTCTTCGGATCAATTTTACCATATTTGGTATATATTTCGCCGGTCTTCGGGTTGATTTCGCTCACTGAATACAACGGTGCACCGGTCTCATCCACTTGACCTGTCTTACAAAAAACTTGCTTTGTTTCCGGGTCAACGACAGATGTGGACGGATCGAATTTATTATATTTGGAGACGATTCCAGTCTTCGGGTCCAGATAACCGTAAATGGTAATGATGTACCCGGTGATGGGATCCACTTGTCCGGTGGAGTAAACCTCTTTCCTTGTGATCGGATCGACGTGGTCGTAAGTCCACACTTGATTGGTTTTCGGATCAATCTTGATGTTCTTCAGATCCCCTGTAGCCACTTCGCCGTTCTCTTGCAATTTGGGTTGTGAGATTAAGATGGAAATGATGCGTCCATAGTGCGGATCGAATTTACCCGTCTTCGGATTCACAAGTCCCTTGAAAATGATATGCCCAGAGTTCGCATCAACAATGCCCTGTTTAATTTCCTGCTTTCCGGTTTTAGGATCTGTGAAGGTTAGGGTGCCGTTGATGGGATCGATCTGACCGTACTTCGTGTCAACGGTGTGATTGTAAGGATTATATAAACCTGAGGAGAGATCCGGTTGGGCATTCTTCGTATCGATTGTATTCTTCTTGGAATCAATTTTACCGGCGAGAGCGACTACTTGAACCGCAGGTTCGATCTCCTCTCCGATGGTGATGACCTGACCCAAATTGGGATTAACAGTGTCCGTCTTCGGATCAACAACTCCATCGGTGATGATCACGTTACCATCTTTGTCCAGAACGATGGGTCTGGTCACAGGTTTGCCGCTCTTATCCAGACTTGTGATGGTCATCAATTTCAAATTGATAGATCCAAACTTTGTGACGATATCTCCTGCAGCAGCGTTGATCTTCGCCTTGCTGGAATCCATTTGACCGTTCGTCAAATCGAATTCGTTAGGATTCTGTGGATTCTTTCTGGCTGTGATAGTAGTAATCTCAACGATGGGATCAGCTTGTCCGGTGATCTGAATGGTTTGTGCGAAGGATGGATCGATCTTTCCAGTTTTTGGATCGCACACATCCTTGGAAATTGTGAATACTCCAGAATTTTCATCAATCTCTGCCGATTTGCCTTCAACTTTACCGGTTTTGCGATCGTTGATAAGAATTTTGTTGGTCTTAGGATCGATCAGACCGTACTTGCTCTCGATCAAACCGGTGATAGGATCCAGGTAAGCTGTGGATTCTTCGACCACACCCTTCTCAGGATCAATTTTTCCAGTCTTCGGATCGACTTTTCCGGTGATCACAAAGATTTTAATTAATCTCTTCCTCGGTGCCGCTGGAACGGTAGGGTCTTGGGCCTGCTTCAAGCCGACAACAGAGAAGATTTGGCTCACATTCGAATCCACTTTTCCAGTGTTGGGGTCACGGATTTTATTTGCTGCGGTATAGATTTGTCCTGTCGTAGGATCTACACGTCCTTTCACAACTTCCGTCTGTCCACTAATCGGATCTCTAGTAAGGATCGATCCAGTTTTGGGGTCGACGATGCCGTATTTTGTGTCGATCAAACCTGTGTTTGGATCCAACACTCCAGTCAGTTGTTCCTCCACGGCATTCTCCATATCTACCAATCCAGTTTTCGGGTCCTTTTTGTAGGTGATAACCATGATTCGAACCAAACGGTGCTTGGGAATATCCGCTCCGATGGTCTGCGTCTTAACTGGCGACGAGGACTGCTGTTGTTTCACAGGAGATGATTGTTTCTTGATGGGAGATGGTTGTTTTGGCGGTGGCACGACCGGTGCAACAACTGGCTTCGGTTTAACAGGAGATTTATCCCTCTTTGCGGAACGTGGAATGTCTTTACCTATGGGCTGCTGTGCTGTTACGTTATCAACAATTGGCTCTGTAATATGGACGGAAAGAGCTCTTCCGAAGTGGCTATCAACTTTACCGGTCTTCGGGTTAACAAAACCACCCTTAAAAACGATTTCCCCGGTATTGGGATCGTTGTGGCCCACTTTAACGTCGGATTTACCAGTCTTCGGGTCTGTTACCATCAGAGTTTCAGCAAGTGGATCCAATAAGCCGTATTTGGTGTAAATTACATTCTTCTCCGGATCATACAAACCTGTCGAAGTTTCCGGAGCGTGAGCGTGCTTGGAATCGATCACGTTTTTCTTGGAATCCAATTTACCGACGTACGTCGTGACCTGAATCTCTGGGTCGACCTCATCCAACATCTTTACGAGCTGTACCATGTTCGGGTCGACTTTTCCAGTTCTCGGATCGACGACGCCCGTTGAAATAACGATATTATCATCACCGTCGATTCCAATTGGACGTTCTTTGATTTCTCCAGTTTTCGGATCCTTGCTGGTGATGCGCATCAACTTCAAATTAATTGTTCCGTTCTTGGTGATGATCTCTCCAGTTTCTGGTACCAGTTTTCCATTGGTAGTTTCGGTCCTGTAATTTTCCAAATCCAATTTTCCGGTGGCCGGATCTTTCTTTACTGACACTGTGTTGATGGTGTATACCGGTTCCTTCGGATCGACGACATTCATCACCTGCGAGAATGTCGGATCGACTTTGCCCGTCTTGGGATCCACCACGTTCGAATCAATGAATATCTGACCGGTGTTCTCGTTGATTTGTATTGGAGATACGACTGGTTTACCTTTACCATCGGTCTGCACAATTTTACCATTGATCGGATCGATCTTTCCGTACTTGGTTTCGATGATGCCGGTTACTGGGTCGACAGCACCCGTCAATTTCTCGACTGTTCCCTTTTCGGTTTCAATCTTTCCGCTCTTCGGATCCTTCTTTGCGGTGATCACCAAGATCTTGACGATCCTTTTCTTGGGGATCGTGTGCGAGCTGAGGGCGTTCGGAATTTTATTTTGATTTATTGGTGAAACGCTATCGACGATCGTGATGATCTGTCCGGCAGTTTCGTCCTTTTCGAACGTTTTTGGATCGATGATCGGACCGTAGAATGCGAGCTGCCCTGTAGCCTTGTCGAACTTGCCTTGGACAACTTCTTGTTTTCCGGTCAACGGATCGGTTATGGTTAAGGTTCCTTTGGCCTTATTTATTATTCCGTATTTGGAATCTATGTCGCCGTTATCATTCAACACTCCTACCGACTGATCGACGACTCCAGTTTCAGAATTCAGTACACCAGTCTTCGGGTCTTTCTTGCATGTCACGACCATCAGTTTGACGAATTTACCCTCCTTCGGTTTCTGCTCTTCGCTTATCTTCTGAGGTACTGCTTTCACAGGAGAAGATTCCTCAACCTTCTTAGTTTTAGACGCAGTCTCTATAGGCAATGGTTGGATGTTCACTTCTGGTTCAACTTCCGGTTTCACCAAGCAAATTTTGATAACTCTTCCGTAATTGTTGTCGGGCTTTTGCGTTTTTGGATTGAAGAGTCCCTTGAAGAGGGTGGCTCCGGTAGCCGGGTCTTTGCTGCCACTTTTACTCTCAGTTTTACCAGTCTTCGGATCTTGGTATGTCAACGTCTCGTTAACAGGATCGTAAATTCCGTATTTGGTATACACCTTTCCGGTATCGGGATCGAATAATCCGATGGAATCTTCGCTTGTGGAGTTCTTAACATCCAATCCTTTCTTATTGTCAACCTTTCCGGCCATTGAAGTTACCGTGACGGAAGGATCCGCTTCGCTGCCGATTTGCAGGATTTGGCTGAGATTGCTGTCCTTTTTACCGGTCTTCGGATCGACGACGTCAGATAATATTATAATATTACCTTGGCCGTCCAATTGGATCGGTCTTTCAGAGACATTTCCGTCTGGAGTTCTGTTAATAATTTTCTTGTTCTTCATGTCGATGGTGCCATATTTTGTGACAATATCACCACTTTTCTGATTCCATTTTCCGTTAGTTGTTTCCTTATGTACCTTAGTCGGATTCAAAGCTCCCGTGGCACGATCTCTTTCTGCAGTGACAGAAGTTATCGGCACGATGGAATCCTCATCGGCTAATGATATTAATTGACCCAAATGCGAATCTACTTTGCCGGATTTATCAACTACACCATCGTTGATAACAATCTGAGAAAGATTGTCATCGATTTCGATCGGTCTCGTATCTTTGCTGGTGATTATCATTTTGCTGGCGCGATCAATGGTTCCGTACTTGGTCATAATGCGTCCAGTGGTCGGGTCGATGAGAGCATCAAGATCTTCGCTTGTACCTTTCTCCGCTTCAATGCGACCGGTTTTCGGATCTTTCTTAGCAGTAATTACTTTGATTTTCACAATACGGCGCTTAGGTTGACCAGCAGGAATCTGTTCGCAAATGGAGATGACCTGACCCATATGTGGATTCAACTTATTGGCGACAGGATCGTACACCGATCCATTCGTAATGACAATTTGCCCAGTGATCGGATCGAGAAGACCCTGCACTAGTTCTTCTTTACCGGTAGAAGGATCCTTAACGAAAACAGTACCCTTCTTGGGATCGATGATGCCGTATTTGGATTCGATCAAACCAGTGTCAAGGTATTGTTTTCCGGTGCAAATATCGGATTCCAAATTCTGCAATGGATTCTTCTTGCCGGTAAGGACGAACAGAGTCACCGGTTTTGTATTATTGGGATCTCCAAGATATGGTGCTACTACAGGAACGGCAGCAGATGCAGGTTCTTTGTTGTACAGTTCTCCAGCAAGAAAAGCGGCGCTGTCGTCCTTCGGATCTGCAAGCTTGTATTGCTGTTGCTGCTGAGCCATCGGGCCTCTTGCACTCGTCGGGGATAGTTCCTTGCCCTTAGCCTTCACCTGATCATCACCACCTGGAGCATAGTTGAAGGCCAAACCCGTTTCCCTCTTGGTGGTGGGCGATTGCTGATCATCAGCACCGTCACCTCTGTTCCCAGGCTGGTTCTCGTACGAGAATCCCTGCGTAAAAGGTTTCCTCGGCGACTGTGGCTTCTCCGAAGTTTCGTAATCGTAGGGCTTCGTGTGTCCTGCCATCTCCTTCGCAGCGTCCGCCTTTTTCGGAGACTTGTCTCGCTTCGAACCGAACGATAGGAAACCAGGACTCTATATACAAAGCAAACGTGCAACACAAAAAAAAACAAAATAATAAGAAAATAATAAACATGCACGAATATTTACATTATATATACGAAATAATAAAGAATATGAATAGTAAATAAATAAATACAAATCTATTGTACAGATACTAATAACTAAGAAGGTAGTACTTCTTGAAAAAAGACTCTTACCTTTTTGGGGGACTTCTCGTTCTCTCCGCTCGAGTTCAGATCGGAATCGGTTCCGTTCTGCTCTGGCGTTGCGTTGTGGTCGTGGTTCTCCTTGTCCTTGTCGTCCTTCTTCTTGAAGAGACCACCGGAAGGCAGCACAGCGACTCCTCCCACCGGCTTCTAAAGGAAAACATTAGACATTGGTTAGAGAATCCAAGCGAGACGTGAATCCGAACGAAAAATCGAATCGAAAAGCTATACACGTCCAAACGCACACACAAATAATAATAATAATAAGAATGATAACAACGACAGAGATAAATCCAAACAAAACTAAATAATAAACAAAGACAAACTGCAAAGTACATATTGAAGAATAATGTATAAAGCCGGCTTCTTGCTAAATGTAAATTTACGAGTACGAGAAATGTAAGTACTACTCGTAATTATAATATTTTGTATTCGCGTAGACTACAATAATATGTGCTTCTTGTAGCAGCAAGAAGCCGGCTTCAAGATATGATAATAATAATAAAGATGCCAGACAAGTAAAAGTGAAAATAAAAAATATCAAAGCTAAATAGAGAAAAGTTCTACGGCGAAGCTTTCTGAGTATATATGTATATATAGATATAAATAAATATACACATAGAATAGATCTGCATTTGCGATTGCAATCAAACACCTTTTCGCTGTTTTCATCTGCCTCGTAGTGACCCTCCACCGAGCTAGACGAGCTTAACGACGCCGTCCCTGCACTATCTCTCCGAGCCAGCTAATATGCAAAGTATTAATACTATGGTTTGTGACTCTATATCCAACATTCCTTCCACCTAAATATTATCTCCTAAAATTTCATCTAAACCTACCTTTTCCTTGCTCTTGTCCTTCTTCTCCTTCGGTGATTTGCTTCTTGCAGGACTGTCGATGTCCGGAATGTGTTCCGGAGGATGCGACATGGTGTGTCTCTTGTTTGCTTCGTTATAATCGTCTTCGGGAAGAGTTCCACCAAGTGCTATAAAGAACACACATAAACATGCATTACATAACATCAAGAGCAATCATATACAATTGTTCGTGTTGTATACTTCATTGTATACAGACAATTTCCCATAATTCGTGTTCGTGTCTTGTATGATCATCTTTACATGGGAATTGTACTACACAATATTTAACAATTATTTTTATTTAATGTTACTTTAATTTCCTCTGGTATTTTTGCTAAGTTGTTGGAGAAAAACAGTTGCCATGTGACAGTATTGCTTTTAGGCAATAAAATTACTGACAAAATGATTTCATATTGGTCTACTTATAAAAGTCTTATGTATTTTGCTAGGCAAATGTTGTAATTCGTGAAAGTTACATAATTAAATGCTCTTAGTGTTGAGCACGAATAATTTGCAAGTTAAGGTTTCATGAGTACTAACAACGCATTAACTCAATAATATACTGAATGTAAAGGACTAGATTCTAATTGTATTAGTTCATTTGCATAGTTCACTTACGATCCATGCTGCGAGAGGCAAGGCGACGTCCGGTTAAGGAACGTTCGAATTGCGGTGCTGGTCTCTCGATGGGCGTCTTCTTCGTTTCGTAATGGGTGCGTCCCGAGTAGCGGAACTTGGATCCGAGACGAGGGAACAGCGAGGACTTCTGGTTGTTCTCCGGCGACATCAAACGGAAGAAAGTGTGGTGCTCCACGCATGTCTTCCACAACTTCTTCGCGGCCCGATGATTGGCCAACTTGAAACCGATGGTCGATTCGAACTGCTCGAATTCACCTGGACGGATCTTGATGTAGAAGTTGTGCCGCTTATAGCTGATCTTCAGGATCTTCGGCCAGGCGAAGCGATTGATGCGCAACCGATCGCGGTATACCAGGAGTCCGGAGGCGCAAACACCGAGCATGATGTCGACACCCTCCGAGTCCTTGGCAGGATGCAGATCGACGCCGTACATGGCCAGCTTCTTCGCGTTCTCCAGGTAGTGGAGCTCGGCCTCAGCTGGATTCTGTCCTCTAAAACACATATATTGCAATTAGAATCGATGGACAGCAATTAGTCGTAATTTGTACAGTACTTGTGGGTCTTGTGCAGCTCCATAACTTTATCCTGAAGCTCCTGCGTCTGGTTGGGCGCGAACTTGAAATCCTTCAGATAGGTGCCATCCATGGAGGCGCTGTCAAAATCACCCAACTCCGATTGGACTAAATAAGAGCCTAAAAGGGCGTGAGTGACAAAGGAGCAGGGCAAACGATTGTTGATGATGTCGTTTCGGATCTGCAGACACAGCTGGTAACGCGTGATGTCCTCCTGCAGTTGCGCTGGATCCGGTGGATAGAATTTCACCTCGAAGCTGAACTTCCATGGTTCATCTACGAATAGAAATGAAATAGTTAAATCTCAATAAAATTAATGTTTATGATCGTTTCTATACTTTTCATGAACTTGGTTATTCGCTTGTCCAGATCCAGCCAATTCCTCGGATCGTGCCTGTCGACGTACACCAAACCAAAGTAGTCCTTCTCAATGAGATTGATGGCTTCGCACACTTTGTTCAACAGTTCTTGTCCTTTAGATTTTCTCTACAAAGTATAACGGAAGTAATTAATAATTTTGTGCAAGAAGAGGTGATTGATGATTACCTCGATGAAAACGTCTACAACAACACCATCGAGCATTGTGACTTGGGCCTGGGCGTTGGGTCCGGCGCGGGCGGCCGTCGTCTTGGCGCGTTTCGCCGGAGACGACGTCGAATTGTTGTCGTTGTCATTGACGACCATTTTCTTTTCTTCTGGCATAATTCCTTGTTGCAGTTATATTCTGTAAAATCAAAGAGAAAAACAAATGAAAATATATAAATATTGCCGCATTTCTCTTGGTTGTATGTTCGTACACTTTAAGAGTGTAGTAATATGGATTGCGTGATGAGAAGGAAGGAACGCGACCAGAGCTCTGGGCGTATCACCACTACCCTATGATTATATTTGCGCGCCGGCGACGGCTGGGAGCAGCAGCTTTATTACTTTTAACTCAGACATCCAGTCGCCAATTATTAAATACGTTTTTTTTTCTCTCCCTTATTCCCCACATCATATGACTCGTTTCACGATCAATTCCTACCTTTTTCAAAACGACACGTTCGAAATGCACATCAACAGACCCTGTTGGCTGTTGGTGTTATATTATAATACTGCAGTTTAAAAGTGCGAAATGATCGCATAGACTGCGGTTGATTCTCTTTATTTATGTTTCATTTGAAGAGACATGACGATATACATGAAATGTGAGTCAAATATTACAAAGAGCTCATGATTTCATCGAGGAGACTGGACAAGAACCGCGTGACATCATCCTTATGTAAGCGGAATTATTACGCGTTGAAAAAAAAAATACATTCAATTAGGCGTTTCTTTTGCGGCCTTTCTGCGTGCAACAATAACAATGATATTTATTCATCTCACTGGACACTCCTCACTCAAACCCAAAATAAACATAAGAACGACATCACAGAAGACACTCCCAAGACAACAAAAATATCAAACTTATCAATATTTGTTATGACTTATATCCTGTCTCAGTTCACGATTACTTATTTTTGTCAGACATTGATAAAATTTGAACATTTTTTTTTTACGTTTAAACGACTAAAATTCCATAAACAAGTTTCTGATTAAGTCTACTCTTGTTAGGAATATGCAAAACTAATGAAATCAATAGTCCTAAGGTCATAGAATGTAGAGAATTTTCTAACTTTACATCATCAATTAATATATTATTATATTAGTTTTATTTTATCTAAAAACATATTTCACTTATATAATATTCTCCCAATGCAAAGCACAGTTTAAAGTTATAGTATAAGATAGTCAACTACTGAGTAACTTGTAACAATTTTTAATGTTACATTTAGAAATACTCCAATTAATTAGAAATAATCCAACTGAAACCTTTACTACTTTAATACAGTCAAAAGAATTATATTAATTAATTTCATGGAAAACAAACAATTATTTTAACAACGCGTTACTACCCTGTTCGTTTGACCCATTTTCCATGCTGGAACCTATTTGTTATCAATCAATGTAAGTAACACTGGGAGTGTCTTCTGTCAATAGGATTAATTTACGGTTCTCCAAGCATTAACACAACACGTGTTCTCACGGAGGACACAAATGTAATCATTCTCTGTCTATATGTTTGTTTTTATTTTTGATAAGTTAGAAATCATCATTGTCGCTTCGGAGCAGCATTAGTCATAAATGAGCAAGTTTCTCTTTAGCAAGAGAACTACCGTACATGCAGATATTGATCTGCAACGTGCTTGGCTATAAACCAGAATATCTTCGTCGCCTTTCCACGGACGTTCCATTTGGTATTTAATTTCCACATAGGTTTTCTCCGAAACTGGGTTAACAACAACTGCAACGGAACAACTTTTAAACGAAAACTCTCTGTTTTTTCCTTATACAAAAAAAAATACATCACTTGATTTATTAATACATTTATGACTAAAATGTAAAGAATTTTACGATAAATCAATAAATTTCACATGAAACGATAGTAAGTGAAAAATAATAGTAATTTGCGATTAATGATAAATATTTAGATCTATGAATAGCGAATATCTTTAAATAACTTTGGTGATAAGATTAGAGCGAAACTGAAGTTTAATTATACTGAATGGAGATCGTAAATAAACGGCGGTACGGCGATGCATAGAACACAGAAATAAACAGAGAGTGATGTGATATAACTCCTTCGGCCTGATGCGATTCGCAAAATGTGTCGTGTTACTTTTTTGTCGTTCGTTCGTTCGTTTGTTTATTTGTTGCTGTTGTTATGTGGAATCGCAATGGAATGGAATGCGAGGAGCGGTGGAAAAACAGTGTCAGAAGGTGTGCGTAAAATGGAAATGTTGCAGAATGAAAAGCGCGCTTCGGAGGATGGGGGGTGCCTCTGTTTATAGATGGGAAACGTGCACTGGGTCAACGGCCCGACGCTCGAGAAGACCCGCACCTGTGCATAGTGCTGCTGAGCACATAGACAATGCCATATAGGAGATTACAGGTGTCTCTTTGATCATCTCTACGGCTACGAGATGCGAAGACAAAAGACTCGCCGGAACGTGATCCTTCACCAAAGTCGGGACTAATTGATCAAGTTAATTGTGCAATTAGACCTTGTACGAACTAATAACGCGAGATGATATTTCGAAAGCGCGCCTCGAATACTCAATTTCATTTGCTTAATTTATTCCGGAGAGCGGAAACGGACGGTGGAGACTCACGGTTGTCCGTGCCATGACATAAGCCAGATATTTGATATTTTAAATATATATATATAAACAGTTTTATTTTCGACGCGAAACGCCTCTTCTTTTCTCTTCCCATCCGCATTTATTTTACTTGAACCAAATGCAATTTGATGATCTTCGAACATCCGTATTTACAATTTCCTTATTTTCTGGATTCGCTCAGGAAATTATGATAGAGAATCCCGAAATACACGTCCATCAAAAATCGATTGAAGTGAGGTCACGTGGAAATTTTCAAATATACATTCACTTGTTCAAAATAATTCGCTTACTCGGATGAACGTAAATAACAACAAGTAAAGTATAAATGTTGTCATGGTAATGTGTCAACTTATCCGAGGGACAAGCTTTACATTGCTTTACTGTTAACCGACTATCAAAGGGAAAGTGCGGAAGTAACGTGCGCGACCCACGCTCGATTTCCTCACGAACTAGAGAAAATTTCTTCGAAACGCGTTTCACTTTCCCCAAAAACACGCAAAAATTAATATATTTGATTACTAGTTCATTTTATATAACAAAATTTCAATTAAAGCCAAAACCCAACACTTTAATAGGTGTCTACAACGAAATTTGTAACTTTTAACAATTTAATCTAATAAGTTATTAAAGATTAAACAATATACAATTTATATTACTCGAAAACTTCAAAATTCAAATTAAAGCTAATATTATAAGCTTTAATATGAGTAAGTGGTAAGAATTATAATTAGCAATAAACATTGAACAACAAATTTTTAAGGTTTAACAATAATTATTCTATATAAAGCTAAATATATAAGCTTTACAGTGATATATAAGTTATTAAAGCATTAACTATTATAATTAAATATGTTTAATGCAAATTTCTCAGTATTAATTACACATGATTACATCATTTACCTTCAAAATTGAATATAAATAGTTATGATTCACAGGCTGTTATTTTTTTTTAAATTATTTCTTCAAAACTGCTGTAATATCTAAAACACAAATAATAAAAAAATATCTTGAACATGTTTTGAGATCATTTATGTGTATGCTGTTTTAAATCACTATAGAAATATGTGACCATATATATATAAACGTTTTTTTTTAGATTCTCTGATCTGGCCGATTGAATAGCACATAAAGTCAACGCGATCATTGAAATCTTTTGATATCAATGAGTCATCGGTCACCATAGCGACATGCGAATGACACCACGTATCTCTCAAACCATAATAAATCGCAAATAAGTAAGCCTAATCAATTAATTGGATTCGGCTGCAACGGAGAAATAAAATAAAATAAAAACTTATTTCAGTTTGCGTCAAAATTGGTTCAAGGATTCGGAGTAGTTGCAGAGAAATTGGGACAACCGAAGGATGAATGAGGATTTAATGGATGCCCCAATTAGAGTCGAACAATATTAATTAATCGAGTTGGAAATTAAAAAAAAAATATATATGAGATAACGACTTGGCAACTCGAAAGTTGTGGGAGTGTGATGCAATGGAACGTGATTGTAGCGGTGTAAAACGTTTGAATTTGCTATTGGTAGAAGAAAAGAGAGAAGTCGTCATCGTTCGTTATAATGTAATAAAAATTAATGATATTATTGGTTGAGAAAAAGGTCGTCGTCGGTGCTGCGACTTGAGGTCAAGTATGATCATTCGCTCTGCGCGCAGCCAAACAGACATCATCATCATCATAATCATCGCTTAAAAATAGACTTATATTTACCTCTTAATCGGTCTTTTCGCGATTTGCTTATTTGTTTTCAATTACGAAAAGGAGTCAATGTAAACAAGTTCTCTAGCTCAAAGCATTTAGAAATTGCACGTCGAGGTTTACATCATCGGATAGAATGTAGATTGGGTTTAATTGAATTGAATTACCTTTTTAACATTCCTCCGCAATTGCTCATCGCACATCCTGCGACCGATTGTCTCAGGATGAAGTAGTAAAGTAAGGAGATCTATCTGTTACAAAAAAAAAAACCTTCAACAAAAATTGTTTTGTTTTCGTTTCGCCGCCCGTCCGAAGAATTGGGTCAGACGAAAACGCTTCTTGACCGTAGTCCGTTCCAACGGTAAATTTAAAAAGAACCCGATGCTCGTGGTGTTCGACTCTTTTGGCGCCCATTCGAAGCCCCGAGGCCGGAAAACGCCTCCGAATTTGGTTTATGCACGAACAATTCAATTGCACCGTCTCATAATACACACACACAATAATAGAGTGCTGCTGTTGGACGTGCTCGGACGAAGATTGCCTTTAACAAAGCCATGAATTATCTCGAAGAATTAGTTTGACTCTATTCTTCGTGTTCGGTCATCGCGCGGAGTGAAATATTCACAAACTATTCGAGTAACAGCGTAGATAGACACTATTATGTTCCTTACTTCCATTCGTTTAAGGGAATTTAATTCAGTTTCGCATAGTCTTCGATGAGGTTAATGTAGTTTCATTTCACTGATCGGTTTCTCTCACAAGTCTTAAAAGTTTCTGTAATTGAGTCTTCAGTGCAAATTAGAAACATATGTAACGCAATAAAACAAACAAAGTTTGTTATTACGAGTAAAAGCACTAAAACCTTGTATATGAGATAATTTTATTAAATAAATTTGTATTTCCAACTTGAGGACATTTGCTCCTCTCAACTGATGCTTTAACTCTGACCTAAAATATAATTTAATAAAATGAATCATACATGTGAAGTATCTTAAAAGTAATAAATTCACAATATAACATTCTTGAAAACGCGATTTTGTAGTTGCTCCGACGCATTCTTAAGTACAACTTTCAGTTGTCATTAGTAACCAGGGTTTGGTTTCTTGACAACCCAAACGAATCCTTAACAAACAATAAATGAATGCATAGCAACGTTTTAAACAACTTTTCCAATAAATGAAGGAAATGTCATGTGTCTCAATGTGAATAAACATTTTCGGTGCTATTTTTATAGTTTCACATAACAATTTTAATCATATATAATTGTGAATAAACATTTTTGCAGATGAAAAAGGAAATCGTGATATGAATAGATCAAATGTGAAACATGATGCCGTTATAAAATTGCTGGAGTTTCCACACGTATCAAAGAACTCATTGCTCAAAGAAATAAGCTCAATATTAGTATTTAATATGTTATAATGTGTACGCACAGTAATTTATAGGAGGTTGAAACTGATTAAGTTGGAGTGTTCCTTTGACTTCACGATACCACAGATTCAGTGATGTTTTTTTCTTTAAATTTGATACAAGATCTTGACTCGTTGTTTTCACGAGCCTCCTTCAATCTTGTGCATTAATTACGAGATTGGTGGAGGAGAAAACTGTTTGCAACATCTTCATGTGCAAATGCGGTCGTTGAATGCAGACATTGTGCATTTCGTGGGAGGCATTCATGAAACGTAATTACGGTGCATATGGAAAAGGCTGCACAACGCACATCGACTTTGCGCACGACGATAAAACGCTTTAATTATTATTGTTCCTATAGATCGCAACATGAATTTCGGTCGTGTTCCTATTTTCGTGCGAACCATATTATATTTCTTTTTCTAATTTCGCTTTTAGCCTGGACTCGAAGGTTCGACATTGGCTGAGAGGACGCAATTATATACATTGCATGCGCATTTCCACAACAATGACTCAAAAATACACGCATTAATCGCGCCGACAAATCGCGTCCACGTTTATTACGTTATTCTGGTTTGCCACAATCGATGCAATTGCTATTCATCAAAACGGAATTTACTTTCAGAACATACCGTTTCTTCATGAATAATTAAAACATTACTATTCATTTCATATTATAATATATACATTGTAATCTTCTATTTAGTAAACCACATTTATCTCATAGAAATAAACCATTATTGGATTGGATTTAATCAATATGAAACTTAGTACAAATTCGTAAAAACATTCGTATACATTTAAAAAGTTCACAATGATTGGCAATAAACCTTGGCAAATAAACATACGTTAAATAAGTAACGGTTTTTTCGAAAACAAAGAATATAAACAATTGTATTCATGTTGGATTTGCAGAACTAAAACTCGTTTATTCGTTGACCATCATTTTGCAGCGTTATTCTAATCCGAAATGATTTAACTGCGAGATTCAAGGTGAGCTGCTGCTGCCGCTACACCGTTTCATTTCCAGCGAAATGGTCTTCGTCATCATCTCTTCATCGATTGAACCCCATCTATTTGCACACAATATGACAGTCTCAGACGTGCGTGACAAATATCAAAAAATAGACTATTGAGCGGCTCGGTGGTTCGCCTTTGATGTCGGGTGAAATTAACTTTCATACTTTCCTCTTCATAATTTCACCATGAAAATACTCAAACCGTATTTCAAACTTAATTTAAGAAACATTATCAAATAAATAAGGGTTAATCTACCTGCACGGTAGTAACGCATTTACATCCCATTAATATTAACCCTTCAATCTGTTCACTGCTTGGCATTTAATCATGTACAAATTCTACTTGACACAAGCTTTTATAAATAAACTGAGTCAATCACTGAACGTAACGTTTATTTATATATAAAAAAACATTCGTTTGTTATGACATCACTGCTTCGAATATACCGCAAAGCAGCAATTTATTAATTGTTATGTGAAATAATTCGTAGTATCATATGAATTCTATTTGTTTCGTGTCCTTTTTTTTATTGGGGCTGCGGTACATGCGGACGAAGAATATTAGACCTCGGGTTCACTGCACTCGGAAGGCCGGTATTGATTAACTTAGAAAATTTGAAAATATGTGCTCCTCCGTATATTATATACTAGAAACACGCTGACCAAACAAAGTTCCTCCACGCAACATGTCCCAGATGCAGTTACCAAATGCAATTATCAGTGAACAAACTACATTCATTAACACCAAATACATTATCTTTCAAATACCATTAAATCGCGTAACAGATAATTATTTTAGGATATACATAGAAAACAAAAAAAATACTTTAGTACAAAACAATTTAAAACTTGACTATGTGTCACAGGATATTTATTAACACAAATCATAGACGACTGTTGTTACATAAATCCATCGAAAACAGTTTTGTTTCGTTTGTCCTGTTTTCGATACAAAAAAAAAATGTGATTGAATCGCGAAAAATCCTTGACCCATATCCTTCCAATGGATTCTCAAGAAATGTAAATACGATCGGATTTCTGAGTGCATCAGCACTTGCAATTGTACACTTGGATGAGTAATATCGTGCGTTTGTTTGGTAGACTTCCAAAGCAGCAGAACAGAAACAATACATTTGCTGATGATGAGTGCACAATGAAAAAAAAACAATACCATTTATTTGTGTGGTCTATAAATGATGATGATTCGTATATATTATTGGTATAATTATCATAGCTGATGATTGATTCAATTACGTGCTGAAGTGCAATTTAATGATTTTATTATAAGCTCATTGATTGATTTATTTGTGTAACTGTCATTTGATTAGTATAATAATTCTATAAAGTTTCCATTCAAACTTTCAATCATTTACATTTTATATCGCACTTTGTTCATGCATCAATATGTTATTGTATAAAACAAATATACATTTTTCTATAGTGACAATTGTTTATATAGCTTTTTTTTTGCAGAATTAATATAATTAGCAAAACTTTATTTGAAAAGTGACTTCTTGAAGTATTCATTGATTGAGTAATGTGAACTGGGAGAAATTAAAAATGATTAGATATTTGAATGATTAATTAGGATTCATGAGAAAGTAAAGTTGCGGTTAATTTACTGAGGATTGATCCAATCATTGCTGCAAGCAACGGTTTTGACTCATCGCGAAGTTCAATTGTGAAATTAGATCACGATTATTTATATGTCGTTTGGTAGCTTTGGTAGAAAAAGAAATAACAGTTGAAGATAGCGATAGCGGCACGCCGAGAAACGGTGGATCGAGAGAATGACATCATTTTTTGGTTTGTTATTGCCTTGATGATCCGCGAATCCAATTGGATTTGAAGCAGTTTTCTTCTTCTAGTGATTGTTTTGATTTTCTGTTTTGTTGGTTTTAAGTGAGAAGACGCGTCTCGGCTGCGAAGAAGACCTGAATAGACACGTATACACAAACACACCTGAAAGTGACACAGGTTGTTGGTATAAACACCTCCCTGCGCACCGCGGCCGCCATCCATCAGCTATCCTCTTGTTTATTTTCGTTTCGGAGGTGTTTTTTCTTTTTCCTTTTTTTTTGTTGTTGTTTTGAGAGGAAATACGAGGGCACTGGCACTCACCTATTGGGCGTTCAGCTCATGTAAAAGTAGGTTGCGGAAAAGGGCCGATTCGTGGATGTATTTATGGAAATACGGCAAACACATTCACAGCGTACTGGGATGGGCCAGACCATAAACAAAAACACTACCAGCTACACACTCAACTTGAACGCTACTCGCCAACTAACGCAACTGAACGCAACCACACTCTGTTCGATGCTCTGACCACGACCACCATTCGTAATCGGTGGCGTCGTCGTCGTCGCCGTCTGCGCAACGCGCTCTCCTTCTTTCCTACGTCCACCTTATCATTCTATCCTTGATAAGGAGACGACGATTCCTGAAAGCTTCGCGAATGTTCATCAGTTTGAATTCATCCTTTTCATGGAAATACCATCGGTACTACTTTTCGCAAGCGTAGCGTATGAACACGTAACATGGTCGTCATTCTATTAGCATTACGTCATTCCGCATAGTTAGGTATACCGTCACGCCCCATGACCATCATATACCATGGCAACCATAGCTTCCCTCTCTTCACCATCAACCTTCATGTAAACATAAATGTAACCGTCGCGAAAGGCTTGGTCCTCCAATACGCGGATTCAAATAATCCCATCCTTATCCAAGTTATTGTTCGCATATTTCTTGAATTACATACATTATTAAAATAAAAGTATTCAAACATCTTCGAAAGTTGCATGTGCGCAGTCCAAATCTAAAACGAATTAAAATAAATAAATCCAATTCGAATAATTAATTTAAACTTACCGATACTTTCTTCAAGCTTCACCAGATGCCGCTTATCAGCAGAATTCCATTAACACAATTGCTCAGATAATTATGAAACTAACAGATTTAAGCTTATTATTTAAACCTTCAATTTCTCTAAAACCTAGTAGAATTCTTCAATTTTCTAAATCTAAAGAAGGAACATAAATAAATCCAATAATACACATTTGTATTATCAAATTCGAACATTACCTTATCCAAATCTTATTATAACGTTCAACATTTAAGTTCAACTTCTAAGCAGATATTTCTATTTTTACCACAATGAAAATCATTATTAACAATGAAATCATTACTATTTCCAGAAAAACATTATGCAACTTATTGATCAACCTATAGTATTAAGCAGAGTATTCAAACTTACCTTTTCTTTCCTTAAAGCCACATTTATCAAAACATGTTAAAAATTAAAGCGCTGATTGAATTTTACCAAAAATGAAACTTCAATAAAACAATTGCTGCTGAAAAGTACTGCAAATTCTTCTTAAATTAAAGAAAATTTAACACTTAATTCTCTATCTGAAGTCATAGTATTTAAAGCATAGTAGACAGATACAATTCTGGATGAAACTTACATGGAATACTGTATTTTTTCTGGATGCTGGTTCTTTGAAATAAATACTGTTTCCAGTGCTGAAGTCCAACTAATGGCTTATATTCTAATTAGAAAATTGATTGTTCGCATTTCAGAAGATCATCATTTCATTTTGATGCGTATCGAAAACGTTATATTTTTATTTCAAATACTTAGTAACTTATGTTTCTATGACTGATTACTGTTGGCCATCTTGCAGCAACCGGTAGGATGACAGCGTTAAATATTATTTCCTAACCTGTAAAGTAAATCGATTGAGTGTACATTGTTGTTAGAGATTCGTTGCAGTTTAGTGCCCTTATAGTTCGATTCAGAATGATGCAAATGCACCCGAGCTCCATGAACATGTCAGCAACGGACTGGATGGATGCTGCACACAGCACAGGAGTAAGTTCTTCAGCAGAATCGTATTTATGTCGAATCATCCTCACAACATATATTCCACCCAAGTAATATGTTTATGAAGAATTGAACTAATTTTCTATAGGGTCTTTTCATAATTGACTGTTTTTGTTATAGTTTTTTTTAGCTAATCAATACTTTTGTGTATATCTATGAAAAGATGACAAGTAACATATAATGTTGTTTTCTTCAATTGGTTAAAAATAAATATATTGCATTTTATTAATTAACAATGATGAGAAGTAATCTTTTTGTGTTACTATATCACTTTCATTGGTGAACTAGCACAACTAAAATGTTAATATAAAGTAATATAGATAATTTGCAGCCTGGATTTACATATTTTGTTTATGTATAACAATGTTGATGTTAATATTTTTAATACTATATCATTAAACTTATTTTGTAGACTTCAATTATGGCTGCTGAATTTGATGGAGGTGTAGTTATTGGAGCTGATTCCAGAACTACAACTGGGTATGAAACTTAATTCTTTAGAAATTGTTATAAAACTAATTATTTGTATTTTTCATTAAGAGCTTACATCGCGAATCGCGTCACCGATAAGTTGACCAAAGTCACGGACAACATTTACTGCTGCAGATCTGGATCTGCCGCCGATACACAGGCCATTGCAGACATTGTCTCTTACCATTTGAATTTCCATTCGTAAGTTCTTAATATTAACTTCCGTTTTAATTTGTGCGCTATTAATTTGATGTTTAATGGTAGGATGGAATTGGGAACTCAGCCGTTAGTTGAAACTGGAGCCGCTGTTTTCCGCGAAATGTGCTACAACTATCGCGATTCTCTGATGGCCGGTATCCTTGTAGCAGGATGGGATAGCCGCAAAGGCGGTCAGGTTTACTCCATTCCAATTGGCGGTATGTGCGTGCGACAGGCCGTTTCCATTGGTGGATCCGGTTCTAGCTACGTCTACGGTTACGTCGACGCCAACTTCAAGGAAGGAATGAAGAAAGAGGAATGCGTGGACTTCGTTACTAACAGTACGTAGATAACTTTGTTAAAAGGAATTCTTATTTTAGCGAATTGTTCTTGCAGCTTTGAGCTTGGCTATGGCTCGCGATGGTTCTTCGGGAGGTGTTGTACGTTTGGGAATTATTACCAAAGACGGCGTTGAGCGCAGAGTGAAATTGGGCACCGAACTGCCCAAGTTCTACGAAGGTTAATCGAGTTCTCAAGCACTTGAAATAAAACGTAATTTACTTCTATTTTTTTTCGGTCTTTAATATTTAATAATAAAAAATTAATTATATTTATCGACGTTTTATTTGTATTCCTCCGGGTATTATAGTTAGCTGTTTGTTTCGCCCTTGGTTTGAGTTTATTTTGCGTATGATGTAAGATTTTGTTTAAGGTTTTTTTTCCTCTTCCTCGCCAGATTCGTTCTCGTTACCGTCTTCGCCCTCGCTGAACACTTGTCCTTCTTCATCTTCTTCGCCGTCATCGTCACCAGCAACTTCAGCGTTCTCCATTTCAGCGCGTTCCATTTGTTTCATCAACTCTGCTTCATCAGTAGCAGTGACAACTTTAGGCTAAAACCAATAAAATAATGAATAGATTGATTCCATCTATAGTTTGATAGTAGACTTACAGCCATTTGGACTTTAAATACACCACCTAATTCGTTAATTGTGGTCTCGATTTTCTCGATGGCATCTTGCAGGATTTTCAGACCATCGGCTTTTTCCGGTGTCGACGTAGTCATTACGTACAGTGGAGGCGCGATGAGATTGATTTTGATGGGTAATTCTTCCGTGGACAATTCCAAACCAGATTTAAGTGCAGTCTTAACTGCATCAATTCCTTCATAGCCGTAGCACGCGCACTCGATGTCGGCACGGATTTTCACCGCTTGCGACGTCAATTTCCTCTTCACCTGACTCAGAAGCACCTCCTTGGTATTCTCGTCCAAACCGCATTCAGCAAGAATGCTTGGATCACTGAAAGTACAATTGTCAATGAAAAATAAGCTTTAAATATATTATGTTAAGCAGACTTACATTACAGCTTGCTTAAAGTAATCATAAGCACTGGCTTTGTTCTTCTTGTATTTCTCTTCAAAATGCCATGCAGTCTTCTGGTACAGCTCTTCAAGCTGTTCATTCGACTCATACTTCAGTAATTCAGCAACATGTCTCAAAATTGAGTTCACAGCTTTTGCCTTTGCAAATCTCTCTGTACACTTCTCCACATCCTCAGCACTCACACGACGTTTTGACAAGTCAATGTAACCCTTCTCCTTGTCCACCCTGATCACTACAACCGGTTCTGTTTTACCAACTCTGATGAGCTTGTTGATGGAGCGAATACGTCTCCTGGACAACTCAGAGAGCAAGATCATGCCCTCAATATCATTGTATTCAAGCAGATGAACGTAAGCGCCCATCTCAGCGATGGAACGCACATTGACCATAACAACATCCTCGACTTCTGGATACTTCTCCTTGTAAAACCGACACGATAGTGGCATTTTGTAACCTAAAATATGTTGTTATTTAATTCAATTAGAGATGCGTTTGTTGACTTAACACTAAGTTATCAAAGTGATTACAAGTTATCCCGGCTTTACCTTATTTAAGTATAGTGAATACTGAAAAAACTGATGCAATTCACGTGTACGAAAACACCGACCCCTTATTGCTGTCACAATTTTTCTGTAGTGGCAGAATTATTGTCATCAGTTTTACCACCATTAACGCATTCAATTTTTACTGTAAATGTTTAAAAATTAAGTTAATTTAGCACTCTTAATTATTGTAACAATAATAAGGTAATTATATCATAAATATTAATAACCAGACAACGATTTTAGACGACTTACATTCATCATTTGTAGTGTTATAATATTTAATATTAATTATAAAAACCTATTATTATTATACTATAAATTGATAAATAAAATGAATTGTAATAAATTAATTAATTATATTGTACAAAAATAATAGATTTTTGGTGTATATAGAATTGTCTAACCTGATATAATTTGGTAACTAATGTTGGCAATCATGTGGTAAATTTAGGTAACTGCTTTTGTGCCAACAATTCTCCCATTTTGTTTTTGCTTCGATTGGTGTCTGGTTCAGCGCTGATCGTTTGTGAGTGTTAAGAACGATTAACTCGACCAGGAAGTGAAATAAACTGATAAAATCATGGTAAGTGTCTTCAGATAGCTTAATTTAAAGAATTTCATCACGAAGATATGAATTTAACGTCTACTTTTTATGAATTGAGGTTATAGTAACACGTGTTTGTTTATGTTCAATTTGTAGTCGACCATGAAGGAGAATCCCGAGAAACCCGGACAGGAGACCGCTCCGATCCATCGTATCCGTATCACGTTGACCTCCCGTAACGTGCGTAGCTTGGAGAAGGTCTGCTCAGACCTTATCTCTGGCGCCAAGAAGCAATCGCTTCGCGTCAAGGGCCCGGTCCGTATGCCAACTAAGACCCTGAGAATCACCACCAGAAAGACACCTTGTGGTGAGGGTTCCAAGACTTGGGACAGGTTCCAGATGAGGATCCACAAGCGCGTCATTGACTTGCATTCCCCATCTGAGATCGTCAAGCAGATCACCTCTATCTCCATTGAACCTGGTGTAGAAGTTGAGGTCACCATCGCCGACCCTTGAACGCATTTCTTTTTAAGACCAAACTTCTTTTGTACACATTAGAAGAATTTCATAATAAAAAGAAATAAGATACAAAAAAAATGAAAAATACAATAATCCATTGTTTTATTACTCTCAACTTACAATATATTTACATATGTTTATTCATCTCAAAATAAAGTTTAAATTTCTAAACGTATTTTATAGATGGGTAAGTATAAATACTAATACGTATATTTGGTTGCATATATCTATATCGCAAGCCCGACAACCGAAAGACCGTCTATTAAAATCTCGACTGCCATAAAAATGTTATTGTAGAAATTTATAATAATGAAAGACACTGTCGGGATTTTGGTTGTCGGGCTTGCGATTGCCACCGATGTGAAAATGCATCTATCTATTAAATTAATTTGAAATTGCTAAACATCCTGCGTTAGTGCTTCAACTGACTTCATTTATTATATTGGCCCATTTTCAAAACTAATGATTTCAATGCACGAGATCATCTTGGATTGGTTGTTTTTTGCGATCAGTAGGATGGAATCTACTAACTTGAATGCGATTGGACGTTTTTTTATAGCTTGCTCACAAACATAATATTTTTCATATAAGTATTTTTACTGAGAAGTTTTTTTATATATGACATTTGAATAACAAAATGGCAAACGCACATGTGTATGTGCCATTGATAATCTGATTGGTTGCCTTTTTTTGCCATGCGATGGACGAATAAAACAACAGTTGATTGTGGTTGGACGTTTCACAACTTTTATTTACCGAAGAATGAAATGCATTTTATTATCACATACATAAGTAGCAGTAATATCAACTATAATTTAGTTTTATTATATAAACAAATGTAATATATTATTTAACAAGATAACACATTGAAAAAAAAAACTAGATTTTTTAAATTTAATTTCCTAAATCTATTATTACATTTCTAATATAACTTTTTTTCTAACATTTTTTAATGAAATAAAGATATACATATTTTCAATATGTAAAGTTTTCCACTTTCTAATAAATATTATTTCTTATGACTCCAATATAAATATCTGTATGAAACAAAGGTAAATTGAAGAAATTGTTGTTGAGTTCTAAGTACAATTTAGATTAAAGTATTCTTGATTATGTTCTGATTGTAAATGTATTGTGTAATAGTGATTGAGGAATATGTTAGGATGTGGAGCAAATAACTAGAAGACATGCAGTATAAAACATGATTTATTAATCACTAATAAAAAAAAATCAAATTAAAAATCGAATAAGTCTATATAAACTCTAAGATTAACAAATGTATATATTTATAAATATGTACTAACAAACTAAAATATGTTGTTGCTTTAATGTAGTTTTTATTTTCATGTCGTTACAATTTTCATCTTCATAGTTAAGGCTTTTCGTTCGCTATCGCAATTGTTTAGAGAAAGAGACAGATGGGCGCTAATGTGTTAAACTGTATGTGTGTACACTTGATGAATCTCATGAATATACCGATATTTCTGGCATGTTTAACCAAGCAAATGTAAGTAAGAGAAGTACAAGGTTAACAGTCGTAATTATGAGAAATATAAAGTAAGTGATCCAAAATCGGACATCCATCTTATTGTTTTTCTGCTCCTTCCTTCAAATTAGGCTTGACCGTTGGTGGTGGGTCCGCTTGGTAGTTCCGCGTTACCATTAGTGACGACGGCAATCTTTGGAAAGCCGTTGGTCAGAGCCTTGGTCGGCGTGCTGACCGGACTGACGATAGTGTATACTTCGCCAGTAACTGGATTCCTCTCTGCAAGCGAAAACACCGAAATCGTTATAGAAATAACACAAGTTTTTTTAAAAGAATTCGTACCTGAATGGCTTTTTGGTGTGTTGCGACTGGCCGGTCTTCTATCCCAAGATTGAACTCCGTCTCCGGTCACAGGGTTGCGATTTGTCACATCTACAATATTCACAAAGTATATAAAAACTGGTGTCAGGAGACGCCTGCCAAATACATCCCGGAGGATGGAAAAAAAGGGGGGGTGGATTTATCCGTCAGGGGTACCAATTTTACTGTTGGTTCAATGAGTACCATGAGTACTTTAAGCAACTTTAAATATCGTGATGCGAATGGTATGGATGCAACAGTATGTACTTGATTTTTAAAATCATTTAAATCTTCTTTTGCTTACCATGTTTGGTGAGCGATGCTCTGCGTGGGGTGTGGGCTTGGGCAGGGCTGTCTCCGAACAGACGGTTGAAAGAATCATTGCTGGTGGTGGATCTACGACGGGGTGTGCCGTCCACAACGCTCTTGTTGTTGTTGGGCGGAGTGGACATTACATTCACAATGTCGCTGGGTGGATTACGGACGCTGCAAAATCAAATACAATCATTAGCTTAAATCGTAGATCAATCATCAACTTTGAAGGTTCAATTAGAGTTATGTACGATGTTGTTCATATGGAAAAACAAAAAGTATATATTGTTATAAATACATTGTTGTATACATTGTTTCAGGAAGCTAGAGTTTGACAATTTACTTGACAAGTATATGTACATCAGTCATATTCGTCGAAGATTTGCCGTCACCGCCTTTAGAAAGCATCTTAAATTATGGCCAGAGAACGAGGTTGATTAACGTGCCGAGATAAAGGCATTGGTGAGTAGTAGTAGTACTTCCTGGTCCGCCTCCGACGCACACACGGATTTAATGCGATACCCATAAATAATGGCAGAGATATCATAAATATTGAACGACCCCGCGTTTCTTGTTCCAACCCAAAGCCTCCCCCGATCCTCATCCATCATCTTTCGCATTCTATTCAAATCTCTTCTTCGTTGTGCCCATCAAATTACAATACGGTTCCAATAAAAATTACATTCTTTTATGTATCCTCCTTTTCATATTCTCATTTTGTTTTTTTAACGCTTGTTTAAACACTTTATGGAAAGTCTTAAAAAAAAAAGGAATGAAGAAAGTATTCGATTCGCTTTTAACAACATCCAGTTACATAAACGTCAGCACGGTACTAAGTTACAGAACTTTACGCTTCTGCCGTTCCGTTTCATCGTTCTTTCGGGCACAAAACTTAACGGCGTTTTTATTATGGAGAAATTCATTAGCGCGTTTCTGAAAGCTTATAGTCATCATAAAAGTTTTCCTCGGGCCGACAGATTTAATTTAATTTTTTTTTTGGGTGCGCATTTCTGGGAAATCGCAAATTCTTTAACGAAAATTGATTTCTTTTCGTTGTTAAAAAATATGGAAACAATTTGTTATAGAAATAAGCGGAGTTGAACCAAATATTTATTAATTATTTTTCACCTATTTATACAAATTAACATACAAGTAATGTAATTAACAGTAATGCAACTTAAGTATTCAGTTAAGATTATGTTTGGTAACAAAGTCGTATTGTGTTATTTATTTTAGGTACGTTCGTGACAAGGCTTTTTTTTACTTGTCATGTTGAAATTTTGTTTCCAATCACGATAATCTTATATGATTTAATGATATTCATCTCATTTTTTTTTTGTTAAATGTGGACGAGAAATGTGGGTTATAATCTCTGAATAATTCATTCCAATGCATATTTTCAAATATGAATTGTATTACTGATTTGAATTGAATGCGTCTCTTTTCGAATATACGAGATCGATTGGATCCGATATAATTGTGTCGCATCCAAAACATTTACATTCGGTTTGAGTTATGAGGGAACCAGGCTGTACACGGAACGACGTCCTCAAAATATCGTGCCTTCGTACAAAACGCTTTTCGTTTCTTTGAATAGTAATAAAGTCAGTCAAATAATAAGTTATCCAGTTATTATGCTAAATGATATGCTAATTTATTATGACTGTAATATTGAATGAGGTGCTGAGAGTCCTTTGGAGTCCTAGTTACACTCATAAAAACCCTAGTAACAAACTTAGCAATTGGAATTTAGACATAGAAGTTATTAATAATCTTATAGTGAATAATATAGTGTTTATTATCATAAAAACTCTAACTTCCACTTATAGCATTCTTTAAAACTCCCCTAGGGCTCCACAACGACATAACTACGAGTTAGTCCACAGTGTCCAAGATATTTTAATCCCGGGACACGACAATAGATTTTGTAAACTTTCGTTAGAGTAACTCGAATTTACATAAAACGATTTAAAATTAAATAATAAATGCAATGATTAAATGCAATGAAATTGAATGCTACTAACGAAGGTTTCCTGTAGATTTATTGTCCTTGGATGTTATCTTCCATCAAAGACAATTTTATTGAAGTTAAATATCGATTTAATGTAATTATCAAAGCTAAAGTTTTTCTTTTATTTATTAGGAGTAGAAAAATATATAAAAAGAACTTTAAGTAGAGAATCCAAGTTGTCAATATCTTTAAAATGTTCACAAGAAATATTGACAAAATCCAAAAAAAAAAAAAAAAATATGTAATATAGTTTTTTTTTGCAATGAATGGTCAGTAAAACTTTTAGTTTGTTTGTTTTTGATGTCCTTCAATACTTAATCTCGAATAACAATCTCAAATTAAAATGGGACTCTTACTTTAATGGGTGAAATGGGATGAAAAGCAGTAGTGAAACGTCAACATGCAGGGAATTTTCATGTTATTCTGCAAGGGTTGCAATACTGCAGCCCTTATGAACGAGTCGCCACTGAAGTGAAGTGAGCATGACATTAGAATTGGTAATTGCGGCAATTATACTGTCCGCCTTTACGCAACGCGGCCCACCATAAGGATCGGCTTTCCGAGACCATCCTGTCTGTCTGTATGTCTGTCGGTCATGACGACATGACCAGCAAGGTGTACATCCGCAGATTATGTTGCAGGACAAAGGACGGTGCAAATGTTTAGGTGGGGGGACGGCGTCGATCTAATTGCACGAAAAAAATAGTTACATAATTGGCACCGTTATGGCAATCATCATCGCAATTAGCCACGGAATCTCGGAATGATTAGGACGTTCGGGTACGCAGAAGAGACGCGCGTTTTCACCGTTAAGCTTAACCGAACTATCCGGCTAATTAATTTATAATGCATGCATTTGATCACGTACACGATCTCGTGGATAGAGAAGAAGGGGAGGAGATGGATGATGGATGGATGATGAAAGTTGGTAGTGAACAGATGTGATTAGGTACTGAACTCCTTGAAGTTGGTACGAAACAGTAGCAACTTTGATTAACAACTTGATATGCTGATAAATTCGGTTTAATCGTTTCAGTAAAGTTAATTAAACTAATCCAAGAATAGATTGTTGGTATAAGATAATTACACAAAAATGATGATAAATTAACGCAAGAAGTTTTACTTATATTTAATTGTTTGGAATGTACGCGAGTTTATCGAACTGCGTTAGCAACTAACTGGATTAGGTAAGTGAGAATCGCGTCGTTCGCAAATACACGTCGCTAATCGCGTTGCAGAATAACGAATTTCACCTTGAGGCAGGTCCCGGCTTTGGATCACTGTTTACAAACATTTAGCATCGTGCGTGAAAGTAGTAATAACGAAATCACGATCGTTTCGATGGCTCTGAATCACAATTGGGAAAAGCGAATTCCATCCGAAGCTCTCTTGCACATAAATTTGCGTATGGTTGCTTGAAAGTTATGGTTGTGGTTGTTATATGTTATCGGTTCAGCAGTGTTTCAGCAAATTGCTGAAGATATTGCGTTTCATGGTAGGGTTTCCGGGTAGCAGTAAACGGCATTAGACGTTAATATCGGGCCGCAAATGGCGTCGAACGTAATTAGCGGTTATTACGCCACAATGGGAGGCTCGATCGAAAATGATTTCCCTTTAATTACATTTCGCGCGTCTCCTCGAAGACGGATAAATGATGAGGAAGTTATTGCCCGTCGCTTCGAACTTCTTCACCATCTTCTTCTCCTTCTTCTTCATCCTCCTCGAGTTTACCCAAGCGACAGAGCAACGCAATCATTTCTACAGATAATTTCATGTAATCCCATCATCAAATTGGTATGAATTTGAATCCAATTTCAACAACATTCATTTGCTTCTGACTTTTTATTCTTGTTCCACCTCCTCGCTTTTTTTTTCTCTTCGAGTTGCCTGGGAAGCAACTCCTCTCCTGTTTGTTTCTTTTGTCTAATTGGATTCCCTCGAAGACCATTCACAACGCTCACGCTTTAAACTTAAACGCTATCTTAAAACGTATATCTTAAACTCACAATTGCTTCTAACACTATATTCAATTACAGTCAAAGTGACACCTGTCACTTTTTGCGTCAATTTAATGACACATACATTTGTTTCTACAGATCAAAAGATCACTGTAAAAAAAGATACGTCACTTGTCATCTTTAACCTTCATTTTAATCTCATCTCTTTATTGCTCATGTAATTAGCTATCAAATGATGTATCTCCACTTATTATATAATTTATCATTCGCAAGAGGTGGAAACACTTTAAAAAAGGGAGCGAAAAACTCGTAATACCTATTATGACAATCTAGTTGTCAAATGGTTCGTGATTAGAGTGCAGCTACTTACGGAGAATAGGTAAAACCAGTAGTACATAAATCCTTCACGGTTGAAGCCCCTTAGGTACACCGGGAGCAGGATCAGGCAAAAAGGCTTCGGAACTTTTCGAATTGGTCAATTAGAGACGTGTATTATTTCCGCGTAATGCATGGTGCATCGCTTCGAGCAATGGCGCAAGATTTACTTGTCAATTGGTACTAATTTCGCGAAGCGCGGAACATCTCAATCATCGGCTTTAGCATGTCTGGATGAATGAATGGATTTGCGCAAATCGCTATCTACGATCGTTGCTATCCCAGTATTCGTTACACGCATTTGATCCAACACACATGGCAATTATTTAGTCGTTACATTTCTGTTTATGCCCGTAGCAACCGACGCTAACATAATTAGAAACAGCAGTTGGTATGATTGATGGTCAATTGATACGATTGATTGATCACTGGCACTTTCGATAATCTGCATTCTTACAACAATAATTTATTCAATTTCATACAATCTTGCTTAAGATAAAACGGTCAATTTTGACAAATATCATAAAAATGACATTATATTGGTATAAGAGATATAAGACTATAATCTGATATAATAATAATTACACAAAAATTTGATACATTAATGAAATATAGAATTTGAAAAAAAAAATGTCAAATGCCATAAAATGAGATTAAACAGACTGAGATTACTGCAATCGATCATAAATGATGAACCATAAATTTGACATATTTACGGTAATTTGAGAAGAAATAGAAGAAATTGAATTTGTCTTAAATGATGCATCATGATCGTAGAAAAGAACGAGATTGTAATGTTGCAGAGGTTTAGTTTTTAATTGGATTTGTTC